CCGACTGTCTAGCGGGTAACCGTTGTTACCATTGTTACCATTATTACTATTGTTGTCGGACCACTTGTACACTTACCGCGTAATCCGTAATGCCGTGTTTATTTTTTGATTTTGTCGGCGATTCCCGACATTGTTGTTATTATTCCTCTACGAATAATTATTACCCCCGGCGGCGATAAACCTATTTGAATTTTCTCCGCGGAAATTACGCTACGTTCCTGCAGCCCGTTTAGATTAGGCCAGGTTGGCGGCGTAGGAATCGTTTCGTTCGGCGGGCGGGGAGGAGATGGATAATTTGTCAGGCGAAATCCGCACGGCCCGTCTATGCCATCGTATACCACACCGTCCGTACAGATATGCGTTTTCGGATTCCGAGTGTGGCGAAGAAGTTATTAGTTTTACCGACGTGTTTTATTATTGTTCATTTTTTTTTTTTTCTTTTTTTTTATATGAAAAAGACATTTTCGTTTACTAATGCTTTCGGCGCATACTTTATAAAAGTGTTTCAAATGACATTTTTCGAAATTCCCAATAATTTTTCCAAAAAACTGCACTATCGTTTTTATTTTAAACACTGTTATTTTGGTTAGTGAAATAGTCCAATTTATTCACGCAGTATTCACCTTGTATACTTTTCCTTGGTAGTATTTTGTTTGGACCCCTTTTTTTTTTTAAATTTTCAACAGTTCAAACCTTAGGTCCTTTCTTTAGTTTTTTTTTTTCGGGAAATACTTTTTCAGATAGTAAACACAGTGCAATTGTAATGCTATTCACAACGTACCTTAAACACAGGGCCTAAAATACATTCGATTTCTGGGGGACATACGATTTAATTCAATTGACAGCGTTGATAGATTTCCATAGCAAATAAAAAAAAAAAACCCCCCATAGGGGACGTAGTCCTTTATATACCATTTGCCTTATACATTTATATTATTTATAAAAAGTTTGGTCAAAAAATTATTGACACAAAATAAATATATGTATGGATTCAACTTAAGAATATAAAAACCATTTAAAATTAATAACATTTATTGGTTACAGTGAAATCATTAGCTGATTGTTTTTCATTAGCTTTTACTCGCGGACACACACATTGTCACTACTGGGTGGTGGCTTTTTCGTGTATATTACCGCGACGTGTTCTTTTATTCGACAATGACACTAGGACTGCCTGTAGATTATATTCCGGTACTTTTGTTATTTTTATACGCAAACAATATTTATTCGTCCGAGGTGGACGACCAAGGTGAACGACGGAGGGTTTTTAAAATATCATATCACACAATAATTAACTAGACCGTCGTTAAGGTTTATGATATTTGTACAATGTTGGTAATGAGCAAGTTGTTATCGATTTAAATTGAGATAGAAAAAAAAATTGTATAATTGTAAAATACATTTGTGTTGAAGTTTCAAATTACGGTTATTTATACAGTATTAAGGTAAAAAACGCGATAAATACTATTTCTAACGGAATAGATTTTTAATTGCTAATAGTTATACTAAGATTATAGCATTAAAACAAAAAAAATACTTTTGGGAAAGGTTGATCTGTTCTCATCACTTCCCACATAACTACACCATTAGATACCTAAAAAAATGCATTACTGCGATTGTCGAATTTAAAGGGTTATTACATTTGACCGTTTTTTCTTTAAAAAGACAATGCCGCAGTCTATTTCCTTCCGTTACCAAATTAAAACATGTTCACTCTTTTAATAATAATTTGTACAGGTACAAACCTATCGGTTTAACATTCTATAGCCAAAAATATTCTTTTGAACATTTTCGTGATTAAAAAACAAGACTGCAGGGTATTTAGATAATCAGATAATTAGTACAAAAAATGAATTTTCATTTTTAAAATAATTCTGAAACCATATTACAGTTATTGTGTATTACCAATTAATCAATTAATATAATTCATTTCACCGATTAATTAATTATATTCGGCGGGATTTCGTCCGAGTTCTTTGAGGTTAATTTTTCATCAGTATAATAATATAGGTAACTACACTATGGTTAAGGCAGTTGACGCCGGCTAAAATTAGTGTTTTTCATAACTCCTGTTTTTTTTTTTTTTTTTTTGGTTTATTCTAAATTGATTTTATTATTTGGAGAAAAATAGTCATGATTTAAGTTTCAAAGTAAAATTTGGATTCGAATGAGAATGAGAAAAAGAACATTTCTCTTTTTTTTAAGAGAAGGAGGAAGAAGTAAATGGACAGCGTAGAAAAACGTTATTTCATTTTTGTAGGAAAACGGTCTCGCCCGAAAATCCGGTACAATAATAATATTTTGTACCGCCATCAATCACACGACAAGCATTGGTACGAAAATAAAACGGTTTATATTATAATATAGGTAGTCTATATTTTTTTTTTATTTTTTTTAACCCCGATTCTTTTGCAGGTTTGTCGTTATCGATTTATTTCAATACGAAAATGACAGACTCGACACCGGGCCTAAAATGAACCGGGACTTTTGGTTTACATTGGTATTGTATATTATCATGTAGGAAGATATTAGGATCGCGCCGAGAATCACTTTGAGTATTTTTCTCTCGGTTTCGTATTTTTTTCGTCTGTTCCTGCGTATACTGCCATAATATAATACACGGTGATCCATTTATGACGAACCACCGTATTCTCGAAGGATTTTAAGTGAAATCGATTTCGTACCGTAAAATGATTGGAATAAAAAAAATAAAATAAAAATAGCTATCAAATTCACTTGAAATTCTTCAAGAAAATCTCTGGTTCGCGATCATAATGAAACGGTTAGTATGCGAGTGTACGTTGAAAAAAAGTACCTATATACTTAAACAGGGTGATTTGTTTTATCATGAACTAGAAATTATCTCAGAAGATTTTAAGTGACTTTAATTTCTGTTTTTCTAATCATTATGGAATCGGTTAAGCTTTATTTTAAAACTATTTTTTATTTTTTTACCTCAACTCCATATACCTTAATTAAGTATATACTTTTGATTTTTAAATAAGAAATTCTCCCTTTTAAACATAGTGTTGAATAGAAAATATTTTTCTGGAAATTTTGATATGCATAACACTAATATCAGATTTACCGTTTATGAGTTATAACAGTTCAAATTTTACACCGAAAGAGTAGCGAAGGGTAATAAATTGTCAATCTATAACTAATAAATAATCTTTAATAATTTTTCTATAATATTGTAATCTGGTGATTGCGCGGCGGTGTATCGCTCCCTTTCCTCGTAGTGCAATGGAAACGATAGAATTTTTCGTTTTTTGCAATGGATCGACCAAAAAAAAAAAAAAAAAACAAGAATATTTTATATACACCTTATATTATTATTGTAATCGAAACGAAAAATAGTATTATTTTGCTTAACGCGTGTAAGACCATTTTTAATTTTTTTTTTTTTACAGTAGGTGCGTGTGGGCGATTAAATCGCCCACAACGTACCACGTTCCGTGCGGTTATAAGGTTATAAATACTATTTCCGCCCTCCCCTCCCCTCGTCTAGAGTGCTAAGTACAGTCAAGTACCTACTTATAATATAATGTTATTACTATAATCTCCATCGTTTCGAGGGTAATATTATTTTATTGACAATTATTGACCGCGCTCTAAAAAGCAACATACTATTACTTCGATCGCACGGAAATTAATTAGTCTGCATTTAAAAACCTAACCGAAAGCGTTCTAAAATTGTTCGGTTACGAAGCCGGGCGTCGTCCGGTGGCGGATTCACGAGAAGGAGGACGGAGTCTAGGGGGTCGGGACCCTCCCCAGACATCGAAATAATTTCAATAAGACGTCATCCGGATGAGATCCGGTATATAATGATAGATAAGTATCCTTTGAAATAAGTATTTCGGGATCCGTCCCAGAAAAATGTTGAAAATCCGCCACTGGCGTCGTCGTCATTACGGGCCGGCGTCTGTAAAACCCTCGTCGGTCGACCATCTCGTTTCCGGGTCGATACATTTTCGTTCAGACAATCGATTATAAACAGTTTATTTACACCGCGATTTAATAATAGTTAGAGTATTAACTCCCGATATATTTGTTTAACCCTCAAGGAGATTGCGGCGATGCCGCAGTGTCGTATACAGGCATTTGTTTTTTTTTGGTGGGAGGGGGTAGCTGCTGATAAGTTACATGTTAAATATCATTGTAGTTTATTACGGTATATACATTATATTATATTTAAAACAATAGTTTTAGATTTACTGAAATTATTTATTATCTGTCCTTCGGCTGACGGTGTAGTATATTTAAATTGATTTGGACGTAAAATCCAAGAAAAAAAAAAAAAAACTGTATGAATTCTGTTTATCGGGTATTTAAATTTTAAAAACGGGTTATGATTATTTAGGGTTTACAGCATTGGTGATCAATTACGGCCCTCAGTCATTTTCCGTTAATCGGCCCACTCACCAAAGTATTAAACCAAAATTGGTTCAATCATATTCGTCTGTAAAACCGACCGTACCCCTGTACCTTAAGTAGACACGCGAACAAGTATCGTCGTGACCATTAAGATAGCTATACACATGTACAATTAATTTTTAAGTTTTACTAAATCGGAGAAAACTTGTAAAACCGCCACCAATACTCTTATTGAATCTTTAACGGTGCTCGGTTGAAATTTCCATGTAAAAAAAAAAAAAAAAAAAATAGTGCAGTGCACATATTATTACGTCCAGAATTTAATGAATAACGTGTTTAAAATGTTTAAAACAACAATGTCTGATAATATTTGTTCGTTTAAATGTTGTGTTCTTTTCCGGTTAAAACATATTCCGCACAGTGGCGCGCCTAGGAATTTTCAACTGGAGGGGATGTAGGAAATAAGAATCGTGAATAAGTTTTAAAATCGTCTTCTTTACCTAATGTGACTATTGGAGTTGATAATTTATAAAAGCCGGATCCTAAAAAAAGCTAATTTCTAATCGTGTTGATTAGTTCGATTGACAAGCTTTTCCTTCGAACTTGGCTGAAATAATGATCACCAGAGATGCATTTCAATATTAGATTACAAACTCATATTTTTTGTTTTATATTTTTAAGCCGATGGGGGAGGGGTATAACTCCTAATATCCCCCCTCCCCTTGCACACGCCACTGATTCCGCATATTGTATACCTTCAATCGGTTTAATATCAATATTTATGCTCTATTTAAATGGCTTTTATTGACTCATATTATGAATTTAATCACATATTTGAGAACTTTTTTTTTGTTTATTAGATAAAAATAAAAATTCAAGCGATGTCCTTTTTTTTTGGTTTTTTCCCCCCCCTTTGTTTGTTCCATTTTAATGGAATAGGGCACTTTACTTATACGGGCCTCCGGACTCCCACAACTGTCACAATCCGGACCTGAATATTGAAATTTTTTTTTTTCTTTTGTATATTACGATTCTATTAAATGAAGATTTTCACCATACGAAAATTGCTGTCGCAATAATAGATTTGCGTCGTCTTTAAAATAATAATCATTCTCGTTGACGTTCGTATATCATCGCAGAAAATCGTGCGGACAACTAAACGATAGTGACTCACCGGGTAAATAAAAAATATATTCAAATATGTTATTACAATAATATCGCAATAACAATTAAACATACACACGCACACGTCTCGTATTTTATGAGCATCAAATATAATTAACATTCTGTACAGTATACAATTATACAATAATTTTTCTTTTTGTGTTTTTGTGGTTTTTTTTTTTTGTTTTTACATACTATATAAGTACAAAATAATAATACAACATAAAATAATCGCCGCGTAATTTGCACGAGCGTTATATGTATTATGGTTTTTTCGCTATTCTAGATAAAAACATCAAAACGAAATGATATGCATTTTACAATTATATATTATACAAATAATAATAATAATAATAATAATAATAATAATAGTAATAGTAAATAGGTATAATTAATAATTATAATACGAAACGAACACGGAAATCAAGGTTTACACTTACGACATAAATATTATAATATTGTATGTAATATGTATATTGTATGTATTATCGTAGGTATATATATATGTATATAATAATTATCATAATTCATAATAATTAATAATAGTGTAATAATATAATATATATATAAGTTTGAGAGAAAAAAAATAAAAAAAAAAAAATACTAAATATTAGGTATATATTATATAAATATTCGTCCTACTCGCGTTTGACGAGCAAATTTTTTTTTTTTTTCGAGTGAGTTTATATTATATAATATTGTATTATAGCTGTATAAATATTAATTATTATAATATAACGAATATACACACACACACACATATATATATACATATATATATGTATATAAATACGTAGACATAGAAGAGTATGATAATGTACAAAAAACAAAAAAAAAATTACGAAATACAAAACGAATACATTACAGTTTTGTTCTCGATAGAGTGCAATAATAATAGGTAGTATAATGGATAATATCATAATCGGAGAAATCGGTTAAAACGTAACGACAACAATAATAACGACAACAACAATAATAATATAAATAATAATAATAATAGGTAAAAACGCGTAAAAAATGCGATTCTAACGCGGCATTTTTGTCGCACAACGCTCGGCGGGTGCTCGACGATATAATTTAGCGGTTTTTACGGACGTCGATAAAATTATCGTGATCGGTACGGTTAAACAGTTTCAGACGGAGGCGCCGTGTAGTGTGGGGGGGGGGTGGGGGGGGGCTCGGGAGTGCAGTCCCCCGTGAGTTTGACGAACTGGGGCCGCCAAGGAATATAATAAGACGACTTGGTATAACCTTACACGAGTATATCTAAAACAGCGAGCCCCACCCCCACCCCCTTCACCCGGTGATCCCCGTTAAAAACTTGACGCCTACGGACTTTCAGCGATCGTTTGCACATGCCTTTCGAAACCAACACGAGCGGTGTGCCAATAATGCGCGGAGCCGCCGGGAATTATAGAAAAACGACGCGCAGTCGTCTGCCCGCTACTACAGGCGTACCCGGTCGTGATGGAGACGACGATTGTTCGTTGATGTTACGAATCCCGATAACCGGTGGGCGATTATTTTTTTCCCAAAAAAATTCAAACGTAATCATTTTACGTACGCGTTTTCGCGACGCACTATACCGACATTATTATTGTTATTATTATTATTATTATATATATTTATATGTTATTCTGAACGAAATTCATTTCGAAAAATGGCGGGTTTTATTTATTTATTTTTTGTAATAAAATGCGCTGAGCAAATAATATTGTGAACGAACGAACCGACCAGATCGCCACTGCAGATGTGTAGGCGTAAAAAAAAAAAAAAAAAAACAATATTACTATTTTTCACTAGAGTTTCGGAAACACGCTCTTGTTGGTCACGTCACGGCACGATAATTATTAATTATGGTATTACTAACGTTCTCGCGGTTAGGTTAACGTGACTGTCGGTCGGTGGCGTATTTATAGGATTTTGCTGAGGCGGAGTAGATATTGAATTCTAAAATTGTGACGTATCGCGTATGTATTATTATTATACAGTGTATCTAATATAGACCGGGGGGGGGGAGTGGGAAGGATCGATTTAAATTTTTGCCGGTTAGAAATTTTTGTGTTACGTAATTATTCAATTTATCCTGAAATTATCGTCGATAGATAAGGATTACACTATATAGGTGCCCGTCAGTAATAATCGTTCTAAGTTTGTGTTAACGGTACGCTATACTACAGAGGTATAACTGGACTATTTGACATTTTTATATTTAACTGCACCATGTATGTAATACATAATTATCTTTGTGTTAGATAGATATAATACACACGGGATAGGTGTCGCGGTTCTAAACAAGAATGACGTGGGCCTATGCGCGTTCAACCTAAAGGATATTTCCGACGCCACATTTGCGGTTGTCAATATCGCGACTATCACGACAGTGGACTTAGAATGTCACGAGGCCGTCGCGCGTTCGGACTCCGGGCTTTATTATTTTAATCGATTTGTCCGCGTCGCATTTATATTATACGGGTTCGAAGGTTCGGCAACGAAGGTGTGCGTTTTACAAATCCAATCGTGTCGTTTAGGAAAATAATAAAAAAAAAAAAAACCTTTATTATGACATACGAATAATTATTAATGTATATATTAGGCGCGGCCGGTTTTCATTATGTGCCTAAATTTAAACCTACACCTGTGTATAAATCGAAAAAAAAAAACAAGAAAAAACCTCGCGCGTGCCCCGCAATAATAATAATAATAATACGATATTGTTTGACTGACGATAATATATTATTATTTTATACTGAATGTTAATCGAATAAGTTTTGACGACTTTTAATCGTGTTCGAAACTTTTAAAAATAAATTAAAAAGGGGGGAAAACGGTTAGCGAAACGAAAACAAATTTAATTTACTGCTCCGCGCTTGTGTAATATATTATTATTAATAGGGCGAAATAAATCGTTAAAAAAAAAGCCATTTGAAATAGCCAAAAAAAAAAAAAAAACTACACATATTTAATTTGTTTATTAAAAATTAAATACCGCGGACGAATAAATAATGCCCTCGAGCACTATAACTATTGCCTACATAGTGTCTGACGTAATAGTTTATATAGTAGTAGACGTTGTTAGCGGATTCGCGTAAACCAGAACGAAAGAGAAAAAACCGACAGTCGGCGAATTGATAGCGATTACGTTGATAACATGTTTTTTATCGTAAAGGTGCGTGTGTGTTTATGACGCCGTCGCAGCGTGCCGACGGGCCGTTGATTTTCACCGGTCGTCAACACTCAGAAGGAAATCGTAAACACGCCACTGACCGTGACACTCGCGACATCTCTCCGTCAATCGCCAATATTATTATAGGTTTTTTTTTTTTTTTTTTAATAAAATTTATTGAAATTCGATTTGCGGAGGCTTATTGAATACGATAATTCCGCCGAACGGTGTGGGCAGTCAATTCGTTCGTATTCGTACCGGCCCGTGTACGGAAAACGTGGGCGATAAGTCCGTCAGTACCTTATAACAAGAGGCACGCATAGGTGGGTACCCGAGACCCGAGTATATTATCGTTGGAGTTACGGTCGTTATTATAACAGACACTCCGTTTTTTGAATAAGGTTATTTTTGTTTCGTTTTCACCCGTCCTACGTCGTCGGTCGGACTCGGGCGCTGTTCAACGACAATGCAGCAGTCGTCTCCGTCGTTGTCTCAACTGTTTATTATAATATGTCTATCGATTATGTGTATCAAGTCTGTCGTCTTAAACGACGGCGAAAAACCAACGAGAAAGCCCAACAAGTGGCGCCGAAACCGTACGGTTTTCCGCCTGCGGGAGGCGGTCCGAGACATTTCGGTCCGGATTTCGCGCCGGCTGCTGTGCGAATTTACGGATCATATTCGGCGAAACGCGCTTGGACCGTCGAAGATAATGCGTTTTGTTCGAATGGTTTTTTTTCTGTTCATTTTCCCGTATAAACGGCTCGGAGTCAATAAAAAGTTCGTTACTACACGCGCGTTTATCGACGGTCGAAACGAGCAAAGGGCGCGCTACCTCTAAGAGGATTACAAACGCGGAACGAAAGTATACGCGAGTGTCGTACGAGTTTTATGGGATTTGTGCGGTGTAGTAGCCGTTGTTGGTTTCGAATCCGTTTCTCTTCGGGCAGACAACCCCCTCCCCCTCCTCCATTCATCCCTCCCACCCGGTCCGTCGACAATCGTTCACAGCATTGCCGTGTTATTATTACTCGCGCGCGCGAGTTTTTTCGTCGTACAAACGTCCCCCGGGGGGGGGGGGGAAGCGAAACAATTACGTATACTTGATTGTGCAGTATTACCGCCGTGTGGCGCAACGGTGATCGGCGCGGTCGGTATGTGGGTCGGATCTGACCTGCCCCCCCGGTCGAAACGAAATGCGCCACCGCGAAACGGCCGTGTAACGGTCGCGTGATCGTTTTCACCTATACATCGAATTGTGTATTTCGGAGCGGTAATGAAAACTCCGTCGTGCGTAAAAAAAAAATCCGTAACTTTTACTCTAAAATATCGCGTGTTACACGGCCGGTGGTTCTTGACCTTTTTTTTTTTTTTTTTTCTCTCTCTCCCGGCGCCCGTTCGTCGAGATACGTGCCCGCCGCGGACGTCGTCTCCCTCTCGCAGATACAAAAAGACCGGACGGCGGGAAATTTTCCCGAGTGTACATTACCGTTATACGCGGGTCGGCACACGAAATATTCCGGATGAAAACCTATCGACCCCGCGAAGAACGACCGCCGCTGCGGCCCGAAACACCGGCGTTCTTACGGCGTTGCCGTCGCCGTAAACGTTAATTTCTACGCCGGCTCGCGAAACATCATCGCCGGGCAAACAGCAGAATGTTATTGGCGCTCGGCGAGCATTCACGTCCCCGTGACGCGATCACAAGATAATTTCAGAAGCGGACCGGCCACTACCCGTGAACAATGGTCGTGCGCGAGGCGACGGGCCCGGAGGTCCGGTAAACCGCGGCGATTCGTCGTTTATCACCGCTGCCGGCACATCGTAAACAAAGCGCCTCCGCGCATCATGGAACCCGGAGTAGCCGTACCCGTCCCTCTCGATGGCCTATCCGCGTCGTTCGTTATCTGTATGGACGCGATCCGTAGGTAATGATAACGATAACGGTAACGTACTGCGGGTCCGGGGCGGACGGGCCGCGGCGATCCGATCGACCGCGATGAACGCCGGGATTGAAATTTGTTTTCTCATTTTCGCGTACGTACAGCCTCGACGACCGTCCGCGTAAAACACCCGCGCACGCAGAGGTAATAACGGCCACGTGCCCGAAGGATTTACGCGGAGTGCGTGTCGCGGGGATCTGATCGTAGATATTTTTATTATTTTTTTTTTTTTCTAGAAAATACATAATGCAATTTCTGTATGTATAGATAATACACCCGCACGGAGCTCTTTGGCGCAGCGCATTGTAATAGGCGCACGTATTTTTATTTTTTTTTCCCACAACTACGCGGCGACGCGCGATTTTCCGTACACGTCGGGCGTAATAAGGCGATAGAATTGTTCAATTTTTTTCCTGAACAAAAAGCTTTTTACTTATTATTATTGTTATTGTTATATTTCGCTCTCTATATATGCCTACTTGAAACGGAAAAAAAGACGATTTTACAAAAAAAAAAAAAAATACGAAAATCACGCAACACATATTACGTACTATTACGATTATTGTAACGTTTAGAATTATCATTATTTGTGGTTTTTTTTTTCTTTTACTCGCCACACTAAAATATACGCAATTTTATTATATATATATATATAAATTAATTTTTAAACATTTAATATTAACTGTTTTTTTTTTTTTTAAATTTCATAAAAATAACGACATGATATTGTTATTATTGTGTTTATATTATTATAATTAATACATACGGAGTCGTTAATGCGACGCGACTCGTATTGCGCTTCGAGTTAATCCGCGTCCGTATGCACGGGCGAACGTAACAGCTGCAGTTACGTCCGGATATTGGGGGGGGGGGCGGTGGGGGAACGAGCGTCCGCGACGAATCGTAATTTTTCCGCGGGGATTTACCCCCGAAATTTTCTCTGCGAATCCAAAACCGCTCGAACCGTCCGATAACCGCCAGTATATTAGTATTTCATTAAAGCTTCAAAGCGCATCGAGTCGAGTGGCATTGTATAGTGCGTATTTGACGAACCCGGTATACACTACGACGCACGTATAACGCCGCTAAAAAAGAACCGTATTCGAATATTAATAATTATTGTATTATAATATATGATATCGATAATAATAAAAAGAAGATATTATAGTATATAATGTTAAAAATTGTAATTATTATTGTAATTTTTTTTTTTAAGTAAATATTAATGTAAACTGGATATTATAATATTAATTTTATATAATATTGTAGAGTAATAATAATAATAATTTTTTTTTTTTTTTTAATATAAAAAACGTATAATAACGTATTATAGAGAGCCCACTACTGTATTATTGTTATTATTTATAACGAGACGTTTTCTAAAACATTTATTCAACACGAAACAATGGAAAATCGTTGTTGACATTATTGTAACAGCTGATTATAAATATATGTTGCTTATATATTATTGTATATAATAGATAATATTATAATATTATAATTGAATAATCGATTATACTGATAAGAACGTCAGATATTAATGATCGTTTTATCATCGTTATTGTAATATTAATATATTCACACACAAAAATCGATAAAAAAAACAAAAAAACGTATAGTTTTTAAAATGAGTATATATTTTTACACGCATTTTGTTGTTTTCGAATCTTATTTTGATCTATACCTCTATAATATACTACGATCTAAACTAACAATATTGTAATATTATCCTAAGACTAGATCTTAAAACGTATAGGTACGGCCAAACGCTCTCCGGGAACATATTATATTTTGTATAGAATATATTATTGTAACAGCATTATAATGTGGGTATAATGTATAGGTATAATGTTTAGAGAGAGAGAGAGAGAGAGAGAGTGAGAACAAAAAAACAGCAAAGACGGGTGGGGGCGGGCGGCGGCTGAGGAGTGTTATAATGTTAATTTCCGAAATCGTTTGCGAAACTTTTTCCTGTGAAATAAATCGACTGCAGTCTTTTATACTCTTTGTATTTTTCGCGTTTTAGCCAAAACGCGCGGACACCAACACAACCGTTATCGATATTGCGCGCGTCCAGTTGTGTACGGATAACGCGTGCAATTTACTCCGCGATTTACGGAACACCTCCCTATACCACTCCCCGGCTGCAAAGGGGTCGACTGTCTCGGCCGGGACGGGAAGCGTCGGATTATTATTATAATACGTATAAATATATTATACTTGGCGCGCGAGGATGATGAGTAACAAGGGGCTCGGATTCGGACGCGTTTAGTATCCGCAAAAAAAGCACTCGAAAACGGCAAAAAAGCACCAGGAAAAAGCCGATGAAAAGTATTCGAAAAAGCGAACGATTTAGAGGCGTTTAAAAGTCCCTAAAGCTCTAAAGGGCTCTAATCTATTAAACGCGATTTTCGGGACGCCGCAAAAAACGATTGACGCACGGTGGGTCTTTTTTTTTTTTTTTACTAATATACCCGCGTACAATTTGTTCCGATAGCGTTAGAAAATTGTATGTAATCGTTTAAAAGCATCTAGAGGCGGGGGGAAATTTTATACCGCGCTACTGATTTCGGTTTTTTAAATATTTTTCGAGGACCAGTTTTTGCCACTGTTAAGCGGGGTGTTTTTTCGTGGATTTTGAGCGCATTTAAATCCGGGCCCTATAATAATCATGATGAGTGTTTTGGGTGCTGCGGTCTGGAGGGTCGGTATATTATGTATGCGCGTGACGGTCGGGTAACCGGCGTACGGTATAGGAGTTTTGCGGCGGGGCGGGGGGGGGATGGGGAGGGGGGGGGTNGGGGGGGAGATGGGTAGGGTGGGGTTGGGGTGAGGGGGCCGGAGCCCTAAGGATCGCGGAAACGGCGGAGAGAGTGCGGATGGTAAACGCGGTATCCGGGAGGTGGCAGAGATCGGTTACTGTTCAAGGTTTGGCCACTGCCGCCACCGCCATATTTGCTGATCTCCCCTGAAATGTACGAAAATCCAGTGACGCTAGTGGTTCCGTCCGAAGAACCGGCGGCCTGGTTTCGCCTCTCGCTCGTCGGCGACGAGGCGAACAGCTCTAGTCATAGTTCTGTCACCGGTATCGGCTTGTCGTTGCGGTGTGGCATGGTGTTCTGCAAGTGACGTTGGTGCTGGTACATGTTGTGCTGGCCGTGATGGTGACCGTAGGTGCCGTGATGATGTGGCGGCGGCGGTGGGGGCGGCGGCGGCGGCGGGCCCGGTGTCATCATCATCATGCTGTGGTGATCGTTTCCGGCCCCGTGCTGCTGCTGGAGGTGTTGCTGGAAATGCTGGAGATGGTGGTGGTGCTGTTGCTTTTGCTGCTGAACTGACGGACCGTGCGGGTTCTGGTGACCACCCCCGTGGTGTTTGTGATGCTGTTGCCCGCCGCCGTGGTGCTGCGGCTGATGATGATGGTGTTGGTGCGGTTGGTGTTGATGCGGTGTAGTGTGATGATGAGTATTGGTGTTCCGGACGATAAACTCGTCGTCCGAGAACGTCTTTTGGTATTCCAGGTCCTTTCTGTTTACCGTCTCCTTGTTCCAGAACGTCTTCTTAAGCGAATGGTGCAGGCGTTTCCGGAATCGGTACGCCAACAGCAACATGAGCGCTATGAACGCTACCGTGCAACCGAATACCGCGCCAACGATGGCCTGTTGCCTAGTGTAGTATTTGGCGCACGACAGATCGTCCGATCCGAGCGAGTTGAGAGACTTGCCTTTGAGTGGTGCCGGTCCCGCGCAGTCGACATGGCTGGTGTTGCGGCGAGCCAACAGTTCCTTGAGCCACAGTACCGAACACTCACATATCAACGGGTTCTCGGTCAGATCGATCAGCTGGAGTTCTTGCCACGTGACCATCGCCTCGGCGAATGAAGTGAACGCGTTGTTTCGCATGATCAGATTACGCAGGTTGGGCAGTCCGACGAACGCGCCATTCTCGACGCTCGACAATTGCTTGTTGCTGCTGAAGTTTATCGTCTCTAGATTTAGATTTTCGTTGAACACGCCTTTTTTGATGTGGGTCAATTGTGACGCACCCGACACGTCGATGGACCGCAAGCGCGCCAAGCCTTTGAACGCGTCAGATTCGATCTGGGCAAAGTCATTTTGACCCACGGACAACTCTTCCAATCTGTCTAGTTCGGACAGCTGCTTGGTAGGTATGGCCGACAAATGGTTGTCGGTGAGCACCAGGCGCCTGAGCATGATGAGCCCTTTGAACGCGTCCTCGCTGATGTTGTTTAAAGCGGCGCCTGTCAGGTCCAGTACGGACAGGTGGCTGAGCCCGGTGAAACAGTCATTGTCCAGTGTGGTGAATGCGTTCAAGCCGATGCGCATTTCGGCCAAGTTGCCCAGGAACTTGAAGGCGGGCGTCGGTATGGCCCGGAGCTGATTGTCGTCCAGGTACAGGACTCGGAGCTTAGTGAGGCCTTGGAACGCGGCCGGATCGATACGCGATATGCCGTTCTCGCCCAGGTCCAGTTCCTCGAGCTTGGGCAGCGCCGCGAACAGGCGGTCCGGCAGGTCGCCCAAGTAGTTGCCGCGCAGGTTCAGTATGGTGAGCGAGACGAGCCCGATGAACGTTTTGTTGTTGATGGACGAGATTTTGTTGTGGTTGAGATGCAGCTCGACGAGCTTTTCCTGGGCCTCGAAACCCTTGTTGGGTATGTTCACCAGATGGTTGTGCGATATATCCACGTACTGCAGGGCCCCGTAAAACTGGAACGACGCGTCCACGATTTTTATCCGATTGTACATGAGCATCAGCCTCTGGATAGACGGGTTCAGCGTGATGGGTATCACGTCCAGATTGCCTTCTTTGCACAGCACCACCAGAGTCTCGTCATCGCACGAGCAGTTGGACGGACAGTGGGCCTGTATCGTGGCGGCCATGACGGCCACGAGCGTAACGGCCCAGGCGGCCGAAACGCGTCCGCTCGTAAACATTTTCGTGCGGATGGCGCTACTTATACCGCGGTCCGAGCATCGAACATCTGAAACACAAACAAAAGTCGTTAGAATCAATAATACGGGTTCAGGGACGGGGCAGTGATTAAGGACGATACATAGGGGAGCGTACATAGGGGACGCCCCTCGTTCCAGTACGTACGTGATTTCCTCCCCCCCCAAAAAAACATCCCGCAAGGCGAAAATCGTTCGTTTGCCGCGCCCTTATGTTTTACCGCCGTTCTTGCCGCGCGGAGCGACTTTCGCGCCATACCCTCACTCGAGATGCGCCGCTGTCCGGCTCCGTCGATGGTTTGACAATTTTTATACGCGAAATAATCGTTTGTTTTATCTGAACGGCTTGCGATGCACAGTATCTACGAGTGCAACAATAATATTACGATAATCTCGTGTCCGCTGATTATTATTTTTATTACCACGCGCAACTCTAAACGGCGCGCGGGCGACGACAGTTTTAATGTATATTACGCCGCAAACGCGCGTATCTCGCGATATCTAATTTTTTAATATAATTTTACGACCGTTTTAATATAATTTATACGTGTGTGTTTTGAATACATTTGCGGCGTATATGTGTATATATATATATAGACAACGTTAAATTTACATAAAAAAGTGTATATTATCTGCACAATCGCAATGGAGCCGCTGCAGCTACGGCGCGGTATTTGCGAGTATTAACGACTTTGCAAAATACATTATATTATTATATATGTTTTAAAATGCATTAAGGTCAGAGAGTACCTCTATAATATATATAAATACACACACACACACACACATAGGTACTTTTACTGTGCGACGGCTATACACACCGCGATTTCTATTCAATGACGTTTCGTATTATATTGAAAAAAAAGGTTTTTCTTTGTTACGGGGGTTACAGCAGCGGCAGCTGTTGATGTCGACAACTTTACCGCGGAAAAAATAAAACAGTAGGTAAATTATTATAATATTCGACGTCGGTCGGCGTGTACGCGCAAATCGATAATATTCGCCATGTGTGCGTTTTTATGTTTACCTATTCCACGTGACAATAATATTTGCGTTGCACGAAAATTCAGAACAAAACAAAAGAAAAAAAAAAACGAAATCCGCACCACGGATAACACCTAATACAGAAAACGCGATTTAGAAAGCTCGACGTGAACGGGGGACACCGAGACAAATCGCGAACCGTCAAATTTAAATTCGACCTTTGAATAAAACAAAGCGGCAGGAAGCGTATAGACACGACGTATTTTCGCGCACGTCGAATCAGTGGCGGATATCGAGGGGGGCGATCGGCAAACCGTCTGGAGAAACGCCGTATCCCGTTACCCCGGCGAATATGAAATCCGCCCCCGTGCCCCTCGAAAACCGGGACACTATCGCCGCAGCGCCACTGGTACATACAACGAACTCGATGCAATTTGACGTTAAAAACGATTTCGAACAACGCGTCTAAATCGCTCCGGGCCGAGGTTAGAGGATCGCGATTATGAGTATCCCGCGAAACACCGGCAAGGTATAGAAAGACAACAATATGTTAACAGCGTATACGAAGAATAAGTAAATAATTATTATTATTGTTTACGCGTGCGGTTGTGTTTTTCAACATGTCGGCTCATTAAATTGCAAAATAATATCGTACCGGTATACGTTATAATATTATATTAATACACCCGTTATTTATAAAAACGTTCACGATTGATAAAACGCGTATTATATATTTATTAACATGCATAAGTGTAGTGAGGGGGGGAGGGGGGTTCAGGGTGGTGGAGTAGAGGGTTAACTGTTAAGCGAACCATATTTATAATAAAAGCAATAAATACCGCGCGACTGTAGTGTATTGAGTGATGAAAAGCTATTTACGGTTTTTTTTTTTTTTTCCATACGTTTTACGACGGATTTTCACACATGGACGCGTTGTCAAGAAGTAACAGTGATATTATAATATAATAATGGCGATTAATATAATATAATAATATGTGACGCGACGTGGCGATGGAAAGATTAAAAAAAAAAAAAAACGAGACGTTATGATATATTATTTTTTTTACCGGGTTTTTTCTTTTTATCGATCATTCGCTGCACTACGTTGCAATAGAGAGGTAGACAGAGAGAGAGAGTAAATAATTTACACGTATATGGGTGTGTTATTATTATTAATAAAAAACGTAAACGTTGTATACACGGGCATATATATGTATAGTTAACAATGATAATACGTCGTCAAAACGCAGGAGGGCCGGGGTGTGATGACGAAGGCTGCCGCCGCCGCCGAGCGAAACGATCTCGCGGAACATTTTTCATAAAAAAATATGTCTGGAAAATAATAACGCAATATTATTATTATGTATATAATATAGGACGTGTAAACCGACAAAATGTTATATTACTTTAACGCGTCAAAACGAGAGAAAAAAAACACCAAAATATCGTTGATTTATTATTATAATTATGTGCGTTATCTCCCTTCCCCTCTTCCCCATCGGCCTTTTTTTTTCGACAATAGGATACGATGGAACGAAGTGATTATACGTTTCGAAGTGAAATAAATTGCGTTTGTTAAAAAAATGGTGCCCCTTCCCGAGTTCCCTCCCCCCCCCCCAAATGCCATATTTTCGTGAAAAAACCAAACATTTTTGGTGAAAACCGTGAACCGATACAGTCAATGTTTATAATAATAAGACACACAATAATTATAATTGTATACCTGCACACAATTTTGTGATATGATCAGAGTTGGAATGCAATCTTCGGTATAAGTATCTGAAATATACCGCGTATTTTATATTTTATATAATATTGTAACTTTTATTGCTCGATACGTTTCTGGAAAGTATCGAGTATCTTGTACTGCGATACTGTGATTACAGTGTATCTATAGTATCGAGTGTCTAGATACACTCATTATGAAGTATCTCGCCTATAGGCACTCGAGGGGGGAACCGGGCGGAAGGGGGCTAACTAGGCTGTTTCTTCTGCACCGGGACTTATCGTAAAATACTTTATAAATTGAAAGCGATTGTACGAAAACCGGAGGAATCGTATAGAGGGAATTTCGAAAAATATTTCAAATAAGTATAACCGCTTCGTTTTTTTTAAGATTTCGCGTGCGTGTAAAATTGAATTAATATTTCAATTTTAACGTATCATGTATCTGTGTATACTGTATATGTGTATACTATGTATACGTAAAGTATTTAAATACGTAAAATGTAAATATCGAGTATCTCGTATTACAATACTCGTTTTACGCAAGAATGGGCAAGTTACAGTACATAGTGTAACTGAATACTAGTTAGAATAGTTACTCTAATTTTGGACAACTGATTACAAGTTACAGTATTATATATCCTGAGTAACTGGTTACAAGTTACAGTTCCTGTAACTAAGTTAAATGATAAGTTACAATTTGTTTATAATTTATTATATTTTCATGCAAATAATAATAATATAGTTTTCAGTCAATAAAATAAATTCAATTCAATAGGTCAATAGTTTCAAGTTAAGCTATAATATATTATAGATATTACAATTACTGATAGCATAACTAGTAAGTGATAAGTGATTTGACGCGTATTGTTCTACGCATTGTTACAAAAGTAACTGTGTTACGTAACTGATTACTGTCCATACCTGGTTATACGTAAGTATCTTCTATATAGTATCTTGTATTTAGTAATACTGGAAATGTATTTAATTCAGGACAGTGTTAAAGGGTTAAAGGCAATGGGAGCATTTGCTCCGGGGTGCCAAACATTTTTCAAACCGGGGTGCTCGGCTCAAGAGAAAACTCGAAATAAAATTAACAATATCACTAATTGCTATCACTGTTATATTTTGTTATTTGCATATGAGTAATAATGAAAACCGTATGATAATAATAAGAGCGTATGTATACAGCTATTAGTTAACGGAGGTAATCGGTCGCAGACATTTTAATAAGAATTTAATAATTATCGTAAAAACAACCACGAATTCGGGACGGAGTTAACCCCAAAATCACCCCCGAGTAAAATCTTAAGAGGGGGGGCGTTTAAAAAAACGATGCTCCCGGCACCGAATGGTTTAACGCGGCTCTGTACAGTTATTTTGAAACATTCCGCCAATCCCTGATGGATACGATTATTTATTAATATTTCGATCACAGATATAAATAATATACTAGATTGTTAAATGTTCCGTATAATTGCTCGAAGCGGACGGTAGCCGTTTAATTTGAGGCCCACGCTTTATCGTCCATTTATATAATATTGTGATAACTGTTGAATATTTTAACATCTAATTAAATGACGGATTGGAATTTCATCATTGTTTATCACCCAGTTAGCTGCAATCTTGTTTATTGCGTACGTCTATGATTTTGATTATTTTAGATTCTGAGTGAAGCGTAGAAGCTTGTGATTTTTACAAAGACGTTTAATTTTTTATTTTATTTTTTCCGTGGAAAACTTTTTTATCAGAAATCGGTCTGGGGAGCTCCCTTAAGGAGGTAATTTTTCGATTTTTCCTGTAGGAGTTTTCCCAACAAATCGCAAAAACCGGGAAAAAACAGAAAAATAAAAAAAGTACAATAGTAAAGAAATTGTATTAAAGAAAATATACGAGTATAATATATGAGTATGTAATTATTTTACCATAATATGACATATGTGTATATTTTTGACGAAACAACACTATCAAGTGAACTCCGCTCAGAATCGTTTTTTGTTACCAATGGTTTATCTAATCCCTTACAGATATACATTAAATTTGCCCACTACTACCTTCCCAATTTCTTACCTACAGCATTAGCCCATACCCCATCCACGTGCGAATTTGCCCATCTATTTTTCTACGATATCGGTTTTTTGGGGACAAAAAGCCGATACCACGCGACGATATTATTATATTTTAGCAATGTCGGTTTTGTTTCGGACATTTTTCGAAAATTTCGCGCCATATAATTACGCGGTGTAATCCATAGGCTAATTATTCGTGAATATATTTTAGAACGCGCTGTAACAGGGAAACAGTAAAAAAAAAAAAACGATTTACATTGTTAAAAATGTTTTAATCCTCTGCCTACACCGCAGATTGTGTGATAGTGTACGTATAATAATATTAAACACACTAACGTGAGCTGTTGACCTTTCGAAACCGCCGAAAAATCACGATTCGCGCAATGAGCAGAGGGGAAACATCGAAAACCGAGAGCTCGCGTAAAACAGTTTATTCAGCGGCGATTTAACGCTGAAAAAAACACCTGATAAAAAAATCGCAAATCGATTAAAAAACGAAAAAAAAAACTCTCGTAATAGACGTCCGAGGTGAATTTGCAGACCGTATATAATATAACATGGTATAGTGTGGGTCAAACTTTATTTTTTATCATGGGTCATATAAAGAAAACAATGTTCTAGGCGGGTCACGAATTCGGCGGCATATACAATCGGAAATTTTCTAACCTATTTCGATTACTGTAATTCCGTTATGAATAATAACCATCGTCAACCATTTGACGATACATGTGTATTAGGCGTTTCTAGACGCGGTAAAACGTCCAAAAGATTTTGGCTATTTTCGAAACGTTTATAGGTAGAGATTGGATGTCGATGAATTAAAACATAGTACCAAAATTAACCGAAAAAAAACCCTCCGCTTAAATGGTCGGCACAACTAAACACTGAGAAAAATAGACCGAAATAATACTTTGTCGGTAGAAAAAATATCGTTTTCGGATTCGCTTGCAAAACTGCGTTGCTATCGGGCTATTTACAGACGATTTTGATTTTGACGTGTTTAAATAATTACCGTTGTAACAATTCGAAAACCTTTTTAAACGATATTTGTTTAATTGAAAATAAATCGTTTAAAATCGTGCACTCAAATGCCGAATCGATTGTACGCTGCTGCAGCTATACTGTATATAGTATAGACTACAGATCACTTTGCAATGTGAATTTAATCGCGTTTATTATGTTGTTATTATCGGATTTGCACAGTTTATAAATAATATTCGATAAGCGATGTATTAAGATAAGCGCTCGGATGGGCGTTCGTCTGTAAAAAACTTCTGTATATGTAACATATAACACGTGAACATTCCTGTACAGTGTAAACTTAATCGCAACAAAAACCTTCCGAATAATAATTATTCGAAAAAATAATTGTCTTTGAATTACAAAATTTAAGAAAAAAGTTTTGCAATGTATAATATAATTAGTATACAATTTACGAAAAACCATTTATAATAACAATAGAAAAAAAAAAGGATGGACATACTTTGCGCGTGTGTACAGCCACAGGTGGGAAGTTGGGAAGGTAGGATACAGACGGAAAGTTAATTTATATCTGCAAGCAACAATAAACCATTGGTAACAAAAAACGATTCTGAGCGGAGTTCAAATAAATTTTAGTGTTGAAATTCCTTTAACCATTTACGAGATATTCCACTTTTAAGTTTAGGTTGGGGGAGCGTGGTGGTGCATTAGTAACATGCCGCGCACAATACCGTTACATAAATAATACTCCACTATTCTCTTCCAACCTAAACTTAAAAGTGGAATATCTCGTAAATGGTTAACGAAATTTCAACACTAAAATTAATTTTAAATAATACTCCATCTATTTATGGAACTTATATTATAGGTTGCTATTTGAAAATCAAAACTAGGTAGTGATTTTACCCTTAAAAATAAGGGTGACAAAAAATAAATTAAATATAAAGCTGTAGAGAAGCTTGTTCCCTAAATGTTTTAGAAAATAAATTCCGGAAAAAGTTAATATTTTCCGTTATCATGAGTGTTTTATGATAGATTGATCACCCCGTGACATATACGGGTTGTATATGTCATATTACGATAAAATGGTTACAACCGTGTTCGTTTTCATGACAACAATGATTGTTTAAAAATATTAAAATAATCGAAACTTAATAATAGCAAAAAATAAATAAAAACGGTTACCAATGACAACCTTATTTTTAATCTTTCAATCATTTTTAACCTAAAGAACAAGGGTTTTTCTCATTATCTCGAATATTAATAAGAATTTCAAAAAATTACCTCTCTAGGGTATTACCCAGAGAACATTTCCTTTCAGAAAGGTGCTGTACTTGATAATCAGAGTAAGCCTATTGGTAGAAAAAGTGTGCATACACAAAAAAAAAAAATATAATAATAATAAACATTTTCGTAAAATCAATACATTCTTAGCTAAACTCAGAATCTAAAAGGACGTTACAAAACAAAAATTTAATGCGAAATACAATTTGTATATATTCTGAATCTATACGATGAAAACGAATTTTTAGCTAATAGTAATACGATAAAAGCAAAACGAATTCGTAAACAGTCTTGTAAAGAATTTGAGTAAAAGTATTTAAGCGAATGTATTTAAATACTGTCTCGGATGTATTTGCATTTGAATTTAAAATACTTTTCTTAATTCCAGAATTGAAAATTTCGTGTTGTTATTCATTATTGAAAGTAAAAAAAAAAAAAATAATACATTATAATTTATATTTCATGATTTGAACCTTGTGATGTCATCTCCGTTATAAACCGAGGATAATGAGGTCAGACAAATGCGAATTGACAGGGAATAGTGACGAATGAGACGGAAATTAAACTACTACGCTTACTACAAACATTTTCATATTAATACTTTTGAAAAACAATGCTGCTTAAGTGCAATACAAATTTTTGAAAATTATTACGGCACGATAAATGTATAAATCCTACTTCATTAATATTCGTATATTCGATCATTCAAAGTATTAAATTATTTCTGAACGAATATTGCATTTTATTGATTTTCATTTTTCAGTATAAAATGAAGTATAGTATAGTTCATACTACTTTAATTTTGTTAGAAATAGAATTGAACATTGAATATTAGAAATTTCAAAATTAATTTTGTAAACCTTTTCGAATTAAAAATTACTCGAGAAGTATTTAAATACACGCCGAGTATTTATATTCGTTCTTGAGTAATTTATAAATGGATGTATTTGTATTCAAATATAATTTGAAAAGTATTTTTTTAATTTTTTTTCATGAAACTTAGCGTAAATCATCAATATCCTATTTCCATATTTATAATCGTTTGAAATTGTCGAGTTGTTGTTTTTTTTTTTTTTTTTTTTTTCTAGTTTTTATTCGGTTTTATGCAAATAAAATTGTTTCGAAATGCTTGACAAATGTACGCCGGATTCGATGTAATAGTTGCATACTTGGCGGCCAATAAAGAAAAAAAAAAAAAAATCGAGCGTAAAATGTATACTTTTGCAACGACGTAATATTTAGAGATACGTATGCGTTGACGCATGCGATAGTCGTAAAATTCGGCACTTGAAAAAGTTTTGAACATTGGTCTGCAGAATCGCGTTTCACGAACAATGATTGATCGCCGCGTACACTGTGGGAAAAACGCGAGAAATTAAATTAAATAGCTCTGTACACACGCGCGTGCATCCTATTATGCGTTCTCGGCCTTTTCGTTTGCGCCATGCGAAACGGGCGGATCGGCAAAAACGTTTATTACCATTTACTCCGGGCACTATGGCCGAAACCTCGGACTCCGCGCGCGGGGAGGTAGTTATCGGTCGTTTTTTTTTTTTTTTTTTTTCTATAATCGGGGCGGGCGACGTTCCGAATCGCGGTTCGCGTATCGCCGCAGTAACGTTTTTAAGCGGCGTAAGAAAACGTTAACGGACGTCCGCCGCGTATTTGCACGCGCTGCCGCCGTAAGCGGCACCCTTTGGAAACACGCAATTGCGCGGAACCCGGCGCGTTTTGCAATGTATTCACATCGCGCCGCGGTCGATGGTCCAGACGGGTTTTTACGCGGTTCGCGTAGTTGTTGCACGGCGGGCCGCACACGCGCGCACGTATTGTGAACTCGCTCGTTCGCTTTCCGCGCCGTTCGGCTAATATCCCGAAAACGTTGCCGCTCGTTGCGGGGATGAACGCGGTAAAAATACTACGGCGTCGCGCGGCCGAAATGCCGGTAAACCTCAGGAATGCCCGCGGGCGAAACGCGGAGTGCCCGCGGAACGTCGTATTTCGGCTTTTGCCCGGGCAAACCGAGCACGGTTATAGCGGCCAATCTAAATTCGCCGTAACCCCGTGAATTTCAATTTTCCGCGGTCGGCAGGCACGGCGGTTTGGATTGCGTACGAACGAATAACGACAGGATATTTAGACTATATTCAAACTATACGAATATGACGAACGTATACTGCAGCAGTGGCGCGAAGTGCGCGAGACGTTTTGTTATACGCGGAGTTTTCGGTCACGTCTGAAAATTGCCTTTCTATCGCATGATATCTCGCTCCGGTCATCAACTATGGGCATGTTTTCCGGTCGAAAATGTTGTCTATTTGGTGTGTCGACGATACCGTTTTTCGATTTTTTCGTAGTGTATTCAATAGTCGGGGAAAACAGGATAATTTATACGCAACTGCGGTTAATTTCAAATTTGTATTTTCCTTGTTGTAAAATTGTTGCGGCCCGGTAAAAATGCTCGATAAATAAACACGAGGCTTATCATGGTTCGTACTTAGTGGTGAAAAAAAGTTAAGCTAATGTACAGTTATTATTATTCGTTTTTATAAGCATTTAAAGTTGATCATTTTTTTTATGAAAATCGTAAAAATCGCGGACTTTCAATATTATTTTATAAGGTACGCGTTTAAACGAACTTCGCTCAGAATCGTTTTTAGTTAGCGAACGATTCGTCGTCGCAGATATAAATTAATTAATTATAATTCTATTATACATATATATGTGTGTTTCCTATATGTTTCAAACTTTCCACCAACAACAGTAGCACGCCCGTCAGCGGTATAGGTTCTTTTTTTTTTTGTAATTAATTAACCGTTCCAGTTGACGCGAAACTTCTGGACAGCGGTCGTTCAAATTAGTTTTACTTCGTGGCCCCGATGTTATAATCCGTACGCAATTATATTATCGCTGCAGACAGGTATATTTACACCTACTGTACAATAACAATAATAATATATGTGGGTGTATAAGAAAAAAATAAATATAATCTGTAACTTTGTGACGTCAAGAACGTCCACAGGTGGGAATTCGAGGAACAGCCGCCGCCGAGCCGGTTGAACAAATTTGTTCATTAGCAACGGAAACAACCACTATTGGTATAAAACCTATACGTATGCGCATTATTTTCGTTCGAAATAATAATTTGTGTAGGTATAATTAAATATTTTTATTGTCATTTAGGACACGTAAAAACCGAAACAAAACACCCCCGAAAATCACAGGGTACACTGTCCTCGGTTTTATTACGTATAGCCGAAGCGATCGTAATAATATTATATACGTAAATCCAACGGGAAAAAGTTGAAAATTTACACACGTGTTGTAAAAATCCGGTTTCAACGGGTTTTTTAAACAACGGATACCGATACATTGTAATGAATCCGGCGAGTTTCACAAGCTTTTTATTTATGGGATGAGGGAGGATCGGGTTGGAAGGGTGGGGGCAAACGGCGCCCGTGACCCGGATGATAGTCGCTACGGTCCTGATGAGTGTTTTCCCAAATTTTCTCCAATTTTGTAAAATACGAAATTTTTTTTTTCCATTTTAATGACCGCCTTACAACGATAGTAAAACTTTTACCCTAATCTAGTGCTCAAGGAAAGGAATAATAAACGATAAGCCAAACAAAACTATAGAAATTGCTTTTGGAGTATTTAGATATTTGAAAACATGTTATGACATTACTATAGGATGCGGCGGAATTTTAGATTCTGAGTGGAGCGAAGAAGCTATTATAGTTTTACAAAGATGTTTATTATAATTTTTTTTAAATTTTGTGCAATTTTTCTATAAGAAGACTTGCTCAGATTTCTACGTGTAGCACTTTTTCTGAAAGAACATCGTCGTGAAGAGATACTTTAAGAAAGTTATTTTTCGATTTGCTCAAGAGTTTTCTCACCAAATATTACATAGTAGTAGCTATATTGATTCACGTCGTTACCATGTGTATACACGCAGATTTACACGCGATTAAGTGTACGGAAAAAAGTCGAAAACAAAAAAAAAATAAAACGTTCCCTCCCTTAAGGGCCGCGACCGCAGTGGCCCTCTTATTTATTTGCCGAACAAGTTCTGCCCGTCTTGTCGTCGTTAAGACATTGTAGTGCGGGAAGATGGATTTAAACGGGTACTTGTATGTATTTTATTTTATAGGCACACGAGTATATTATACGTATTTTATGACGGCTGCTACGGATTCCCACGGGACGGGAATGGAACGGCCGCGGTGTTCCCGTCCGAAATACTGACGGGCTATTATATGGGAGAGAATGAAATTAAGTAGAGTGTATACGTTAGGTAGGTACGCAGGTAGTGTAAATATTGCTCTAAGATGAATATAATCTTTTTTTTTTCCCTTTCATCTATCTGAAAATCAAAAATCACCCGCGGTACACGTTTGACTTTAAAACCGCGAGCCTGATAGAATATATATATATATATATATATAAATATTTTTTTTCTGTGTCCATATTGTGTAGGTATACTATATAGGTATACGCTGCTGAAGAGTAGGATTTCGCTAACAAAATATTTTATTTCCCGCAGGAAATACTGCTCTCGCGGCAGCGTGGCTGGGGTGTGAAGAGATTACCGAGGAAATTCGTTAACGAAAGTTTACGGGAAGGTTTTGCGTATCCGCGGAGTTTTTTTTCTGAGGGGGCGAGGAGTAGTAGACACTCAATGAATATTAACAAAAAAAAAAAAAAAATGTCCCGTCGAGCCACCGCCGCGGTTTTCGGAACAGTATTAAATTATCGTCCTGTTACTCGAGACGATAGACTATTATAGCTTTATATAATAATAATATGTTATAGGACTCCGGAAGGTATTATATTATAGTTGTTGCCTAATATAAAACATTTTAACGTGACGATAATATTCGGCTCCTCTTCCCGCCTCTCAACCACCACCCTCCCCCATCCGCTCCTTCTCCCCTCCCCCGAACAAACGGTACGATAATTATTGTTATTCGTTTGAATCGCGCGCACGCGCAATACGAGTAAAGTAATAAGCTCGGCGCAATCGTAACTTTTTTTTTTTTAACGAATAATAAAATATTACACTCGCGGTGACGAGTAGGCGCACGAAAATCCTAACCGTACACGGTGGTTAATGATTTCGATAACAATAATAATAATATTAATTACTATCGCGCCGACGTGTGAGGTTCATTCACCTGGCTTTTTTTTTTTATATATATCACTGCAGCGGGCGGCGGCGGTAATCGGAACAGGGCAGTGCAGTCATATCATTAATAAACTAACCTATCGTTTTATGCTCGCGTTTCTCATATAATGTTATATATTTTTATTACGAGCGCCCGTAACATTATTAAAGCTGATAACGGGGCCGCGGTATACCGACATTTTCCTCTATACAACCGTTATTACCTATTATTACGTTACCTATAGGTATTACAATGGGTATTATGCACTCGTTCGTCATCGACGGATTTTTTATAATATTTTTTTTATTAGTGAATTTTCGTTTACGATAACGCTGTCTCGATACCATAAAAATATTACCCATGGTCCATATCTCCGGAGATAATGAAAGGACAATCGAATTGTGTTTTGGTAAAAAATTTAAAAAAATAACTTTTTATTCTATTATTTTTGAAATATTTCAAGATAAAATTTCATAAAATTCGTAATTTTTTTTAATTATTTTTTCAGAGAAAAGAAGTATACAGTCAATTCTCAATTTTCGTAATAATAATAATCAATTAGAGAATGATGCAATTACAGCCGGGTGCATAATATTATAGGTACTTTTCTCTGAATTTTAAAATTTATTAAAAATCAAGAATTTAATGAAAATAAACTCTATAAAATGGGTATCTTCAAATTTTTCAATAATAATAAAATAAGAAGTTATTCTTTTTTAATTTTTTTTTTTTTATCAAAGCATACAAAATTAATTGCAACATAAATATTTGTAGTCCTTATCCCTGTGAGCAGTATATATAAATTTTAAAAAAAACAAAAAAAAAAAAAAAAAAAAAAAAAACAGAATTTGATTATCTTTATTATTTCCCGAGATATTACAATGGGTAGGACGAAGTATATTTCGATGTTATTATTGTTTGGCGCTTTTTTTTTTTTTTTTAATCGACATTTTTGTCGTTTTCTCATCTCGAAAAAAACATTACGTTATTGCTTTAGTCTACCTGTACCTAGACGTTTTAGTATTTTGTTTCGCGTCCACACCATTTACGATTAACGATGTACATACGAATTATTCGGACTGAAATGAACGGTAAACTATTGTTTATTTGGGAAGCACACCGGAAGGATATATTGATGTTTGTCTGTACGTGATGAAAAACCGTCGTTAACGAAATAGGATTCTGAACGGAAGTATTGTTAGTCGTATTAGTTGACCTGCGGATAACACAGGAATCAACAAAAATTATTTTAACAAATCGACGGTCCGTGTCCGTATTTTATTAAGAAAGCAATAATAGGAAAATCAAAAAATTATCACCACGACGCGTCAACTAGATCGAAAATGCTATACGAGAATGTCGTCATAAATAATCGTCTGATTGAAGTACGATATCTGCTGTTTTCACACGCTCACCACAGAAAAACTAATGTGTATAATATCCAAAGAAGAAAAAAAAAAACGTTAATTAACCGAATTTAATTGTATTCTATTAATTCTGTCCGATAATATTGTTTCTGCTGTGAAGGGTATTTGCGAGTTGATTATACCTACTTATTGTATACCTACCCTACCAATACAAATCAGCATTAGTCAGCTTTATCAATATTTATTCTCTTTTTTTTTTATCTTTAATTCTCCGTATAATCTCTCTGGTTTTTTTTTTTTTTTATTTTCCATTCCCTTCTTAATCTCTTACCGCTGTTGCCCGCAAGGGGAGAATCGTTCGTCAGAGTATATATACTATACAATATATAGGATATACCATTATTATATTATTTAAGGGTAGTGATCCCATTGTCGCGCGTGAAATTTGTGTCAAAAAGGATTTGAATAAGGATCACATAAATATGTATATACGTATATATACAACACAGAGAGATATTTCGCGATATAAAACCTCTTCGCGTGTTTATTTGCATTTAATATTATTTTAGAAAGAATTTTTATTATTGTTATTATTTTTATTATTATTATTATTTTTATATAATCGCTATTGTAACAACCCTGACTTATCTTCTACGTCGTTTTCCACACCTACCCTCCTCCCCATCCGTTCGAGTTATAATATTTTCACAGTATCTCGGATTCTGCAGTATAATAATATATATACCTATTATAGTCAATTCGACGAGTCTATCACGAGAAAACGAATTTGTAAATACGATTGCAAAGTTTTCATTTTAGATTCAGAGCAAAGCGAGGAATGCATTGGTTTTACAATGATATTTATATTTTTTATTTGTGAACAACTTTTCTAACAGCGATTTTGCTCCGATTTATAATGATAGCACTTTTTCTGAGAGGAAATTTGACTGAGAAGGTACTTTAAGGAGATTATTTATTTGATTTTCCTAGAAGTTTTCTCAGCAAATTTGAAAAACCGTACGAAAAACGGGAAAATAGGTGCAATATTAAACAAATATTATTAAAGAAAATACAATATAATGCAAATTAATGTAATTATTTTACCATAATTTGATGTATATTATATTGTTAACAAAGCAAAATTATTAACCAAACTCTGCTCAGAACCGTTTTTCGTTATCAACGGTTAATCATTACGTACGGATATGCATTAAATTTCCCAACTATTCACCTACAACAGTGGCCCACCTACGTGCGAAGTATGTCCGTCTTTTTGAAAAATTCATTTTTTTCTTCGAATTAAATATATGAATTAGTTATAATATGATTACTAATAAGCAATTATAAACGCATCTTTAAATTATTATTTTGTATCCAGCCAAAAACGTATACTGTTTTTGATATTATGCTAAACCATACATAAGTATAAAGTATAGAGTAAAAGACGTGATGTAATTCGAACACTAATATTGGAAGATTTATGCGTCGCCAGCGACCATGAATAGACACCGTAATGAGAACGAGAATAATTAACTCTCTTATTATTATCCCGCGACGACGGACGGCGTCTAATATATGTGACGAGTAGGTTTTATATAATTGCCTACGTGTATTTTTTTAATTTTTTTTTTTTTTTTTATTGTTTAATTCAATTTTTTCTCAAACTCGCTTACCACACACGCACAGAGGTTTTCCGTTGTATTCCGTTTCGAATATACGAAACCGGCGGTTTTTAATTACGAAAACATTTTTACAAACAATAAATGAATGTAATAATAAATAGCGAATAAACGGAATGCAACTGCAACTTCCGTATAGTGTGTAACCTCTGATAAGTTTCGTAGTGAAAACACGATAAATAAACGGTCGTTTACACGATGTGTTTTTACTATATAGGCTAGCGGCAACGGTTCATATCCACCATAGGCACACATTCAATCTAAAACTTCGGAGTACTAAAAATTATGTACGACTGACCCTATTCGATATTTCGAAATAAAATTATATATTACCTACACATTAAATAAACAAAATTGAAATAATGAGATAACCTTTAAAATATGAAAACAATTAACATAAACTGACATAGGTAATAATATAACATTAATTATTATTATAATATGAATCAATATACAAAAGTACAATAGTAATTAGTTATCTCATATCTGAGTACTATTCGAGTATTATATTTATTTTGTTTAGCTCAAAATCTGGGGGTACTAATTATAGATTTAGAGATGCAATGAACTCCTGACATCCCCGTATGTGTGCCAATACTCCCTCCCCCCCCGTAAATACGCCACGCACCACTGGTAAATACCAAATATAGGTACATACGGCGGTCATCAAGCTGTTACATTAACGGACCGGTGTCGTCGAGTCGATTACAAGTCCGGAATAAGATTCTACAATATTATACTAAACAGTAAAACGGCCGATCGGTCGTTTGAAGTATCCAAAAATCTCGCGATTTCGCCTAACAAGACGGCGTGCAGATTTATACTGACGGCGTTCGATTACGTGAAACCTTTTCAGGGGTTTTTTTTTTAACAATAGCAAGTATACACAAACGGTTCAAAGAACCTTGCGTTCTTATAGATATGATAATATATTATACTGTACGCGTATTATATTGTATTGACGAAACGCGTAAATATTATTACAATAATGACGGCAATGATGGGAATACGAAAAAATAAAAAACCAAAACCCGAAAGAAAACGAGTAAACAGATAAACAAAAAAAAAAAAAAAATCCGTCAAAATCCATCGCGCGGTTAGTCCATTTATTATTCACCAGACGATCAATTTATGTACACGAGACACAAAACGCGCGCGCCGCACACATACACACACACGCACACACACACATGTACACATATTATTATAGTGTTTTATGGCGTTTACGTTCGGTCTGACGGTTTTTGTTGTATTCTTTGGTCTCCGCGGAGGCCTATCCGGTTATAGGCGGTTACAACCAGGGGCGGCAGGTGAATCGCCACCGTCGCAGCCCTCTCGTCGCGATGTGGATAAGTGAATTGTACACGAGTTTCTTTGAACCGTTTTCTCTCGACCGTGTTCTAGAGTATACGCGAAGGTACTTACGTGTGCGTGTGTATATGTATGTAGGTATCTGTGTACGAGACGACGCGGGATTCGACTGGGCGATGCGGTCGTCGGTCGTTTCCGTCTCTTATAAAAATACGATCGGGAGAGGGGGCAGGGGATGGAATGGCGGTGCCGGTGTCTGAGAGACGAGAAAAGAAAAAGAAAACCTTTTTCCCTAGGGTTTTTGCAAGTTTAATCATTACCTACGTATATATATAACTAAATATACGCACTCGCGGACGTCTACCGGTCAAAAAGCCCCCGTGTGTTGTATACTTAGCCGGGTATGTACGTATACACACACATATATATAGATAGTTAGGTATTCGCTGGTCCTTTCAAACGCGCCGTGGAATATAAATTTCTCCGCCCGGCACATAAAAACGTCTGCAGGTGGGGTTTCTCGTCCTCCAAAACACACACACCGGGCCGCGGCGCGGACTTCAAAATGCTCGTCGGACGGATGATGTTTTTACAACGCCGACAGAGTGATGCGATGTGTATGCGACGGGAATTAAAAACCCAGGTATGTGCGACGAGCGTCTAGAGACGTGTCCGAACGAGCGATGCGTACCGGGTCGCCCATTCGGGTTCGCGAACAAATTTCCCGTCGTGTTACCATAATACGGAATACCTATGTAGTATATTGGTGTTCCGTAAAATGAAGTTATGTCTTGGTACAACAGTTTTTCGTTGGAACGGCTGCGAACAATTGATTTATTATATCATTATAGGTTGACGTTTTGAAAATATCGTACGAACACAGGAATCTAACGTCCCGCGTTTTGCAGCGCATAAAAGTCTCGAAACAGCCAACAAAAATTTGAGTTGCGAGAAAATCGGATAGCAGATCGGATAAAGGTCGAAAAAAAAATCTCCTCGTGTCCGTATTGACCATATATGTACCCCGGACAATAATAATAATCGATTAATTTTGTGAGTACTCGATTATTATTACAGTATTTATTACTACCCAATTGTTACGCATTTATTTTGAACCGGATATTACCGCGTAATTGATTTTAGATTCTGAGTGGAGCGAGGAATGTATAGGTTTTACAATGGCGTTTATTTTTTAATTCTATGGACAACTTTTCTACCAGCTATTTTGTTTGGATTTACAATGATAGCACTTTTTCTAAAAGTAAATCTGACTGGAAAGGTTCTTTAGGGAGGTCTCATTTTCCCAGGAGTTTTCTAAATAAATGGGAAAACGTAGGAAAACCGGGAAAATAGGTACAATATTAAACAAATATTATATAATGCATATGTAATTGTTTTACATATATATAATATGACATATATATATTGTTGACGAAGCAACACTATCAACCGAACTCTGCTCAGAATCGGTTTTTCGTTAGCAATTTATCGTCGCATATAGACATACATTAAATTTTCCTTCTGCTATACTTTCTCGTCTTCTCACCTATAACAGTGGCTGCACCCGTCCCCATTATCCTAGGACAGCTTTTTAAATCGTATTCTCAATGTATTGTTATCATTTAGGTAGACGACATACGCGATAAAATATGATAAGAGAATTATTATTATCGTTCGGCTGTCTTTAGAAGCGTGCGTGTATGCGCTTGTGGGGGGACGAAAAGAAGGGAAACCAATTGGCAGATATTTTAACTCGGCGACGGGTATATTATTATGTGTGTTGGGTTAGCCGTATACCCGAGCATTATAAGTAGGTATACTATATATCGTATATATCGAAAAAGACGAGAGACGAACGGACGGCGGGTATCATCTCCGGGGACGCGCGAGGAGTTGACCTACATTTTTTTGTTAAAAAGACCGCTGCCGCCACCGCCGTCTCACACTCGGCAAAATAAAAAAAACGTACATCATATTGATGCACTGCGTACCGCGTTTTCAAACGAGCGAATTTTGTATTATTATTACTCGTATATACGTATATATTTGGATTTTTATTTATGCTCCTGGACGGCGACAGCGGGGGTAATTGCTCGACAACAAAAACGTTATAACAGTTTGTTTTTGCCAATTACGCATTTTTGCGAGAGCGCACGCGTTTCGTTCTCCGCCGACCCGTACACAAATTGTGCACTGCTTCTGCTACACGTATTTTCGTGTATATACGCGTCGAAAGTTTCCGCACAAAGCGCAATATTCGTTTATACGCGTGTACTATAAACGCGCGTACTGCAAGATATTATGTATATATTTATATTTAGATAAAACGTCGACGACGACGACGTTTTCGGTGTCGAAACAACAAATCTTTTTCTCTTTTTTTTTTTGGCGTTTGTCGCGCGCACTTTCTCCGAGTTTTCGAATATTATTATTACTATTATTTTACACGCCCGGCAGACGACGGCGAATTTTATTCCTCTGTCTCTCTCTCTGTCTCTCTCTCTCTCTCTATCTCTCTCCATATATATCTCTATGTACACTCGTCGAATATTATATATAGTAATTTTCGCCTATATATACTCCTATATTCCTCCTCTTCCGCCGTTTCCTCCTTAAAACTCCGAGCAACGACTTTTGAATTATTCCAACAACAACAACAACAACAACAACAATATTCTCGGTGGCGGCGGCGGCAGTGGCGGGAGCAAAGGATTCCATTGTTGGCTTTGTTTTAGAGTCCTTATGCGAAACTTTATGATTATTATTATATGTAATTATCATAATTATATAATGATAATAATAATAATAATAATAATAATAATAATAATAATAATAATAATAATAATAATAATAATAATATACTCGCGCCGAGTCTCGTTCGGTTCGCCACGGAGCGGCGGCGGCGTGGCGTGGGTATTAAGACGATAATCCTTCGTTCGTATATTCTATTAATACGCTGTCGTGAATTCAATTTCCGCCGTCAAAGGAAGCCACTTAATACACGGACACGTGTTTAGTATAAATGCGCGGGCACACCGGAGATCGTTTTTCAGTTCGGCTCAGTCCAGTTAAATCAACGGCGGCTTATTAACAAGCAATATTTCGAAAATAAAGGAGACGTAAATATACGCGCGGACAGACAAATGTATACTATATATCAGAAATTGAAAAAGAAGCGCTGTTATCATTAATCATTAATCCCATCGATCTCGAATAAGAAGGACTCTAGTCAATTTCATACACATAATAAATTTAAAGTTTTAAAACTACAAAAAAAAAAAAAATACGAAAATATTACGAAGATAAATTGTCTAAAAATGTTATAACCGATTGACTTGAGCTTTTTTTCTTCGGGACCAAATATTAGACGTGTTTTGGCGATGTATAGTTTTCGGTTTGCAGTACATCGAGATCGCTATGATCACTCGGCTGCGATGTAGCTATAAAACGTTTTGTTTAGTAAGTAAACGTATAGTTTTTAATTGTTTGCCGATTTCCCAGTAATCTGCAAGTTGTCGAAAAGCGCATTCAAACAATTACGGTAAACAATATCGCAAAAACTGTTTGTCCGTTAAACTATATACAGTAAACTAGAAAGTCTTTCGAAACACAAAATCGACAAAATACGCCTATATAGATACCTACCCATTATTTGTTGGTTTTGGGCTGAAACGATATCCATTTTAAACTATCCGAAGACTGCGTATTTATATAATATAAATTATGTATAGTATTTTTTTGCGACACGAGCATAGATGATGCAGCGTCTCATCATCACTCGCCTAGTCTGGCGATCTGCCACAGAGTAAAATCGTTTAGCGTGATGTAAACATATACAATAATAATACGACCGAGCGGAGAAGACCTGAAACGAAAAGTGAAAAATCGACGTCTTGACCTGTCCGAATGCCACCGAATCGAACCGAACGGATCCAGCTCACGTTTTAGTTTCGACCATCGTTTCAAAAACGCATATTCGCGAAAATTTATATGACATTAGACCACGTGTAATACTGTAAAGATACACGTTAAAAGGTCGTTCCGTTATTTGTACGCGGCGGTCATAATTTCTCCTCGGGAAAGCTTGAGGTGCACGGAGGGAAACAACATTTACGACGGGGGGGGGAGGGGAACGTCGCCAAAACCACAAAGGGTAGAGGAACGGGGGGCAGGGGGGAGAGAGAACTGATCGTTTTGCGACCGCTGTCGGGCATCGCCTTCGCCGCCTCCCGCACCTCCCGTAGTATATGCGCATCTCGCGGTTGTATTTTTATGAACGTAATGAACATGGGCGAGATACCGAGTCCGAATATCGATTGTCCCGAGCGGAATGCAAGTCGTTTAAAAATTAAGGGAAGGGGCTGAAGGGAAGGGCAAAAATAAATCTATAATACACGGCGGGCTGGCCTGCGATAAAACTTATCGTGCGCGAGGTAAAATTCAATTGGGTTTTGCGGCGGGCGGATGCCGCTCGACGACCGGTCGAGGGCCGGGCATCGCGTAGACTTTTCGGCTCGGCGCCAAGTCTCCGGTCCCAGTGCGATTCGAGGTCGGGTACACTATAATCATCGAAATAACCATCAACTGTGATAATCATATTATTGTGTACAAGTACGCACGGCTGTCCAATCGTTAAACATAGTATGTGCCCTCTTATCAATATTTACGTTTCGATATTATTTCTGATCAAAATTGAATTACGTAGATTTTTCGATATTACACCTTTGGTCGAAATATTTAAATCGGCGATTCCCAACTTCTTTTATTCTACCCTTTGTAGATTTTTAAAAATCTTTGCCCTCTCCCCCGTTTAACAAAACATGATGACCAAAAAAACAAAAAAAGATCATCGAGGTCAATTCTATCAATTGCAGTCTCCGATACTCTGCAATCACCGACAAATACAGATTTTATTTCGTAATGACTGCTTGCACCTCCCCAGCAATTTGTTGAGACCGTGCGATCCGGAATTGACGTAATAATTCGTCTGCGCTTAAATTTAAACAATCGATTTCATAATGAAGATATAAAGAAAACTCAAAAATAGTATACAGTATAGTGTTTCTGCGGGAACTTCACGTTGTTATAAACGATATGTACGACATGAAATAATTTCACGTTAATTATGAAATAGGTTTACTAAAATTATTATTAAAAAAAAACTGTAAAATAACACGAAAATATCAAATATGTCTGTAGCAAAAACTACAGTTTAAAATTCGTCTGGAAATCACTGATTTATAATGCATTTTGGAAACATTTCGAGTCGTTTCTGTGATTATTTTTAACCGAATTACAAGCACTAAAAAAAAAATAAAAAAAAAATAAAAAAAAAAAAATTGAAAACATAACGAAACCGTTATCTCCGTATGTTTTCTCCGTTTTTCTCGGTTATTTCCGATTACCGAGACAATTTCTAGGAAAAACAAGAAACAAAAAGACGTACTGACTTGATGAAATTTGCATTCAGAAAGCTACGACGGATAAAATCGAATCGCGATTTTTGGGTAGACAAATAACATACGTCATATATCTACATAGTAAAACCGTTACGTTCATCGCTGCGAACCTGAAAAATACCAAAATCTACGAAAATCACTGGCTGTTCTGATACGCGTCCAATAATTATTGTACAATAGAGAAGACGGCTATCCGTCAGCAGTAATATATTATATCTCCGTTAATAATTAATTACGCGATTGCGTATCGATAGTTTCGACCTTTCGGGCGTACATTTCGGCGTGCGGCGATGATGATGGTGCACGTGATGTGGTATCTGTAGTTGATAGTATTAATCGATATTGCTCACGCACCCCCTGCTTTATGATTCGTCCAGAGTCAAGGACGGATCCATCCAGAGTAAGGGGGGATGCCGGAGGCAAATGCTCCTACCCCCATTAAACGAAAAAACACCGACCCCGAACAAAGTACTTTATTTACGACGCGATTTTATATGACGTATCGTTCGTAATGTGTTCAATGTTTGATCTCGGTCTAGTCTTCGACTCCCCTCCCCCCAAAAAAACATAGAAAAGTGGTTTTATCAATGTATCAGGGTACTTTAAAGAAAAATAGATAAAAAAAAAAAAATAGTATAATAATAAAATAAAAATATCTCGTTTCTATACAGTATAAAATCTATTCTAAGTCGACAGTCCTAATAGGCATGTAAGAATGGGAAGGGAAATGTAAATTTTCGACATGTCTTACTGCGAACAGTGGAAACCACCAATTCGACCGGTAGAAGATACATCACGAATTTGAACAAGAACCAATTCGACTCGCCCTCATAAAATACCTTTTTTTAAACGAGAACCGTTTCGGATACGCCCCTTATTGTCATATAGTTATATTTATACGCTATTATTACGCCAATTATTCGACAGCCGTATCTTTTTGGGGGAATTTTACGCAAAGGCCATATAGTCAAATCATTTTCATTAATTTCCTCTTTATTTATTTAGGTATACACCAGCCGTGGCCGATTCGCTGAGTCTATATTTTGTTTGCGCAACGTTTATTCGCATTAAAAACGTGTAGGAAACGTTTTTTCGCGGAAACGGAACAAATATAATATTATATTAACTGAAAACGCAGTCAACACTCGAATAATAAGCACCGAATACCTATAATGAAATACGGTTCGCGGGGGGATATATCCTCCTTATTCCCCCGCTACGCCGCCGGTATGGATGTGATCAGAGAACACTGCGGTATAATATTTAACAACCGTGTATACATACATGTATAAATAAAATATAGGAATTTGTGGAGAAAAAAAAAAAAAATTGTAAAAAAATATGCGATAAAATAACGGCCGGCGGTCGCGCTCGCAGTATATTAGCATCATCGCTGCACACGTCATCTCGTATGTAAGAAATTAAAAAAAAAAAAAAATTTACACACATAAATTATATCGTGTACGTCAGGTATTATTATATCATGTGGGAACACCGCCGTACAAGTTTGGAATCGTATTGCGTTCGCGGGGCTCAGCCATATATTATCGTACGTACAAAACGCGCACGTGTTTCTCGGTCGCGAAATGCCAGACCGGAGACTGCTCTGTGACGGTACCCCCACCCCTCCCCCAGTCAGTCCGCGAAGTAAACGGCCTACTCATCAGGTATACGTTTTTTGTTGTTTTCCGTGACGACGGTTTACACGAGTATTTACAATAATATATACTGGCATATATTTTCGGTAAAAAAAACTCCCCTAAACGGCCGTGTATACTTTATGATATACAGTACTCTGGCAAAAGCGTCGATACCATCATCGTACCGTATCCGGTCACGGAACGATTACCTTCTCTTAACGCGCCACTATATATCCTCTCCCCTTTTGACGTATAAATAATCGTACGTATTATACAGCGTGATCGCTTTTCGGGGAGGGTAACAGACAATATTTCCGACGACCAAGCTATTGTTTTGCGGGAGTTTTTTTTTTTTTTTTTAATCCAGACGTGTTACCTTGGTAGGTTTTCACGCGTTTTCCGATAAAATGTTTGACCGTTTCGGCGCGCGATAAAAACTCACGAGTTTTCTTAAAAAGGAAACTGCACTTGTATTATATTTTTAGCACCGGGTTCGAACAGTCGTATATTTTTTCTCTCGAACGATTCCGATACCGGTACCTACGATTTTTTTCTATCTCAACTATCTTATACCCATATATAGATAAAGTCGATTTTTCAAAGTGGTATATATAAATAAATTCTGCGTTTTTTTTTTTTTTTTTTTAATCAACTTCACAATTTGGCTCGGTATCTCGGTCGGTTTTCGAGATACGCGGAAAAACTATTCGAACACGCGGTAATAAAAATAAGCGTCTCAGTTTAAGAAAACGTAATTTTATCGCGCACGAGCGCACCGAAAAGGTTAAACATTATTTGAAATCTATCGTCGACCGTGTATTTCAATTTACAGATTTACGCCCCGCACATAAATATCGATCCGATCGTTTTCCACCGTTTTTGTGGCGATTAAGAGCTCATCACGTAAAACGCATTATTATAATACATTATACGATATCGGACGTTATAATAAAGGACGGAGTTGGCGCAGCCAAGTGCGACCCATCAGTCTTATCGCTTATGATTTCCGCAAAAACAGCGAATTATATTGGAAATCTTCGACTCTTGATCACCTTCCGAAAACCATATTTACGAGCACTTTAGTAGTTACACGAGTATTATTGTCGTAGTCTTTGTCCCAATACAAACGTGCGACACAGTAAATTTGCATTCAACAGAACCGATTTTGAGCTTTTATTTTAATTTTTTTTTTTTAAACACTATTGGTTTTGAACTAAGACTTATATCCGAATTTGTTTCTGACTCTCGATGTTTTCATGATGTAAGACGTATTTTTGAAATATTACGACACATAATATATCGTTCTCCCCTTTAAGTTTGATAACAGGCCAATTCGCTCCGATACTAAAATCTATAGTGCAAAATCGGCTGTGTTGAACGTAAATTTGCCACGTCGTCGTCCGTTTGCGTACGACGGGGACAACTGACGCGCGTGTGTATTTTAGCGTTCTTCTTAGGCGGAAATATTTGGTACGAAAATATGATCGCGCTGTATACCACCGCGTACCTACTGGTTTATCATTATAATAAATAATAATACTGTGTATACGTGTATCGTATCGTGTGTCTTCTAGAGGCGAATATGTTCGGGGGGGAGAGGAAATTATAATAACATAAGAGTCACGTGAAAAGTGTTTCGCAGACGTACTGCACGCACGGTTTCCGTGCTCGCGACGACGGGGTTCGGGGTTGAGGTTTGTGGGGATTGAGGAGGCACTACATCGGAAAGTTTATTATATAGTTGGTCGCGAAGGGTAGGTACGTCATGTTTACACACGTGGGCACGTGCGTATATCGTATGTAACGTTATTATTATGTATTAAATATTTCACGGATAAAAATATGCACGTAAAGTTATCGTCGTGTGTGTGTGTTTAAATCGTTAAATAGTTTTTTTTTTTGAAGGGGGGGGGGAAACAAAAATATATTTTCGATAAAATTATCGAGACGCGGTCGAAAAACACAAAAATCCGACACACTCGATAAAGTGACGATGCATACGACTCGTATGCCGATTTTTATGGCGAAATAAAAAATAAATTGTTATTATATCCTGCGCAAAGGGAGTGGTGGTAGGGGCCATGGCCCCTCTCCGCTATTTTAGTTGATATTAAATATTAATTGTTTTATTACTTGCATGATTTGATACCAGGAGAAGAAGAGCTTTGGTCAATTTGTCCATCTTACAATTTTCAACACGAGCGAATTCGATTTCGATTATACATATATTATTTTACACCGCTTTAGGCCAAAAAATAAAGCGAACAAAATGTTATAAAAAAAAAAAATGTGACGAGGAAAATCTTGTTTTATGATTTGAAAAATGAAAATCTGATAATTCGCGTACACTGTTAGTTTTGACGATATTCGTTAGGTAAACGGGATAAACGATACCGTAGTTCGTGTTTCGTATATTTCGGTAATGAAAACGGTCGAATCAAAAAGGAGACAAAACTCTGAACTGTCACTTCGCTCTTTTATTCCCATTTTTAGATAATAATATACACGTGTATTTCAGGTCATTTTATTGATGATTTTTCGTGTGTTTTTTACGCGTTATATAGAACACCTTTTTTTTTTTTTTTTTTTTTTTTTTTTTTTTTTTTTTTTTTTTTTTTTTTAAACGATATCCGAAAGATATTGTATTTAATTATCTATTGGGGACGTTTCGTTTTAAGTATTGTATTATGCACCTACCGTTCGTCCGTTCGAAAAAAATCAAAAGTTCGAATATTAAAATTGTAATCATTCAAATTTTAAGTCCGAAATCACGATCGCGGTAATTTAGACTGGGACGGGCTGCAGCCGCGCGTACACTCGTAAAAACGCCGAGACATTACGGTTCGCCCGTATATTATTTTCGAGTGCACAACGCGTTCGCTTACCGCTGCAGCCCCGCGCGTTTCCCGACAGACGTCGGGACGGTCGCGTTACGGCAGTTAATACCCGGCGTATTACCGCGTGTGTGAATACAATAATATAATAATAATATCAACAACAACGGACTCGCGTGTGCAACGCGAAAATATGATGCGTGTTTGCGCGACGATACTATAACAACAAACAATAACATTAATCTGCGTCGTAAACATATATTTATACACATATATACATATATATATATATATATATATAATAGCGGGGGGGGNGGGGGGGGGGGGGGTGACACGGCGGCGGCGGGGAGGCGTAACCGGATTCGCGCGAAACGGGAATCGCGCGCGCCGTTAATGCGGTCGCCGCCGTCGTCGTCGCGCCGCCGGTCCGTTCCTTTTGTTCCCGCCCGCCCCTGTATACGATGATGTGTACGCGGTTTTTATAGAATAATATTTCCACCGCCACACGTCCCCCGACGATTCGCCCCCTCGGGCGGAACTGCACCGGACCGCCGTCGTCTTCGGGGGTGGAGCGGGAGGGAGGAGGGAGGAGGGCGGAGGGCGGAGGGCGAAGACGCGGCAGCTGCGTTATTTCGGAACGCGCCGCTGATTTTAGGGGGGCTCGAGCGCGCACGCACACACTGCACGACGGTCGCCGCCGCGCGTTCGCCCGCCCCCGCGTGGCACCGGTGCGCGTATATTGTATTTATTCGATTATAGATTATGGGCAGCACATCGTATCGATAATAATACATACATCGTATTATTTATACCCATTATATATAGGGTGAGACCCTTTTCTGTCCCGCCGTGCCGGGTATATACGTAGCGGTTTTGATACGTTTTCTCCCTTGTCCGCAGCAGCAGCAGCAGCTCACGTCTCGTGTCGCCCCGGTATAATCTCGTAAATTCGCGGCCGGGTCCCCTCGCGCGGTATACCCGCCGAGGAAACCCCTACATATTATTGAGCGCGGGCGCGAGATTTTTCCCGCGGGCGTTACCCGAACAATTTCCCGGTTATACCTGTACGCGGAGATTTCTTCCCCGGCGCGCGGACGAACCTCGTCCGCAACTGCGCGAGCGGAGTTTTCGCGCCCGAACGGGAGAAAATAGGTCGGGCGTAATACGTCGTTAAATTCGGCCTTTTACGGCGGGGCGAGACGAAACTAAAAGCAATCTGCCCAGTACCCGCCCCTTCGAAATTTGTTTAATATTGCCAAACTGCCGTTCCGACAATTTTAATTTAAAACTCGTATTTACCGAGCATGGTATTCGGTTATTTTCATAACGAGTACACTCGCCCACGCCTAAATCTCGACAAGAAATCGAGAATCGACCGTTTATTCTCAAAGTCCCGCGTTCGTTTCGTCGGCCCGGGGGCCTTTTATCCGTCGTCAAACGGAAAAAAATAAACAACACTTTGGATACACTCGTAAGTTATACGCCGTAGGGGAAATCGGCCGAGCGGGTTTCCCGATTCGTGTAGAACGGGCAAAAGACGCGACTAATAAAGCGCCCGTTTCACGAATTTACCAAAACTATGTATAGTAACGTATAAAAACACTTACAATACGTATATAGTTAACGTTTATACGATATTTTGAATAAATCATCGGTTACTGTAAACGGATTAATTATTTATATACTCGTGTATATTATTTAAACGAGTTGAACAATAATAATTATGAAGGTTTAGTAATTATAAAACAATTATCGTAGTCGATAAAAAAAAATTTAAAAATCAAAATATTATTGTAAATCTATAGGCACCTAAAAAATGTTCATTGTCACGTTATCGGCCTGCGCGACCGAAAAAATCAGAAAAAAAAAATTGTTTTATCGCACCCCACCCTCTCCCCCCTTCCATTTGACGGCGCCCTAGGCTGCAGCTTTTTCAGTTCGGTGCGGGTTAACCAGGCCCTGTCTTTGAGCGCAGTGTATAATTTGGCCAATACGAGCGATTCAGCTCGCACTACTATTTTTCATAGTTACATTTTCCATACGAAAACCCCGTATTCGTGTACCGCGTATATTTCCCAACACTAGCACCGGTCGCTCACCAAAAAAATCCAACCTGTACTCGTAGGTTTGGCGCCACCGCCCGGCGACAATAATGAGCGTCTTTAGGTTCCCGTGACTATTCGGGGGGAGGGGGGGAGGGAGGGAGAGGAGGCGAAAGGACAGACGTGAACCAGTAGTTGCGGTGTATTTTCGACAGTACGAATCGTATGAAATGTACTGCGTACATACACGCGTAACTTTTGATTTCGCGATTTTGTTGTTGTTGATTTTTTTTTTTTTTGTCCACCCTGTACAATATCGCGGCCTACACGCCAGTACCGCGACGACGACGCAATAAATAATATATGCCGCCGCCGTACAGTCGCCACTCGAAAGTTGTGCAGCACACGCGAATAATACTCTTCTCGGGTTGTCGAACGCCACGAATCGGAATAATCGGAAAACGCTCGCCGGCTTACGCGAATGTCGTGACGTCTCGCAGTGCGACTCTCTCGTTACGATATTAATATTATATTATATTCCAGGGGGGAATACTCCGCTGCGAATCTTTCGTTGTACAGGGTGAATTTCCCTCCACACACCCCCCCCCCACCGCGATCCGGCCGTCGTATACCGGCCGGTATATTGCGAGTATAAATATACATATTATAGAGGCGCGAAGATTTCCGAACGATAAACGAATTCGTTGGGTCCGTTCGTTCGGCCGTCGCGGACATCTCCCCGTTTATTCCTCCGGCCCCCTCCCCCACCTCCCCGCGGTATTATTCGCGACGTTTTCGAAATGTCACGCGGCTCGGTATAATGTACAGAGGATAATTATTATTATATCATGCGGGTACAATAAATTTCACGTGTGTATAGATACCTTATGCAGAGACGATAACCGCCCTTCCCTGTATGCACTGCTCCGGGCTAACCGCGATCCTGTAAATAATAATAATTGTATCGTTATTTCGGCGTATTATTATAATATTATATATACACGTTTATTAAATTATAGTCTAAATATACGATTTCTCTCGAAATGTTCGCGGACAATCCGGCCGAACCGGGTGATAAATGAAAAAGAAAAGAAAAACGCCACCCTGTACACATTTGGTTATTGCGCCGTCGCCTGCAGACGCGACCTCCGGGGTGAACCGTGTCCCAAAACGCGAGACCGACGGCGCATTTCGCGTAACCATAATTTATTGTTGTCGACCAGTAATATTATCGCGTGTAACGCAGTGACGCGGCGGTTATCTGGCGGGTGAGAAGGGAGACGGAGGTCGGGCGATTGGCGGATCGAACCTCCCCACCCGGGATAACCTCTCCCCCACCCCACCCCCCCGTGGTTTCCGTACCGTTATATCGGCGCCCTGCTATACACGCGTATAGCGACGAAAACCCGTCGTTACGGTTCCGTCGGCACAATACTATCGCGGGCGTCGAAAAATTAAATGTTAAACGCGCGCTGCGCGAACGCGTCGCAAGTGTGGATTCGCGAACGCGCCCGTTACAGCGAATCCGTTTACAATTGGAACGACCGAAATTCGCGCGCCGCGCCGCTTTTATCGGGGGAACGCGTACGTACGCGCGCCGTTAACGAACGGACGCGGGCCGTCGAACCCCGCGATCGCCGGCCGAGTGTTTGAAATTCACCTGTCACCCACGTACCGTACGAATCGGAACGCGACGCGATGTAACACGCGCTCGGCGACGCGCGCGACGAGCGGGGGTATTAGGCGTCGTGTCTCCAACCCCCCCCCTCCCGTCACACCGTTCATCCGGCGGCTTAAAAGTACGACGACCGTGTCACTTTTATCACGGAATAACCCGAAATAACCCGGCCCGTCCGAAACGATGACGTTTAACACGCCCGGTGAACGATGACCGATGAAATGAATAAAAACGGAAATATTGTTCGAAGCACTACCGGTGAACGCTATATATAAAAAAAAAAAAAAAAAACCACCCAAAGTATGGGAACACGTTCCTTAACGACTGGAAAAATAATTATTGATGGTCGTTTTCGGTCGCGTTGAAACTGGCGTCCGTCCGTTCGTTGTGATATTCGTTCGGTTTCGATGAATGATTTAACCGATACGAAACGGCGACCCCGCTTGAATGTAGAACGAAAGAAACATTTTTTTTTTTTTTTTTTTGCATTTCTCATTAATATTCGAAATAATGAGGAAAACTCGGTTCTTTGGGTTAAAAAAGATTGGAAGATTAAAAATAATAGGTTGTCATTGGCATCCGTTTTTTTATAGAAGTTAATACAATATATGTATCATACGGTTTATACGGTAAAATCATCAGTGAAAATGTTGTCTGGGTGATACTTTAGAGAGGTCTTTTTTTTTTTTTTTGCATTTCTCATTAATATTCGAAATAATGAGGAAAACTCGGTTCTTTGGGTTAAAAAAGATTGGAAGATTAAAAATAATAGGTTGTCATTGGCATCCGTTTTTTTATTTATTGTTTGTTATTATTAAGTTTTTATTATTTTAAATCTTTTTTAAATAATCATTGTTGTCACGGAAACGCACATTGTCGTAATCATTTTAATATAACAATATGATATATCATATGACATATATATTGTTGACAAAGCAACATTAGCAACTGAACTCCGCTCAGAATCGTTTTTTCGTTAGTAATGGTCTATCGTTGCTTACAGATATAAATTGAATTCCCGTCTGTATCCTAACTGCCCAACTTCCCACCTACTACAGTGGTTGCACCCACGTGCGAAGTATGTCCGTCTATTTTTATTTTATTTTTTTTATTACAATTTAATACAGTATACGATTTACAGTGACAATATTTTCATATAATGCAAATTGAATATATTTTTCGTGTTTGTATACTGTTGACGTAGCAATTATAATAATATCATAGCATTGTATCTCGACAAAATTCAATTATCCATTTATCAAATGGCTTTCGCGAACGAAATGCAATTTTAACCGATCCGATGAATATCAACGAACACACGTGACATTTATATACGCGATTATATATCCAGAAATATAGCGACGAATACGCGATTTCATTGGAATACGAACAAAATATGAGGACATAAAAAAACGCCGCGCCGGATTCCTGGAATTTGTACCACGTCTGCATTATTACGAAACGTTTCGACATTTTCGAACCGGAATATGTATTTTCGCGCGAGAAATATTACGCGTTGACATATATACCCGGACCGTCCAATAAATATTATTATTGTTATTATTATTATTTATCGTCGCGGTTATCTGTGATATTATGTATACGGACCGTGATAACCATGTTTACTATAACACGCGTATACAAGGGCAACCGTGTGTGGGAGACGAAAGGTACGTTAGGGAAGTTGTTTTTTGATTTTCTAAGGAGTTTCCATAATATTTGGCAAAAAAACCGGGAAAGTTTACGGGATGTGTTGGAAAAAAAAAAATCGTAACGTGCAATATTTTTTCTCATAAGCATTTCAAATTTTAACGAAAATCGCAATTACAACGGCCTTTCTAAACCGTAGCACGTAGAACCGAACTCCGCTCAGAATCGGCTAACGGTTAATTCGCCGTTACCTTCCCAAAACTGTCATCTATATACAACAGCGGCGGTCGCCCGCTGATCGTGCAAAGTACGTCCGTCCGTTTATAATTATTATATAAGTGGTGACCGCGGGTAACGGCTCGGTTTCCGCCGCGCTTACTTCCCGGTCCTTTCGGTCGGTGTATTATTATTAAAGCGGATAACGTGACAAATTCGAAACGGGAACCGATTCGGCTTACGCAGGCCCCGTCCGAGCGCGTCTTCAAAACCTAAATGTCTTCTCGAATATTCATCTCGTCTTCGAAACGTCCGGAGCGACGCCGCGCCCGCGCCGCTTTCTAGCGTACCGCCGCCGCCGCCGCCGCCGCCGTTTGATGTTTCGGATGCTGGGGCCGGACAGCCTTATAATATTATACGTTTTTACACGCGCGGCGGTAGGTATCGGGTGGGATAAACCGCTCGGGCGTCCCCGCGTGTTGATTTATGACCGTATAATATATCGTATATCACACACGCACACACGCGCCGAGATAAGAGCGTTTATTATACCTGCGGGTTTAATGAGAAAAACGATAGCGGAGTTGTAAATCGACCCGGAAAAGGCGCTGTTGGCGTTTACAAGCGTCATCGTCGTCGTCGGTCGGTCGACCGACCGCACGGCGAAAAATCCGCAAAACGAGAGTGTCGATTAAAAACCGCGTGAACGCACGCGTGTATCATTACGGTCGAACGAAAAACGTGTAACCGCGTCCGCGTATTATACACACGAAATTACACGTGAATTTACACTATCCGCTTTTATACGCGTTCCGGGCTTTGTTCGCGCGGGGGGAAATCCGGACGGACGCCGCACCGTTTGACAATCCGGATTTTCGGATTTCGGGATCGAAAACCCGTGTTAAAAATCCGGGTCTCGGACCGTGATTCTTTCGGACGTTTCGCGTATGGTTTAGAAAAAAAAAAAAGAACCATCCGTAATATTTTAACACGTTTGGAAAACGCGAAATCGGAATCATTTTGATATCCGGAATCCGGATTTACGACGCAAAATCTCTAGTGCGAATACGCGAAAAATAACGCGAAACACGCGAATATAAGTGTAAACGCGACACGTGTGTGCACGGTTGTGTGTCCAAGAATTTTCAATGGGAGGGGATGTAACAAATAAAAATCGCGAATAAACCGTAAATTCGTCTTCGCTGTGCCCAACTCGAATATGGGAATTTGTAATTTAAAAGCCGTATCCAGGGGGGCCTAAGGGCCAAGGCCTTTCCCCGACATATTATTTCTCCAATTATATTTTTATAGTTCTATTGATCTTGATACCTTGATATTCCAATCACAGATATGCATGATAAAATAATACACATAATGTATTATATTAATTGTATTCGCTGTAAAAAAATTGTCGGCTTCCCTCTCAGATCTTTGCACAGGATCCGCGCCTGGCCGGATCCTAAAAAAAAGCCAATTTCTTATCAATACATCAAGTTTTCGCTCGTAACTCGGTCGAAATGTAAGCGTTTCGATAATAGATTACTCGTATTTTTTTTGTAGTTTTAGGCCAACGGGGGTAGGGGGGCGTGTACATAACATCTACGCACGCCACTACACGGTTGTATACGTTCGGATGTTAATCGGGAAATAACGCGGGACGCAATACGAGACGAATCGTCCGGAAATCGTGAATTCGGTCGATTTTCTCGAACGGGTTCACATAAAACGATTCGAAAGATTGATACTAGAAAAAAGAAAAAAAACCAACCGTTTCGCGTCCGACCTGGAACGTTCCGACTGTGCCGACGCGATATATTTTCGTGTCCTTTTTGCTCGGCGCCCCCGCAGTATATTATTCTACTGTTAAAACTCGTATCCGGGTCGTATACATTTAAAGGCATCGGCGGTATCGATTATTATATTTTCGCATTGATATTGTGCGGTCGAGCGGTTCGAAATCGGTAAATAATAACGCGGTTCGGGAAAAATCGATCCCGCGAAGATTATAATGTACATAAAACGTCGGCCGGCCGCTAAATTATTATAATAATATATTTTTTTTTTTAATTTGTTCCCACGTTGATAATATAATAGTATATATTGTATAACTGTGCCGACTATACATCGAAAACGGACCGATTATTAATAATAAAAAAAAAAAATGAAAAAAAAAACCGTAATAATAATATTATCATGTACACGCGCGTAAACAATAATACGTCCACTTACAAAAAAAAAAAAAAAATCGACAAACGCTTTTTGTATAGCGCCGTAAACGACCGCAGTCTTCTCGTTTTCCGCGAGTGAGCGTATTATTATAATTTATGAACAAATTTCCATTTTCGACTTACCGCGGCGGAAATTATGATAAACGAAAAAAAAACAACTTCAACGCGCGACGAGTAGGACGAGGGTGGTACTCGTGAGATTGTTAGTTTTTTTTTCCCCGAACCCAAACGAATATATTATAATGCGGGTTTTAATTGTTAGGTACCTACTTGTATATATATTTAAAATATTCCAGCGGTGCGAACTTTTTTCACCTTTTTCCTTTTTTTATTTTTTTTTTTTTCGTTAAAACCGTTTAACAAAAATACCGTTAATATTATTTATTTATTTTATTTACCGTCAATATTATTATTAGTGCCCGGATTTAAAACGCCGACTCAGAGTCCGCGAAAAAAGCGCTGGAAGTAACGGCAATAAAGCTCTGAAAAAATCACTTGAAAAACATTAAAAAAAAAAAAAATCAAAAACAGTAGAGTGGTTTAAAAGACCCCTATCCCCTATACCTCTGACGGTTCTAACGTATTGAATACAATTTTCTTATACTTTACAAGTATTTTTTTTTTCAAATACAATTTTACATATATTATGTAAAAAAATTACTTTGTGTTAATCGTTTTTGTATAGTGTTATTAGTAAACTGTATTAAATAAATTAAATCAATTATAGAGCATTTTTAAATTTCTCGACTATTTTTGTTTGTTAAGATATTTTTTTTAAGACCTTTTTCGCAGACCAGCGTATAATATGCTCGTATAAAAGAAGAAACTGATTGACGTACGTATCAAAGCATAACTCGAACCGCCTTGTCTATAGAAACTAGGAAATTTCGTTACAGAGGTTTTTTAAAATGTAGCGGTCTACTAAGGAATGATTTTTCAATATTCAGCCACAAGGAGTTGGAACGCGTTTGATAACCGAAAAAATATTTGTGTTGATAATTCCATCGAATAAAATTGTATAGTTAAACACGATTACGGCCGATCCCGCGGAAATTCAACCCCGCAAGGATCGAAAATAGATGTCAAATTTTGTGTGAAAAAATTAACTCTATGTGTGTAAACAACGGGCGATTTTAGTTTCAGTATACTGGCCGATGTAAAACAGACGCGGGTAACTTTTAGAGGAGCATAATAGAAAAATACCGCGAATCTCGAGGGAAAATCGTGTCGTATATTTGAGTTGACTATGTACAATACGAACAGTTTGAAAATATTTGTTACTTTTTTTTTCCGGCTGTTTAGGAGTATTTTTTATGTGTACACGTCAATACAGCCTATACATTTACCTTTCGTGTACACCCCTCGTACGGAAAAGTTACATTATAAAAGTCTGCGTGGACAAAGTCGCGGATAAAAGCCCAGACCGGATTTCGGTATACGCGGGGCCCTTGGCCGGAACGTATTGTGGGGAGGGACTCCAAATCAGTAAACAGAAGTCGCGGAACATTACGTTCGATTCGCTCGTTAAGCGATGTTTTATAATTTTTATACGAATTTAATTTTACGTGATAACGAATATTTTCAAAACCCATCGAATCCGGTAGAAAATAACGCGCGGAGTTGCGTTGTGAAACTATGGAAATCGCCTAAAATTTAGTGTCACGTACGCAAGTTGCGTGTATAGATTCCCGCCGCCCGAAATTTCAAGAAATTCATCAGTATGTTTTTACGGAGTAACGAGACATATGTTAAGCGGTTTTAAAAATCCCGCGAAAAACTATTTAACGAAATAGGCACGGGTGAAAATTCGACTCAATATAGTGACGGAGTTCTATTGATCGTTTTGTAATTTGTCTACGGTAAAATTTTTCGTTTTTTTTTTTTTTTTCTATGAGGTAAATTTTTGCATAGACGTACGTATTATTCGATTCGGGAAAGGTCATCCGATAATGATTGTATTATTTTTTTCGAATAGGCGATTCTGTCCTTCGGAGCTCTACATCGAATTATTAATATATTATGCTGCGGTGTCAACGAGAGACACGTAGGTATACGACATAATAATATGATGTTATTATAAAAAAATATTGCTCTTTGCCGCACGGTTTAATTATATATACATAAGAAAAAAAAACATTCACTGGACGGGATAATAATAATATTATAACCGAACCGCGCGTGTTACACATTGTGAATAATAAATATAATCTGAAGAAAAATATTTTGATTGGTTTTTAAACACGTTGAATAATAATAAAAATTCTAATAAATATGTAAATATTTCTGTTTTTTTTTTTTTTATAACGCGGGTATAATTATAAACGAAATTTATGTTTTATTAATTTTTAAACATCTGTACGACGTTTTACAATATTATACATACTCTTTATACGCCCCACGCGCTTAATAAGAATCACTACTATGATAATATATGTATACGAATAGCGTTTAGACGAATCGGTTACGGTGATTTCACAACAACGAGACAGGTATTAAAATATGCCGTAAGTTGCAGTGTGTGTCCAAGGTTTTTTACGTTGGAAAAAATTACAGCGTAGAAAAAGGGAATTTCTATGTGAAAAAAAAATAATACCAAACAACGTTTAAATCGTTTCAAGAACAAATGTTATGCCGGAAAAATGGAATACACATAATAATGCGATTTCGTACGTACGACTACACGTATTCGATTTAGTAAAAACGCTCGGATTGTATAAACATTTTAAACAGTTCATCCTTAGATCCTTTTTGTTATTATTATATTTTTTAATCACGAAAACGCATTTTCTGTTAGACGTTCCAGATTGTTTACACGGCGTAACTAAAAAAAAAATCCAGGTTAATTTTAACCCGGCGGCCGTACTTTATTTGAAACGTTTTTCAACCGCCGAAAGCTTTTCTAAAATATTTTTAAAAATAAATTAACCGACGACAAAATGTGCCGATATAATTATACACGTCCGGCATGTTTTCGCCGATTTCTGCGGTCAGCTATTGGCAGACTATTACAAGGGGAAATCACCCGACTGTTTACGTAACCGTATATTACCAGTTTGCCGAGCCCCGCGCAGAATCGATTTTTGATTGCGACGATTTATCGTTGCTTTCAACGCGGAAACCATACAGATTACCCCCACCCCTCCCCCGATACAATATCTATTCTATACGCCGCATCGGCCTACAGTTTTTATATATATATTTCCTGTCGACATGTCCCCAGATCGGAATGGGGAGGGGGAAACAAGTAGACAATAGAAAAGAATGCGCACCGTCCGCCGTACCTTACCCCCGAAGAATGCGGTTATTAAAACCTAATGGAATTTTACGGTTCACGACTTTTGCGGAGTACACAGCGCGTTTAAACGTTTGTCCGAATTGATCTATAGAATACGAGGACTGCTCGCGCACATGGAGAAAACTTGGGCGAACCGTGCACGGTTTACGTTTATATAATATAGATATATACGCTGCTATTATTTTGCGACCCGGTATTAGTTTTAAAACTTTCCGCCATGTACCGAAATCCGCGAAAGAAGATTACGGCTTTTGAAAAACTGTCGTTTATCCGATAATTTCGCCTTCTGCATTTCGCCCCGCGCGGATCGGCAGAGATATTTTTTTAGAGGAAAATATAATATAAGTATATATATATATATACACGTTTATACGAGTATTATATATCTCGGTCCGACGTCGTTATCGCATTTTGTGCGGAATACGTGTCAAACGACCAAAAACTCTGTAGCGTGCAGTTCCTGCCGAGTGTTGTGTGTAGTATATAGTCGGGTAGTTTTTTTTTTCCTCCCCGTTCTTTCGCGAGCCCTCGAAAGCGTTTGGACGAGGGCGAAAAAAAAAAACTCCGTCAGAGGTGTGCGCGCGTATTATAGGTAATAGTTGCAGTTGGACGTTTACCAAATGTTCGATTCTCATTGTGGTCTTCTTTTGCTCTGTCTCTCTGCACTCACTCACTCTCTCTCTCTCTCTCTCTCTCTCTCTCTCTTTCTCCACCTCGCCGACTCGAATTAACGCACGTGAAAAAAAAACCCTGCTTATACTCTTTCCCTTTTGTGTGTGGTGCGCGACACCTTTACGAGGCAAAATTAAATTTAGACCCGTCAAGTATATTTATAATATGACGTGAATATAATACAGTGTGCGTAGTATTGTGTAAAGATACACATATTGTGTGTGTGTGTGTGTGTGTGTGTGTGTACAGAGTGCACGTATATTGGGGGGCACGCATTATTATCGTTACACAATGCCGAACAGCGCACGCAAACGATTCGATAGAAAAACCAAACACCAGCGCAGCTGTAGTAAGATTCCCGTCGTCGAGACGATTTTCATGATTTTTTTTTTTCCATAACAATCGAATTGTCATTATTGTATTACGCAATATCCGGGTGTGTATTATTATTCTTATTGATTTATACGACAGGGGAAAAAAATAAATACACATTTCATGTGCACTATACACATTACACCGGTCTACACTGCACCGCGATCCCGCACGGATATAATAATAATAATAATAATAATAATAATATTATTATTATTGTTATCGTGGTTATTATTGTCGTAGGAATATATATGGATACGACGCTGCAGAAATGTAATAGTATTATTATTGTATAGTTAAAACGACTGCGAAAAAAAAGTCGAGCGCACCTGTCATATTAAATTTAAGTGCAACGGGGACATCGACTAATGTTTTAAAACGGCCGGACGTTTATTATTTTCTCCTTTATTACCCCCGTATTATATTATATTATATATATTATACGCTTTGCAGTAAACGGAAACTGTATTTTCGTGACACTATACAGGGTGTCCGTTTTGCCGTATCGACGGAAATTCGATTTGCGATACATTGTGTAATAATTGTTCAATACAATTAGATTTAGTATGAGCGTATTATATTACAGTTATTATCAGAGTAGACATTTTAAAGTAATCTCATTGGGAGAGGGGGGGGGGACATTTCAACCAGAATATGACGACCACAATCGAGATCTTGACGAAAAATCGTTCGGCATGTGTAATCGCCCGCGGTGTTGTCAATGTAAAAGTCCGCGTTTGCTGTCTTATTATTGTCTTGGTATTTTAAAAATTTATATTACCTTTTCGGTTGTCTTATCACTAACGCTTACAGTTATCACAACTACGACCGCACGGCTATACTCTACGTCTACGTTTGCACTACGGCATTATGGCCTACGGTATATTCCGTGTGAATTAATTTATAAATTAAAATAGTATAATACATCGCAAGAAACATTACAACATTAAATTAAATGCTCGAAAACGTAAAAAATTACGGTCGGATTTCGACTACCGGATCGACCACTAGCGCGTATTATAAATATAGAGATAACCGGACGATCCTCGGGTCGTGGAGACCGAGAACGGTCCTGTGACGTAGACGAGACCGAATTATGTTTTTATCGTCGGAACCCGGTTGTTTTTAACTCGGGGGTAGGGAGGGGTTACATGTTTTTACGTTATAATATACGCTTTGAACTTTTACCGTATATAATAACTGCGGGTGTAATTTTTTATTATTATTTTTTTATTTTGTACGACATTCGCAAACGCGATTTGTATGCAGAATGTGTATACACAAAACCGTGCGTTGCACACGGATATCGCGTAAGAGAATCGCGTTTTGAATTTTCGGTGCAGCGCACTGCAAAGGTACGCATACAACAATAACGCGGTTAATAACGAATAATTATAATAATAATAATAATAATAATAATAACAATAATTTTATCTATTTGGGTCACACCGACGTAAAACGGTCGAAATTATTATCATCGCAACAACTTCGCCGACCGTAATAATATGCGGGTCGGTCGTCGCGAATGCGAGATATTTAAAACGCGAAAAATCGTATCGAGTCGACGTATACTTACGATATACAGGATGTCCCGACTATTATTATTATATAATAATAACCTTTGCGATATTTCGGGAAAAAATAGGAAACGATGACTATTTTTCGACAATATAATAGTAACGAGTTGCTTTAAAACGTTACATTACCGTTATTTTTTGTCTTACCCCTATCTTTTTTAAGGGGTTGGGCGAACAGACCACCTACTTTATATTTTTAAACGGCGATTCGTACTAGAAATTTCACGAAGAGACAAATCGTTTGTTTGGATACAATTTTTATTTCCGTCAACCCGTTGACGAGATATTTCACCTACGAGTTTAAATATAGAAGAGAGTAATGTGGAGCATCATTTCTACGGCGGTACAGCGCACAACGTTTGAATAATGCTCCTCCCCCTGGACACATACTTTCAAGTGGAATATCTCGTCAACGGGTTAACGGAAATTAAAAAAAAAATGTCGACACTGAAATTTATTAAAACTAATACTCCAACTATTTATGGCATTTTCAATGCAAGTTGCTGATTGAATATCAAAAGTCGACTGACGTTTCACCCTCAAAAAGTTAAGTGACGAAAAAATAAACGGTGATGTAACATTTTAGAGCTACTTGTTTCCTTAAATTATCAAAAAAATAAGACAACTAATATGTGCAAAGTATATCGTTTGGCCGATTTTTTTTTTTTTCAAAATCTCACATGCATGCTCTTCTACAATAACTGAAGAAAACTATTATGTTTTCGCTCTTACATTTAAACGGTGGAACTTTCATCAGCCGCTTTAAATTTTTCATAAACTCTATATTGAAAATTCCACAAATAGACGGATTATTCCATCATTATTGCCCTACCCGAATTCAAAAGTGCAATATCTCGTCGACGTGTTCAATCTGACGTTTCAATGCCGAAATACGTTTTAACCTAATACATTCCGTCCGGAATAATTGTATACACGTTAAATTGTATTTAAATTGAAACGGTTGTTATTGCATCGAAAATCTTATAAAATCGATATAGTGAAATAGTTGAACGATTAAAATATTATGGCCGAGAAGTTTTATTTTCGATTTGTCGAAAATCGCGTGTCTTAAAAAGTTAAAAAGTTAAAAAAAAAAAATCAATACTTTTTGTGAGCAACGATAGTGTTCAATGATGAAAAATGAAAAAGTCACCGTGTATTGATGCACAACGCGTACGATCGAATATGATGTTATGACAATATCGTTACGTATATTTCATATGCGAGTCGTCGGTGCACTACAAAATGCCTATTGTATATTATACCGAGTACACGTATAAAATAACACGTTTCGTTTTCGCGTTATTATTGTAATTTTTAGCGTCGATAAGTGAAGTGTCGACGACGACATTCGTTCAAATCACGAGCCCCCCCCCATCATTCCCCCCGTCTATACAGTGTGGCGTGCACGGTGGCGGCAATAACATTAAATACTATCCGAAACAATACGCGTTATGGCGACGTGACGCGCGTGATGAGATACGCGTAAAGTCATCGCGCGCGGAGAGTCCGCCTCCACCTCCTACTCCTACGATTCCTCGGCGTGCGTCATAAAAAAAACAAATATTTTCGTCGTCGTCGTCGTCGCGAAAAATATTTTTAAAAAACTACACAATACAGTTGAGTATATACGGCGGACCGATCGGCGGCTGACTGCTGCGGTTTATCGTAATACTGGTTAATAATATTATTATCGCGGTGTCACGTATATAGAGGTGACTATATTATTATTATATAGCAGCTTTATTACAGCGGGTACGGCTCGCACGGTAAGTGGTACATTACTGTTATTAGGTATTATATTATTGCCGCGTATTACCGGCGCGGTATACTACTAGGTATAAACGTGTAAAACGTACACGAGTATAATGTATACGAAAACGATAAAATTATAATCCGTCGCCTTAAATAAAAAAAAAAATAATAATAATAATAATAAAAATAATACGCGTTCGCCGCGAGTGTATACAGTGCAGCGTACAAGCTTTGATCGTAAACCGCGACCGATTCGTTAAGCGCGTACAATATTATTACGTTATTACGACATAACGTATTAACGTTGTACCGGGTGATCCGAAAACGAATACCGCGCGAATTCGAGAGACGAACATTCTCGGCGGAACGGCAATAAATCGAGCAAGGCCGTGGTCGGCGCCCGGGTTTTTAGAGTACTCGCATAAACGCGTATAACGTTTGTTTATTACGAAAGCGCATTGATTAAGGCTACTCGTCAACAGCACAATATCAATTGTTTGTTATTAACGACAGTATAAACACTATGTAGATAACGTATATTGATTCACTGACGCCGCGACGCACGTGTACGCGTTTCAATTAATGCAACAGCCAGTCTAAAATCGTTTGATATGTTTTATTTCGAGAACATATTTCGGGGAATGAGAGGGTCTGAACACCAACCCACTTCGCCTTCATAAAGAATATTCGCGTAAATTAAATGTAAAAAAAAAAAAAAAAAACAATTCTCTTTTCTCTCGAATTGTCAACGGGAAATCAACTTCAATGTAACCCGGTTCCGTTTGAATTATTCGTGCGCGTTGTTATTTTTAATTAAAATACGATATTTTACAAGTTATTACAAAAATAGTCTGGTCACAATCGAATATCTACAGACGTGCCTATAAGACATAATATTAATAAAGACTGTTACGTATTTCAAGTTTCGAATAGAGTCAATTCTGTCGATTGGATCTCGTGCGCGTGTGTTTTAGATTCTGAGTGGATCAAAGAAACTATGGTTTAACAAAGATGTTTATTTTTTTTATTTTTATCTTTTAAATCGGTATGGGGAGGTCCTTTAGGGAAGTCATTTTTCGAATTTTTTTAAGAGTCTTATCATCGAATTTGAAAAACCGGACAAAACGTAGGAAAACTAGGAAAATCGATCCAACATTAAACAAATATTATTAAAGAAAATATATAGAGCATATTTAATTATTTCACTATAATATGACATATATACTGTTGACAAAGCATCAACTGGACTCCACTCAGAATCGGTTTTTTTTTAAGCAATCGTTTATCGTTGCTTACAGATATACCTACATTATATTCCCGTCTGTATCCTATCTTCCTAACTACCTACCTACACCAGTGGCTGCACCCGTTTCCATTATCTAACCTTTCTTTTTTGTATTTAATTTAAACGACTATGTTATTTGTTTTTGTTTAATAAAAAAAAACGTCAATAACCAAATGAATAACCAAGACTAGCGAATAACAAAAATTGTGTATCCAGATTTAGAATCTGACCTTTTATGAGTTACCGCTCAATACAATCAAAATAATTGTAACAATAATAACAATTCGTAAAGCTAGTACAACATGTAATTTTATTGTGAGCGCTTAACCTTTTGATTTTTCTTCTTCAAAACCTCTAACCACATATTTTAAAGAGGGAACAAATGGAAATTACCGAATTTTCTCGCCTTTTTGTGTCGAACAAAAAGTCCATCACATTAATGAAAATACTAAAAATATATTTTAATTTTCAGCATATTGCGTTAGATAGTTATATCAGTGACACGTGCAAGTTAGGGACTAACCCCCCTCTCCCTCCATTGTTTTAAAAATACGAGTAATATAATGTCAAAAAGTTACGATAGTAGAAAAGTTCGATGTATTGATTAGAAATTTGCTTTTTTTTTTTTTTTTTTATTTAGGATCCGGCTTTTAAATTACCAATCATTGCCATAGTCGAGTTGGGTATAAAGAAGAGGATTTTACGATTTATTCATGATTCTTATTCGCTACGTGCCCTACCGTTGATAATCATTCCCGGGCGCATCATTGGACTTATAAAATACCTACACACAATATAATAATACGCGTGTACCGTTTAGACCGACAGAATAAAGGGAATGAAATTTAAATAAAACACGATTATATTATAATGTATGGAAAAAAAAAATTCCAACAATCGACTAGAGCTACAATCGAGACCAAAGACGCGCGCGACCACATATTTTGTTGTAGCGCGAGACGAGCGACGTAAAAACAAATTTCACACGAGGCGCTTTTCATAATAATATTATTATGATTATATTTTTCATTTTTTTTTTTTTTTTTTTTCGGTCGCGGATGAATTCTCGTAAATATAGTCCCGGCGCAGACCGAACACAATATTACACGGGTATAATGATATATACGGGTAATATACAATATTATTATTGCGTATAGGCGCAAATCCATAGAGACGCGCTAGACCGGTAAACTTATCCCGGATATACAATATTTTACTATGTTATACGCCTGCGTATATTTTATAATAATAATAATATTATTATGTAAAACATCCCGCGCGTCATACTTTATTTTATTTTTTTTTTTTTTATATATATAAATAGAATTCCGAGTGCATGTAGACTGTATGTAGGTAGGCAGGTAGGTATACGCGCACCACGCGCGTCTTATAACCGCGGAGTATCATATCGATTTGCGATTTACCGTAATTTTCCGGGGCGAGCCTGTACTTATGTATACATACCCGTTACCCGTATATAAATTTCCACTCCACTCGCTGGCCCCGCGGAAAAAAAAAAAAAAAAAAAAATAAATATATTTTTACCGAGTAAATTCGCCCGCGGACCCGCGACGGATCCCGCGGCGGTGACGACCGTAACCCGTTCGTGTGTTATACCTAAGCCCGGGCTATGCGCGTATATGAATAAGCGGGTATAATTTTCGGATACCTGTATATATATGTAACAATATCGTGATGTAGGCGCGTGTAAGTACACAGCTGTGACGACGAATCGATAACGATATTATTGTTATTATTCTCGATTACCGGAGATAGGATTTCCGCCAATAAGACCCGAGGACCGACGACGACGACGGCGGCGGCTGCTGCTGCTGCTGCTGTTACTGCTGCTGCCGGTAGTGCGCCCACACGCGAATACCGTACATTATATATTACCGTATACGGACTACGGGCCCCCGGACGTCAGCAGTTTTCCTGCGGATCTGTTGCTATACACAATAATATCGTACAGCAATAATAACAATAATACTACTACTAATAATAATAATAATAATAAATACATCATTGTATTGTCAGTTCGGGATACACAATAACGAAACGCGCGGTGTACAGGCACAGTGTGTAATATATTAAAAAGGGCGCGCGCGCGCAGCATCGGAACAACGACGTCGGCGGAGACGGATTTCGTATTTTCGCGACAACATAATAAACAGCGCGCGCCGTCGATCCGTACGGAAAATTCTCTCGCGGTGTAATAATAATGTGTTTTGTTTATTATTATTATTATTTTTTTTTTTCATTTTGATATAATACGTCGAAACCGGAACGAGCCGCCAGACGCTGCATAGAATATTAGAACGTTATTTCGTACTTTTTGCGCGCGTTAATACCGCGGTGACCGAGCGGGTTACCCGTCGAGGGGCGTATCCGAATAGGTTACCGTTTAAATTCGCAATGTATCCTGCACTACCGGTCAAATCGGTTCCCACTGTTCGCAGTTAGACAGTCAAATACGCACGTCTCCTTTCCTGTATTCTTAGGACAGTGCCGTATCTAGAACTTCTATTGCCCGTGGCCAAATATTGCATCGAGTCAGGGCCGATGAGTAAAAAAAAAAAAAAGCTTGTCCAATAATGCCTTGAGCCCTGATTTGGGGCCCCTAAATGTCACGGGCCCGTGACGTTTGCCCACCTTGCCCACCCGGTATTTACGTCACTGGCTAAGGACTGTGTCGACTTAGACTTAGAATTACTTATATTTTATATACTATAGAAACATTTCTGCATTTTATATTCGGCGCATATAGCCATATAAATATACGTATATCCAAACGGATTGACTTTATATCTTAATCGATTGCGGTATTTTGGCAATACGCCAATATATTATATTTTATTGTACCTCGATTACTGTAAAATACCCGCCGTAGTAGGCTTCCCAAAAAAGACATTTCAACATTTATTTCGACGTGATTGATATTACACAACTGCGAATACGGATGCGAAACGCCGCCGTTGCAAACGAATAGAGAGTTGATGAATAAATGCGTTGTGTATAAAGACGCAAGAGATAATTCGGACTGATAGAGTCATTACTGAGGAAGTTTTAGAAAGGGTTTCGGAAAAAAGATTATTTATTTTTGAAAAAAAGACGAAACGAATGGATAGAACATTATTTCAAAGGTTAGCAAGGAATAATCTTGGAAGGCATTGCAGAATGAAAAAAAATATATTTCATAGGAAGATTACCACATGATTATAATATTTTATACAAAAAAACAAATTATAGAAAAAAAATGATGCGGTTCGTACCAATAAGTGAAGTGGAAGGTCAACAATATAATGACACGGACAATTGCTACAAACCAATTCTTGGATTAAAAACTACAATGAGACATGCTGCGAATGTCCTACAAGGGGCCAATAAAAAGGAACAATATAGCATAAGAAGATTTCGTTTGAAAGTATTATATATATATATTTTTTTTTTTTTCATTTAATTTGTACCACTTTTACGGTGCCGGAGGAGATTACATTTTCCGATTCAATAGTCCATTTATATATTTCAATGTACAATCAATGTATATATAGGCAATGTTTTTTATCGGAAATTAAAATTATTTATGCTTCGATCAGCGAATTTTCATGACAAAAAATAAAAATCATTCATTCTAGAAATAAAATGATGGACCGTTTATAATAACCGAGGAACGAAACCCTATGTAAAAACAATGATCGAAGGGGATATACGCGAGAAGAGAAAGACCAAAAGCGCGGAATATAATATGACTTAAATCGTAAAGTATACATATAAATAGGGAATACAAATACGAGGCGCTAGAGGAGAACAAACAAGGTACAGCGGGGAGGAATATTGTAATATGTACGGAGAACCGCAACTAATCTTTTATAGGTTTATTAACGAAAAGAAAGATACTCCCGATAACAATTGTGCGCGGTTTCGGTCGCGCTCGAAAACTCGAAAATTACACGAGTACCACCGACCTATAACGAGCGGTAAAGCGACCCTGTCCGGCCTTAAGGCCAAAAGGCTATTGTTTCTACTTCGGGGGGAAGGGATGGGAGAGGAGAAATTTTCGCGCCGTACACGCTCGGCAAATTATCAGAGTTCGGACACCGCGCGCGCTGCGATCGGCCGTGTAATCAAATGCTGTTTTTTTTTTCTCTCCACCGGACAACAACAATAATTAGAAACGACCCCGCGAGTAAACGGAATCGCGTTATTGTTATCCGAAGGAATCGCGACCCCGCGTAGACGCGCTGCTGCAGCCTGCGGGTGGGTAAGCGCGCGGGGTACCTTACCGGCTGTGCATGCATTATGCACGTTAACGGCGATTAATAATAAATCATCGTTACGCACGCGTTGACGCCGCCGCCGCCGTTTCGGGCGGGCGCGGATTAAAACCCAATTAGCCGCGTACACGTGTTTATAATTACGGCGACAACGACGGCGACGGCGCGCGGTCATGAAATGATAATAAAATGACGCGGACTAATGAACTATATAACGGTTATAATATTATTATGATACTACGACGGGTGTTATTTATTCGCGGGCGCCTATGCATACACCCACGATGATAACGCTCGCACGGGTGGCGTGATATTTGTGAGTGACCACTTCGTTTTTTTTTGTTTTTCGCATGGCAGTTGAGCGACGTCGTAAAAGTATTTGATCTTTTCTGCGCATAGCGGTTGGCGGGCGGTACCGCTTTAATTGGTTAGTGAAACACGACGCGGCGCGAGAAGCAAGACGACCAGCAAGAAGGACCGTCAATACGGTCGAAATGACGAAAACGGCGATATTACTATCGGACGGTGTCAGCGGAGTGGCCGGCTGTGCTAGTGGCGAGACGAATGCGGCCTTTGAGAAGCGGTCGTTTCTCGATTTTTTCGACATTTACGGACGAACCTATATATAGGTGCTCGAGACGAAAATGACTAAATACCGTGCACTCGTTTACAACTGATTTAGTAAAAGCAGTAGTGAACATATTTGGGATGTATTGGAAATATCGGTAAATATTGGCGCGTGAACACTGCAGGGTAAGTTGTTTGTGGGTTATTTCAAGTTCGTTTCGACACTGGGGTCAGTGCCGTATTGAGCGATAAAACACGCGCGAGTTATTATTATATTTGATGCGGTCCGACTTTCAAACCGAAAAATATTTTCGTCATAGCATTTTGTGAATGTCACATTTTTTCGGGCTAGATTTACAAACGGCCAAACATAGATTTCACTGAATTACAAATCGACCGTTGCGATCCTTAGATCATATTATTGACAATATAATATTTGATTTTTATTCCGTTTCTACTATCATATTATTTTTACACGATTTTAACGTTGAACAGTTGTGCGAATTGTATGGCATGTACATGTATAATTAGGATTTTTTTTGGCCCAAAAACACATGTTTCAATAAAGTTTCGTTCCGTAACTTGCCGATTCAAATGTAGCCCTGTATCGACGCTCTCGGAGATCTGTTTCTTCTTTTACGCAGGTTCTCATATGCCATTTCCATTATTTCTACAAAAGTAAACCTTGAGGATTATGGGCTGATGGATAGCTTTAGAAAAACGTATACCTACGAAAAATGTCATTGTTAATAAGGAGTGTTTTTGCACTGCTGCGAAAAAGTAGTCACGATAAAATTGAGCCATATAAAACCGCGAGCACGTTTTATCGTTACCGTGCCATTTATCGCAGCGCTGTGGAAGTTTACATTTCACTCGGTAAACAATATTCAGAGGACTTAACGTAAATATAAGGAAACGAATAAGGAGGGGGTGGAAGAAAGGCCCACAGACACGTATATAACATATTATAAGGCAGAGCGGATCTATTTTAAACATTACGGAAGAAAAAATAAACGGTGAAAAAGGCAGATGAGAACAACCGAAACGCATAGATATCTATAGAATATAATATTATGTGTAGAGTATAATATACATAGATGAGTCGAGGCAGACATTAGCTCTATTAAGCTATGTGCGATTCAATGAAGAGATTATCGTATTGAACAAAGACATATATTGTGTTTGGTTGCAGCGACAAGACGAAGCCATTAGATACGGAAAAATATATATATAAGCATACAATAATAATAATATTAAATTATACCTAATAATTAGCGACTCTGGCGGTGGCGCAGAAAACTGGCTTCGTAATTTCATAATAAAAACACACACACACACACACACATAAGATTGTATAAGTAGTATTATTATAGGTAGGCCTGCACAGTATACCTACATGCTCGATAACGACGCAGGTTCGAGTACTGGTAGTTAAATTCCTTGTATTAATGCGCATTATCGTTGCCTCGGGATCGCGATCGCGTATAGTGTACGGTGTACTATGTTATTATTATACGTTGTTAAGAGTACGAGTATATCTTTATCTTATAATATAGTAGTAGTTTTGTACGCGTACGCCTAGTAGGTATACATGATTACGGGGCACGGGCAACCAGAACGGTCCATTCGTATTATTACTACAGTATACTAGTGTACGCGACTTTAACATACAGGGTATACGGGCAGGATCTGATGATATAACTCGATATAATTAGGAAAAGCGCTACGGTAAAATATTATCAGCAACATTTTTTTTTTTCGTCTTCTGTCGGGAAAAAATTCAAATTATTCTAAAATACATTAAGTTTGGCGAAGGCTATTATTATTGTTTTTTATTTTTAATCAAACACTCGTAGCACGTTATTAAGCATATTTTTAATATCTCGGCAATCGATTTTATACACAATGATAGATAACTTAAGTCGCCACGGTGAAAACTGTAGTATTTTATACGATTTTTTAAAAAGTCGTCTACCCGTACGAATAGGTACTATGCTGATCGGACCCAACGGGGTTTTGTTCGGATCCGAACGATCCTATCTTTACTAATAACCTACTGTTAAGACGAAGAATAACGTAAGAGGCACCCACGGTCGGATTAACCTACAAGCAAAATAACGGCTCATAAAAATGGCTAGTATTTAAATTTTTATTATTATTATTATTATTATTATTATTGTAATATCGAAGAATATTTTAAAGGTTAATTTTTCTGTCGGATTTAAACAATTTTTAAGTTTTTCATCAACGTCTTTGTTATTAACTACAATGAACGAAAATTAGAATAAGATTATTTTGCTTAACATGCATAAGATTATAAGTTGAATCAAAATGTAACTGAGAGATTTATAAATGTTTAAAGGTTATTATACTTTTATTTTTTGTGTACTAACTGTAGTGGCGAAATATCTTTCTATTTTAAATCATTAAAAACGTATTCTACACGATCTTCACTATCGTAAAATAATCCGCAAAATTTTGGAATTTCAAGCATTGAGAATAAATTTTTAAAATCGCTAAACTTCGAATATGTTATCGGTACTTTTTCATAAGAAAACACTAGACAAAATGTGTTATGTATGTATGAAGAGGATAGACAACAGTTGATAGTTGTATTGATGCCAGTGATTAATTTTGAAATCTATACAAATATACAAATGCATTTAACTTTGATTCAAAAATGTATTGGACAAATTTAATATTTTCAATGTTACATGATTATGTATTAAATATTATTTATGTTCATAAACGAAATTATAAAACGTGATATTTTTTAATTTGTAGTTCAGACGCTGAGATACAGGACAGGTTTATAAAACAGGCAATGATCTTTTTGCTTATTAAGGCCCTTTAGGCCCATCAGAGATTTTGCGTACGGCCCACGAATCCAGGGAGCGCCAATCACGCGTATTGCGTGTAAGGAATTTGCAAATCTCGCAGATACACCCTGTATACATATACATATACCAACTAAGCCTCACGTGTGTAAGTATATCGCGGACTATATTATAAACTACTACCACTACTACTACTACTACTACTACTACTACTATAACTGCAACTACTACTATAAAATCACTATACACAGTCGTACGATACCGTTCACGCCCGTTCACTACCCTTACGCGTAGATTGTTCGTGTCCCCCCGAAGGTTATTTAGGATCGATAACGTTCGAAATATGGACCGGAAAAGACGTTATTCGCACACGCCGCCTTCGTCGTCGTCGACGGCACTGCCGGGCGTGTGCGATGATTTACGAAATATTCTGAAGAGAAAAACAAAAAAAACACGGTCCGAATAAACGGCGACGAATCGCTCGGTATATACCGTGTGTGACACGATGACGAGCAATTCGAATTCAGATTTAATAATTTGCGAAAATCGACTGATCGGAAAAGTCGATTTTATTAAATTAATTGCCATCGGGACTCGGGAGTTTTAACACATTTACATATTATTATTGATGACACCTGCAAGAACATTCTGAGTAAGAAACAAATTTTTTTCTTGCTAATCACCGATGTCATGTACGGATTTTTGAAAAAAATAATAATAATACGTCCGATATGACATGTAGATGAAATTATTCTCTAAGATATATATGTTTGGAAATATTTATAACTCTACTTTATATCCGAAAAAACTAAAGAGTAAAGGGCAGTTCCGTCGAAATTCCGGTTAAAAGTCGCCTATTTCGGGTGTGTGACGTCCAAATCCTCTTATGAAACTTGCTATTCGGACGATGAGAATTATGAAAATTATTTTACACAATAATATTATCGTATTGTTATTAATAGTGCGGTCGCGGAGCGTACAAAATGAAGACGAACGCTGATGAAAAAAATGTATAAAATACCTTGCTATTGACAACACTATTGACACGTTTATTAAATCTGTCTTGTAAAATATAAAAAATGATGAAAAATAAAAAAAAAAAAAAATTTTTAGTTAAATGGTTATCTGGTGAGAACGGCCGAAAACACAGAAAAATCGACAACCTAACAGCGGGTTCATTATTCGGGAGAGCATACGGGCGTAAGTTATACGATACGTTTTTCGATATTTAGGCTTTTTTTTTCTAGATCCACGAACTAGAGATGAACAATCAGATTTTAGATTTAGGATGACCACAATTATCGGTGCTAACAGAGGCACGCCTCCGATAATAGCGTCCTTAACATTGTTCGGTTGATTAAATAAAGTAGTGGTACGCTCGAATTTATAAAAAAAAATACTACCCCTCCCCCCTCTCGATATGAGCATTGCGGGTTCGGCGTACACATAGGTACGTGACACGACGTTTTGTGTTACAAACATTTGTCCGAACAGACTGTACAATACGTGATGTATACCAGTCGTCCGGATAGACTGCGGCACTATTATGTATTAGGAATAGGCACGGCATTATATAATAGCCTTTGGTTTTTTTTTTTTCGTAAAAAGCCCCCTATGACGTGTGCGTATAAAATTATACATGCGGAAGGCGAAATTTAACTCCGCGGACCGTCGAAAGCCGACGAAAGTGTTGTTTTCACTGTCACGCTCCGCGGTCGGTCTTATGCGTATTATTATTATGACGGATATAAAGTGACATTCGCATACCGCCAGCCGCCGGGTCATATAGTATATTGTCGGGCTCTCGAATGTGTATGTATACGATGTATACGTCGTGCGTGCACACTGAGATGACGCGATTTAACGCCAGCGATATTTCTGGGGGTTATATTATATACTTCGCCCCCCCCCTTCCTTTTCGAAATATCCATCCTTCGTCTCTTTCTGCGGTCACAATGTCGAGATGAAAGCTAACTACAGTACACATACAGGCACAACGTACTATACGCGTATATACGAACGCCGTAGGTGTCACGAGGCGCGACATTATATTATCAACTCCTAGGGGTGTCTCGCGAAAATCCTAGTGTCAAATATTGTATAAAAGCCCTTTTTTTTTTTTTTTTTTTTTTACTTTTTTACATACGCATATACGGGCCGCCGTACGATTCGTGACATCCCGGCTCGTGCGCAGTATATACAAGAGAGAGAAAGAGAGACAGAGATAATTATGTATATAATATATGCTTTATAAAAAATTTGAATACATTCAAGTATACCAAAAACCGACATTTTCTTTCAATAATTTTCCCCGAAATTTTCGATTCGAAGTGAAAATCCTTCAGAAAAAGATTTTTTTTATTTTAAATCCGAAAAAATTTCGGAAACTTCGCAAATGAATTTGTGCACATTGCTCAGGATATTCTCGCCGTGGAGTGTTATATCGATCCGATTAGAGACATGTTATAACATTATCGTTTCTAAAAAGGACGCGTGTATATAAGCGTACACCGATCTCTGAAAGATATTTCATATTCCATAAAAGACTTCTTCGAGACCCCCGGAAGTTCGTCGCCGGTTCGTTTGATTTGGAGCTGATCGGAGCCGAAACGGTACCTGACTGCATAAACCGCGTTGCGCTTAGCGGATGATTCGCGCGCGAGTATACTTATACAACACATAAAATCTAATTTACTACAGCCCGGCCACGTGTTTTTCAGGGGTAACTATAAATTCCATTGTAACTCCATTTCATATTCCCCCACTTCTCTACTAGTTTCCTTCAAAACTCCCATCTAAATCGTCTAATGAGAACCGCAAACAATGACCCATTCTTTCTATTATAAAGTACAAAAAGGAAAATTCTAAGCCATGTAGAAATGATAATAGTCATAGGAATAACAATAGTAACAGAATTAAATATTAAGTTATCGCTAACAATCCATAGGTCTATGTCTATTATAAGTAAAATATATGTTAGATATAAGAACACTCAAAGCAAACTGGACTTGTTTCGTATTTTATAATAAATAATAAATAATAATAAAACTACAACGGTCCAAAAAATGTCAAAATAAGTCCGCGAAATCGCGCAAATTATCCGGAAAATAACGGCACTGGCGAAACGGAGGAAGCTCAAAAATGCTCGGGCCGGTGAAACGGTACTGTAGTTTTTCGCGTCCGGACTCTGTCGTTCCGATTCGTCCGCGTCAGACGTGATTCAGACGTTTCGGCGACAAAAATATGCCATGTGAAATCACGTAGCTGCGCGTATAAAAAAATCGCGTTGAAAAAAAAAATACAATAATATACGGTATGTGTACGGCGTGTATACAATAACAACGCTCGGGAGTTATTGCACTGAAAAAGCATTAAAATTGATTGAATTATTGCTGAAAAAAATCTAAAATTGCACTCAAAAATTGAAATAAATAATTGTGCTTCCCAAATGAATATAAAAATACTCCACGTTTTGGGGAAATAATAACTCGTGCATCGTCTCATCAAATACTAATTTCACGACTGCCATCACAATCGACCAAGTCAGAAAAAACCATCAATTATTATATTATTTGACATACTAATATCTCACAAGGTACCTGTCATTATTTTATTTCTAATGTAAAAAAAAAAAAAAAAAGTAAAATCAAGCGAATAATATTCAAAAGTATCAAACGTTGTATTATAAACGAGGGAAATCAACAAAATTGCAATCGAATCGAAAAAACGACAACGATTGCAAAAAGCTGCACTAAACAGGCGGAATGAATTTAAAATTTACTTAGCAACGTATCCGGACAATTAGAAAAAAAGTCGCAAATACAACAACTTCCAGAGCCCCAAGTCAATAACAGTAACACCAGCTACCCGCACAACAATTAATTACATTATTCGTTTTGCATAATAGTAATTCGCTGTCGCGGCCGCCGCGCGCGCATAGGTAAGTAAGTATACACGTCGTCGTACGAAAATCCAATTATTATATCGCATTGAGATGTTTAGACGATGCGATTGCCGCGCATAATAATTAGGCGTACTATACACACGTATATTACCGTTGCACGTGTAATACGCGCGCGCGCCGCGACGGCGGCGGCGGCGGTTCGTACTACTCAATTTCCGCTGTATAAACACAATTTAGACCGCGATAATGACGGGTTTAGGTTGAAACCGCGTTGTTAACTAGCGCGGCCGATGGTTGCGACGGCGCTAGGAGGCGATTTCGGGATAAACGCCGCCGCCGCCGCCGCCGCGCCGCCACTGCCGCCGTTCGTTTGACACGCGTACATTATTATCGTAAATGTATAGGAGACTGCGCGGGTATTATACGAGGTACGCGTCCTTATTTTACGTATCTCCTCCGGTGGTTCGGTCTTTAACAAACGCTATTATAATATTATATTACTATATTGGCACGATTATTACATTATTACCTATCGCCTGTACGACGATACGCCAATGGCGTTACGACGACGAGAAAAGCGGTTACCGGCCGGTATCAGTTTGACGGTCAGCGCGGTAACAATATTATTATAATACGCCGTACCTATAAGACGCGCGGTCAATACCGGGCCGGGACCTATGTAAACGGGTATGCACGAATATATTATACGGGTTTATCAATATTCTATAATATAGTGTACGCGTGACTGTTAACAGTCTTTCGATATGATAATTAAAATCGTAATAGCATATATACAGGGTATCCCACGGAGATAATTACACGATCGTTGAAATATCTCGAAAAGTGTTTTTTTTGTTTTTTTTTGACAATTCGAGAATCTATAGTAGTTGTAGAATGTTACATCACCGTTAAATTTCGTCGCCCTTAATTTCGGGAGGAGGCGAACCGACCGGCAATACTTTTTATTTTCAAACGGAAATATTCCACTTTTAAATTTATTAGGTAGAGGCACGTAGTATAGCTGACCGTTATTCAAACTCCGCGAATATCTCGTCAACGGGTGTTATAACGGGAATCAAAAATGTAAACACAAAAATACATTTGAACACTTATGCTCTCCGTCTATTATGGCATTTTCAATATAATAGATCGCCGTTTAAAAATCAAAAACAGGCTGTTCGTGCCAAAAATAAAGGTGACAAGCACAACGGTAACACAACATTTTTTAGCTGCTTGTTTCTTGAATAATATTGTTGACGAAAAAATAAAACTCCGAGATATCGCGCAAAAATCATATCTTCGTGGGACACCCGGTATATTGTAGACGTCTATCTATATAGATACGATCGTTGCGTTTTTTCGAGATAGCAAAACGTAGACCGTTTATCGGTTTTTAAATGGAGGAACAGTTTTTTATCTTTAGAACGTTGAACCGCGGTAATTTTCGATTTGATAAGAACGCGTTTAAAATGATTAACAATATTCAACGCGTAGGTTAGTATATCGATATTAAATCGATATTAAAACATCGATAATGTTCGCGTACACTCCGAAAAAAAAAATAATATATACATTTCCAGTTTATAATCGCAAATCCCTGACGTCGTTTGGCAGTCCGCATCGGTGCGGTCCATTTTATTTTATTTTATTTTTTTAATAAAATTACTTTTTTTTTGTTTTTTATCCACGGACATTATTTGAATAATACAAAACTAAAGTACATCGAATTGTAATAATATCTTAGCAACCTCGCGAGCACCGAACTCGAATAGATTGAACAGTTTAGTTTTCACATGGAGTTTCCTACATAGGTAATATCGGTGGATCTCGGGATTTTCGGAAACAAGACGGCGGTTTTTTTTCTGTAAAACATAGCGTTTGAATACGCTGTTTTTAAGCGTAATGCATATTTTAATAACTTCGGCACCCATCCACGTCTTGGAAAAAACGAGGAGTAAAAAAACGCCGAAAGATTCCCCCGTGTACAGGGCCGGATTATGAGTTATCCCGGCCCGGGGCTATAGCCTAATGAATGAAAAAAAAAGGTCAACAACAAAAAAACATACACTGCGTGGCCCCCTTCAACTCACGGCTTGGGGCTATAGCCTCCTAAACCCACCTCCCTTGATCCAGCCCGAATTTGGGATTTTAGTTTTTAATATATTTTATTTTTTTTCGCCGAACGTTTTAAATTCGTTGTCCCATGTAACGGGGGTGAGGGAGGGAGAAACGCTCGGCCGTAGGATTTTAATTAAAAATATAGTGCAGACGTGCGGCGTATGGACAATAATGCAATAATAATAATAATATGTTACAATAATAATTATTCGGCGTATACAACCGGGCGGCGATAAATTTTACCGACAGTGACATTAAATTAAAAACTATGTGTCCAAACGTTAAACGCCTAGGAAAATCGACTGCACGATTCAAACCTGTTTAGTGTTTACGTTTTTTATTTTTTCGTTTTTTTTTTTTTAGAGTGATAAATATCGTTTCGTCATTTATAATACATATAATATAAAATCTGACTTTCGTAAATTTTTTATTTACGCGTATGCAATAATAATTATTATATTATCGTTCTTCGTTTTTTTTTTCCGTTCGCCCGTGTGTTACGCGCATATTTAAGAACAGACCGTCGGAGAAACGGGGGGAGGGGAATTAAAACGTATATTTGAATCGTACACTGTTTATATTATACTGTAACTTGCATTATTGTATAATTTATTGAAATATTTTTAATATTCTACGACAGAAAACTTTAGAGCACAGAATTTTTGTTTTGTTTAAATTTCGAATATTATGTACGAAGAAAATTCGACCTTCGGATTCAGCGAGAAAGAATTTTCCGGTTCTTAAAAGGGTGGCTCTTATATTTAAAAAAAAAAAAAATTCTAAATTTGTTATGCGTATAACGATGTACTCATAACATATAAATGTTTAAATTAGACAAGTTGTTTCGGAATAAAATAAACAAAAGTTTACGTTTATAAAAATGCCGTCTACATAATATATATATTATAATATTGTATTCTGAACGTTGGAAAAAAAAAGAAAACAACTCGAATATTTTGAGTTGCACTGCATAAAGAAATACAAAACTATAGAAAATATCACGAAACGCGATTGGCTGGATATTCAAAAGAAAAAAAAAACACGTGAGAGCTGCAACAGCTATTAATACCAATGGTGTAACATCAAAATGCGGACCCAGGAACGAATTTTTCAATAACCCCCTCTTTCAGGTATATATAGGAAGGTCTAAGGACATGGGCATCTGCCCCCCTGAATTTCAAAATTGCAAATATAATTTTATTTTAAGTTCTTTTTGTTGTTTGATTTTATTATACCCCTCCCTGATAAATTTTCTGTGAGCACCTATGTCTAAAGAGGGGGGGTCTCCCCTTACTGAAATCGTTTCGTAGGTTTATTTCTTTTTTTTGAAAATATAATTATAGCACGTTTTATTGAATACGCGTCTCGTCATTATTAGCGAATCGTCATGCATGCTAAGAATAAACTCGACGGTTAAAAACAGTGTAATGGTAAAAATTCGAATTTTTTTCACCGTAGTAGAAACATTATGTCGATAAAACAGATCAACGCCCTACAACAATAATAATTTTTAATTGTTAAAATCAACAGTTAATTTTATTTAGAGAGTCAATATAATTTAACAGCTCATAATATCGTCAAAAGAAAAAAACGTCGCGGGTATTACCCTGGGCTAGCGTAACCTAACCTTCCGAGCCCTCTTATAGTTACGCCACTGATTAATATAGCCGCGCGTATGCACACACGCAGTCATTTCGAGTGCAATAATAATTGGTACCGGGACGCGTATACGTTCGTTTTTTTTTTTTCATTATTATTTATTTATTTGTTTGTTGGTTTTTTTTTTTTAGCGAATAACGCAATCGGTACGACGAGACGAACGAACGGACGAACACAAAACCGGTCGGACGAGAGACGCGACGGGGCTGGAGGCTGCGCGGCCGGGGACAACGCCCGCCGCGGTTTTATCCGGAGGCGGTTTTTCTCGTTTCGTTCTCGTTCTCGTCCGGTGAAACGACCCGGGGTGGGTACGGAATATCGACGACGGCGGAGCAACGTATAATAAATCGGACGGACAAAAAAAAAAAAAAAAAAAAAAAAACAATAAAAAAACAAAAAAACAATGAAAGAACGTCGAGCATTATTATTTCGTTTCTGTACAACGTACCGCGCGATATTATATAGTAATAGGCATTACTATCCGTCGACACGACGATCAACAAGCGCGACGCGGACGGCGATTGTAAAACTGCGGGGGTCTTTGATTGTAATAATATTTCTGTGCGTACGCGTGCATTATAAAATACAGTGGGTATGTGCCGCGCGCGCGAAATCGCGAAGGTCGTACAGTTAATTATCGTTATTACGATATTTACGGTGCTCGTTACCTACGCGACGTACTGTGTACAGCTCCTACAGGTGCGGCGTACAAAAATTAATCTGGGAGTAAAGGGACGGGAATTACGCGTTAAATCGTCCGATTTTTTTTTTCCCGTTGTTGTTGTTGTTGTATAGGTATTGTATATGTGCCAAACGGGGTAACTACGAGGGGGAGGGGGAAATGACGAAAACCGTACGATAAAATCGGTTGGGTTAGGTTATTATTATTGTTAATCGAAAAATGTCTTTGACAACGCTGCACCGACGACCAGCAGATACGAAACCCTATTTAAACGAGAAAACGCCTAGAACGTTTTCGATTTCTGCAGGTGCACCAGTCGATTACAACCCGGGGCGACGGAGGGGAGGAGGTTGAAAATCTCTATATAAAAAAAAAAAAAAAACAAAACAAAACGTTTCGGGACGTCGACTGCGCGCGGAACGAATATGTTTTGAAAACAATATGGCGACGACGGCGGTGGATCGTTCGCGGATGTTTAACCAGCAATCTATTCGTGTACGTCGACGGCGACGTGCTCGGGGCGGCCGGGCGGTTTCAGACCCCGGCGCGGAAATAGCAGACGTTGTTGTCCCTACAAATTTGATTTACTCGCGAGACGGGCTCCCGTCGCGGCGTTTCGCCGTTGATTAAAAGGGATATTTATTTTAGCCGCGGAATACGTACCTGCGGCCTACACTGCTGGCAACAACGGAGGGCCCGGCGAATTATCAATCTCGCGGCGCACGTATATAATACGCAGTTAATATATACACTATAACCTATAATAATAGTAATAATAACAATAATAATAGTTACACCTATACCCGGCGGCGGCGGCGGCGGTCGCATTGTGTTTTTGATCTATTTTTGTGTGGGAGAGAGAGAGAGAGAGAGAGAGAAAGAGAAAAAAAAATGCAAAGCCAACACCGCTTGCTGAAATACCCTTTATGCGTATATGTATATATATGTAATCTTTGTACACACTTCGTTACCCGATCTCCTCGTCTGTTTAGTAATCTTCTGTGCACATAAACAAACACATACACACACACACACACACATTTATACACGGTACACACAGAATCGTCGAGTCGTTGATGAATACGAGGGATTTAAGCAGCAGCAGAGGGTCTTACGCAGGGCGAAGACGCGGTTCTCCAAGGTATTATTACTATCGTCGTAAATTCGTTTTCCACGCACGTTTTTTTTTTTGTGACCGCGATAATATATTTTTTGTAAGTGTAGCTTTATTATTGCAGGACGTGGACACGAAACAATAATAAACGAATTCATTTTTTTTTCTATCTTGAGGAATAATATTTTCCGGCATTCACTTTTCGCGTAAAACGCGAGATCAACTCACTGTTTTAGTACACAATATTATCGTATACAATAACGAAAAACATAACCACGATTATCAATGCGGTGCATTATATGGGGAAAAAAATCGAACGTTAAATGCGATTTCCTTTACGATACTTAATATGTATTTGTTTAGCTCTGGTCGTATAGATCGAAACCATTGTTAAACGATTTCTTAAACGCCATGAAATGAATAGACAATCGTAACAGTACTATTGAAAAAAAAAAAAAAATGATATACATGATAACATAATATATTATCTATTAAAGACGCATTGTTAAAACTTCGAGTAGAACGAACTGTAGGACTGCATTATGGAGCCGAGTTGAACAGCCGGCATCTGTAGGAAAAATTGCGGATGCACCGACTGTAAACGCCTGCAAGATCTCGGATACTTATTGTAATGCCAAATAAATGGCGAGAAAATAATATTATAAACAATTATATGCAGCCATAGAGAGAACCGGAGGAGGCCGTTGCGGAGACGACGGGCCTTTATAGCTAATACTATATAAACGCGTATATAGTATAAACAGACATTAATGCGGTACTGTCTTGATTTCGGATAATACACAGCGGGTAAATGGGACGGAAACAAAAACGGCCGGGACCGCGAGACCATCATGAAACGGTTTTTTTTTTTTTAATATCCATCGATAATTCGTATATATTATACTGGTATTTTTAACGCGTGCGGCGGTATAATTATTACGCTGGTGTTGTTCTCTCCGCGTGCGCGCGCATCGCTGCAGACGATGGCGCTGCAAAGGCAACGACCCGAAACGCGTGATTAAAAAAAAATAAAGTTAAATGAGGTGCGACGGCCGCGACAACGAGTATTATACATTATATTAGTGTATATAATACGTATATATATATATATATAGAGAGAGAGAGCCGTCCAAGTTTAAGGAAGGAATGAAAAGAAGAAAAAAAAAACACACAGATTATCCGGAGATCCTCAAAGCGGCGTGGCCCGGCGGCGGCGGCGGTCTAACTTTTTAAACGCAAACTCAAAGGTTTCGCGTTACTTATTTATGTATAAATAATGTACGCCCCGAGGATTATGGTCGTGTTACGTTTACCGCGCGCCGCTGCAAATAAGGCGGCGACGATGGCTCGATAAGTTCGCCTATAATATTATAATACGACAATAAAATACAAATAAGAGAATCGCGTTTTGGCGGATTTTCGCGTCAACGTCCAACAATAATATTCGCGGCGCGGCGGAAACGTATCCGAGCGCGAATTATAATTATTGTTTGTAATACGAATACGATGTTTTCTGGCCCGCCGTGCTGTCTCGGAACCCGGCGAATCCCGAATCGTCGCGTGTATTATACACTCGTGTAGATCCGCTATAATAGTGTGCCCGGCGGCTAAAGGAGCGTGTAGGTATAATAAAAATAATAATAATATAAAGAGATTTACCGCGACGCGAAAACAGTTTGGCGTCGAACGTCGGCGCCATCTACCGAGCGAGATTTGCGGACGCGGTATGAAGAACACACGTACACGTACGTTTACAACAAGAGAGACAGAGTAAGAGAGAGCAGAGAGATGTCGAGGGAGAGAAAGAGAGTTGGTCCGGCAGCTGCGTTATAGTCGGTCCCTCGGGTGTCGTTTCGGCGTATATAGCCCGCGGAGCCACTATACTAAAGCGGCCATCTTTTTATTTTTATTTTTTAATGGACTTTATACATTTTTCATTTGGTATACACGCGCGCGGTGTACACGTACTCAATACTTATACACAATTACACATGGTTGATTTTTTTTCTTTTTATTTTAGAACGGTATAAGATTGTTTGATGTGTTTAATTATACGAATATATATATATAAAACTATCGATTTATTATGTACTCGCCGCGTTATGCCGTCGTCTTCGTCACGTTATATTATCGCAATGAAGACGCGCCCGAACCGGATAGAATCGTTCGCAACGGCGGCGGCCGCGTCGTATTACTATAGAAAAAAATCTGCGAACTCCCGCGGCGGACCGACCGCAGAACGAATCGGTAACGCGGGCGCGCTTTTGACATACGACACCCGACATCGCCTTTTGCCCGGGAGTCGAATACCCGAAACCGTTTGGCCGCGTCGTTTGAAGGGACGGCATATTGTGAAAACGCCACGACCGCACGACGACGGGTTTAAATACCGTATCCGTCCGTGGCTACCACCAGCTATACCGCGGGAAAACCTCGGTCGCGCTTGATAAAATCAAATCAAACAATTAAAACACCCGTAACACTGTAAAAATCGATAAATTTGCCAAAAACGCGAGGATATTTGATTTCTACGTCTGTCGCGAGAGATGAGACACAGACCGTACATACGCAAACATAATGCAGGTACACATCCGTAATTGCGACCAACTTTGATAGTCTATATAGATGATTATACCGCACCCACCTAACCGTTTTACCATAGGTTTTGGGTTGAGTTTATAGTTGACGATTTTATTAAATGAAAATAATGAGTTTCCCCTTGAACTATGGTCTAAAGGATATGCTAATCAAACACTGCAGCAAACAACAAACGCATGCGAATGATTTTATACAAATTGTAATTCGTATTTTTTCAACGCTCATCATTTATACAATTTGTGGAAGTTTTGATAGAATTTCAAACAGATACGGTATTTAAAACGAATCTCGCTAGAACAGTAAAACAAAAATAAAGCGGTACTAAAAAAAAACACCGGAACATTCGACAATCATAAATAGTTAATGGCGAAATTCAAATTGCTACGAAAATATGAAGAAATAACATTACAATAATATTATGATACGATAAAACTTAAATCAGTGAGACGGTATAATGACGAAAAATGAAATTTTCAATGACTGCACCGGAATATAATATTATAGGCATACATTTTTATTCTGTCGGTTCGAAGTATAAAAAAAAATGGGACGAAACATTTAAGTTTTACTGCGGTGTGACCGAAATTTATCGATTATTTGTAACCGGTAATACGGTATACGTTACGTTATAACCGGTATAACGTTATACCGGGCCCAAACAAGTATTTTTTTTTTTTTTAACTTTATTCAATTTTATTAATCGCAATCGAGATTTATCTGTATAATAGACGCAAACACTGCAATCTGTCCCCGTCCGAGGAAGAGTCGTAGGAAAACGGAACGTGGGCGGGCCTTAGAAGACGAGGAGCGTCCAGCAAAAACATATTGACCGATCGGAAAATAATATCGTGATAATAATTAGGGGCTAAAAGGCAAAAAAAGCAAAATATGTCTATAAATACGCGCGAAAAAATTCTAAACTATACATGAAAAAATGTTAAACATGCAAAAAATGTAATAAATGATCCTGACGAGCGAGGAGAGGACGAGGAGACGGAGAACAAACACCGAGACGATTCCGTAATGTTCGATAATAGTATAACAATAATGATAATAACAGAAATAAAAAAAAAAAAAAAAAATGAACAATTCAAAACGAAAACCGACGACAACGACGACGACGTCGTTTCTTTATGTATATTTAAATAAATGATTAATATGCGCGCGTTCGTCCGGGCCGCCCGAAATAATAATTACGTTTTTAATAATTAATGCGGGCAAGCGTTAATATTTCGCAGCGAATTAATTAATCGCCGTCATCGTTTGCGAAACGGATTTTCCGCTATATAATATTATAATACCTCGTCTATACAGCTAATATCGTATTAATTATTATATTATGTACCTGGGCTATTAATGACGACGATGGCGCGAAATTACAGTAACCCGCAGTAGTGATGTTTCTAGTGACAATCCCCTCCCGGACCGCGGCGATACTCCGGGATGAAAATATCGGCGACCGTTACTCGTATTCATAATCGCGCTGTTTTACCGCTATCATCGAACGGGCTCGGATCGAGACGTATAGAGGCCGTAATGATACGTTTCGACGGGGCCCTCAAAAACAATAACGGCGAAACAAAATAACGACTTGAGACGTTTTAACGGAAAAAAAAACGATACGTACAATATTTATAGTAAATACGGTCTCTGCTAAAGGTCGTTCGTGAAAAGTCGTTATAAAAGCGAGAAAACATCGAAAATTTACCAAAAAAAAAAAAAAAAAATTCTGCCGTTTATACCATCACGATAAAAAGAAATAGAAAATTAATAGAAAAAAAAAAAAAAGATTGAAAATAATTGAAAATTCCAACGCGTCCTATAAGTAAAGAACCCAAAGAGTCGTATAATACGTATAGATATACGTCCTAATACGTTTTCGAAATCGAAATCCGTCAAACGCGATATTCCCGTACGGTTTGGTCGAGCTTTGTCGGTTTGCGACGCTCTGTTTGTCCGTATAAAAACGGCCTCGTGCCCATTTCCCCTCAAACGACGTCGGGCAATCGTTCGGATCGGCAGTAAGGGTCCTGTACGCCGAATCGTGAACAAACGGTTTTGAAATTTTATGAAAATTCAGAAAACCCCCCTCGAATAATTTGTACTTTGAATTTTTCTCCCACACAAGCGCATTTAATAAATACGCATACATGCACATGCACATACACTCACACGCACACTTACGCGTGTATACTCGTAGGTATATATACTAAACATTCCACGGTTAAAGGTTTATATTCTCGCGGCCGCCCCGAATACTTTTAAAACTCAATAACGCAGTCTAAGCCGGGTTCGAAAGTTTGGCGGGCTAACCGCTGTCACGCACACACACACATACGTGTCTTTTGCAGCTGCACACGAGTATAAGTTCGCGAGGCTCGCGCGACCTTTTCTCCGTATCATATTAAAAACGGGCGTTAAACTCCGAAACTGCAGCCGCGTAATGATAATATTATCGCGCGTTTTTTTAACGTTATATTCCGTATTCGTTAGGATTTTTTATTGTTTTTTTTTTTATCTCGGATTTTCATATATGGACGCTATACCGTCGTTATACCTAATATGTCATGCTATAGCTATATATTATATACGGAACCGGCCGCAAGTCCCGTGACGGAATCGAACGCCCGCGGGATAACGACGATCGAATGTATAACTACACAATATATTAATAACAGTTATTAAAAAAATAATAACAATAATAAATAACAACAAAGATAACTGTCGTGTTTTAAAGACGAAATACACGCGTGACCCCGTCAGGAGTCGAATTTCCCGAAATCCTTTCTCGGCGTTTGCCTGTATTGATTATTGTTATTGTCATTATAATATGGAACCTCCGATAGCGAAATGTCAATACGCGTGTATAGTTTCTAGACGTGCGGTTCGGGCTGCGCGACGATTTCGACGTTATTTGATTTTTGGCCGATGTATATAAATATATATACACACATACAAGGTAATAAATCGCCATCGATAATGTAATGTCAGACCGGGAAAAAATGGAAATAAACCCTCGCGAACAATACAGTGGCACAAAAGCGTCGGGGCAATAATAAACAGAAGGTTTCGCACCATATCCTATATCGTATGAACATCGACCGAAAAATGGCACATATTGTATAGTCGGCGCGGTTATAACTCGCGATAATATATTAATTATTATAATAATCACCCCGTAGGGGATCGGTTGACCCTAAATCACCCCCGAATTATTGTACTTACCGCAGCCGCCCTAGCGTCGCAAAGGAAATAATAATATAATAATACACGTCACGAATTCGGCAGGGTTCACCCCCTCCGCGATAAAGGTAGGCGTTATACATTATATCGTGTATCGTATAGATCCTATGTACGAGTGAACTATACCTCAACCCCTTCAACGCAATAATCCAACGCGATCGAGTATTTGCATACAACAACCGTTTTTTGTTTTTTTTTTTTTTGTTCGATTCTGACCCGTATGTGTGTGTTTTTTTTATGAGCTACACGAAAAACCGTATTTACCTCCGTTAAATCTGTTAGTAGATAGTTTTTTTTACATATATTTCATACAAGGTATATAACACCTACGATCCGACATCCAAAATAACCATTGTTTTGTTCAATTATTTTTGATGAAAAATTCGCCAACGTTGATATTATTTAATAGCGGCAATGAATACGATTTAAATTGTTGTACATTTCAAACAAATTTTGGCACAATTAACGATACATCGTTGATTTTCTAAGTATTTTTCATACAGTAATCGAGATTTAAGTAGAAACAGGTATAGAAGTAATTGTTGACAAGTTTCGTCATTTTCTAATTAGTTTTTTTACCGGAAACCTTGCTCCGAATTTCAAAAGTACTTGGAATCTTTTCTGAAATGTACCCAAAATTTGTTCAGAATCATATTAAGTAAAACCGTACAGACATTAATCGAATAACTTTGCGTATCCTTTCCTTACCAACATCCGGCCTACAACAGTAGCACGCCCCTCAGCAGTATCGTCAACTCTTTTTACTTCTGGCGGCTGCATGTGAACGATTTTTTATCCAAAAAGCTTCCTCCGATATCATACGACTTTCAAACCAGAGAAATCGGCACATTGTTATCGCGGTACAATTTTAAAAATATTTTTGCATTATGTGAATTATTATTTATACTAATTTGAAATAGTTGAGTTTTTTCCCCCGGTTTTACACGGACACAATTTTCTCGGCTTCATCATATTAACGCTCGGAAATAATTTAACACAAACTTCCGCGTTGGTTTTTTTTTCTTTCATCATATATGAGTGTTTTAAAGTTCAGTTTTCGACGATAATCGTAAAAACCAACCCAGCATATTTCACGGTGTAAGTAGTCACTGCAGGTTTTCCGATGTATGCGAATTACATATTTTGTTTATTAAAAAAAAAAAAAGCTTCTATTCTAATTACGAATCATCATTACGATGGCCTTTGCGCCTTTAGTTCAAAGTGACGACGTTCTTCTTTTGTATCCATCATATTGTTATTATATTTGCATATTATTTTGACTCAGCGAAAAAACGCCCGAGTGTAATGTTTTTTTTTTCCGTTTTTTTTTTCGATCGTTTGTCGTGCACTTAACGCGCCCTCCATAAAATGCCGGTAAACGACGATGGTACGTATATTATATATACGTACCTATACGTATATATACGTGTGTAGTACACCTATACACGCGTATACAGTTGTCGTTAAATTTTACGGTAATTATAAAATATTTATACACGTAATTCAAGAGTACCGCGAGCGCAGCTATATACACACACAGACAGCGATATACGCACAATACAACGCACACGGACGGACACATATTACGAGTGAAAAAAAATAAAAAATAAAATAATAATAATAATAATAATGATACGCTACACAACATGTGATGTTCCTTTTTTAAATGTTTAATAATACATCACATTTTCATTTTTTCATTTTTTTTTTTTTCTGTACACTTAACGAGTTTTAATTATTCTTATACTGTCGGGCCGCGAGGGGACCGAATGGATATGGAGTAGGTTTTTTTTTTTTTTTTTGGACGTCCCCAGAAATTTTCGACGTTCCGTGTAACTGCAGCTGCAGCTGTATATTATAATATATAGTTAACAACACGCGCGACTATTATATATATATATATATGTATACAGACATAATTTATTTGTCACGTTGTCGTTGTATACCGCGATTATAAAATACGTATACATTATATATATATATATATATATATAGCAGAGAAGAGGCCTTTGCCGATTTTCCACAGACCCCCTTTATTCGCGGACACTGCAGTGAATTCATGACTCTATTGGATATTATGTCGCGGGGAGGTTGTGTCTGTATATATATATTATATGTTTTTTGCTCTCTCACTTCCCTCACTCCCGCCTTCCCTCTCTTTCACGATCGGCTAAGCTCCATTAATACCGGAGCTCGCGCGTAAAACGTCACCCCGGCTGCTGCAAAGGCCGCTCTGCTATATATACGAGGCCACTATTATATAATATACTAGCTATATGGTCTCGACGACGACGACTACGACCATTTTTCAAAATAAAGAGAGCAGAAAGTGTGTGTGTGCGTGAGAAAAAAAATCAATGAGAATATATATATACGCGAGTACATAAAGTATATATAATATATTCGACGACGTGCGACGCTCCGTAAAAAAATCTATGAAGCAAGAAAAAACCTTGGACAATTTTGGTTTTTGTATACAAATAATATTGTATACCCTTTACAGCATGATGGTACACAAGAATCTCTAAACGCAGAAAGGGCGTGGCCTTCACATTTTGAAAATATTTTGAAAAAAAAAACAAAAAAAACCGCTTAGGTGCCTATGAGTTTTCTATGATAATAATATAAACTTCATAAAATTAACTGTAGAAACTCAAAGACGATAATTTATCTAACGCACTATATACTATGTAGTATATAGCGTTGGTTATACGCTAACGTGTAATTTTTTTTTCCATTTGGTATTTTTATCTTTCTTGAACAGTAAAATAATTCGAGCCCTATCCGCATTTAGCGATTTATATTATACGCACAAAGATGAATTACGTCCGAGTTATGATTCGGTGCATTAAACGTTGTCCAGAAGACACCACAAGGAGGAGGTTTTAAAATGCATCGATGAATTTCGAATGAAATACCTCGCAATTCTCGGCAGTTCTGTTTGTGGTTGTTCAGTGCGAATTCCGCTCGGAAATTCGGTGGACGATTTGCATCAGGAGTAACGTAAGGAGTGTTCGAGGTGTATTGGGAAATTTATAAAAATCGATCGACTTCGACGGATGTAAAATGGATATCAACATTTGATCATTTAATGATCATTTCTAAAACATTCGTCTACATCGTCGACGCAATAACGGTGTGAAAGAAAAATTTACTTTTTACGAACTACGTTGGCAAACATTATTCGTTAAGGCGAGTGATTGAATTTCCTTCCAGTAGTATTGTCAGAAATTTTAAATAATATGGAAAGCAATTATTATTCACCTTATAGCCGGAAAAAATATCGAGGACGCAATTCACCGAACGCGTTTTGTTCGTGTAGTAACGATAGGTACAACATTTACAATAGTGTGACGTAGTTTTGTTATAACGAAATATTATAGTGGGTAGTAAGAAATTATTAACTATATATAATTATATAAGTAAAAATACTCTAGAGTTTAAATTAATTTTTTTTTTGTATATACGAAATTGAAATCATGTTTTTTTTTTTTTTTAAACTACAGGTGTGTTTTCAAATGTGGTTACGTACCTACCCCATACACCTGTATAATAATATATAAATATAGTTTTATACGTCGAGAAATAATTTACTCTGGCTCGTGGGCGAGCCACACACGATGAGGGGGCAGAAAGTTCAAAGTTTCAATATATAAACAAGTTTAAGTGACGAGCAATTTAGCGAACGCGTAAACACATTTCGGTAAACTTGTAAATCTTTAATACAGGGAGGAAAACAAACTATTACACCTATATATAAGGCTTCCTGTCAATCAAGACGAGTTGAAAGATAAAAATATGATATATTTCGAGCAGGTCGTAAAACATAAATGCGTATTACGAAATAGTATGCACCGGAGTAAGTATACAATTGAAAAAAACAAATATCGTAATTTCAAAGTATATCGTAATATATTTTATATAATACGAAGTATTATTTTTGTCAATGAACTGAACATACTGTTCGCGTAGCCACGGGTAGGCTACTGTGTGTTGTATGTGGAAAGTCGAAAAGATATCTGTATTAGGACGTGCATTAATTTATCTCATTTCTGTATCGAGACAACGATGAATTGAAACAACCGAAAAACGATTCTGAACTCAGCTCGGTAAACTGATAAGATTGGTTCGTTGCTGTTATATAGCCATATGAGTAATTCAAAAATCGATATGAATAAAACTAAAGTATCGTAGGCAGATACATTTATTTTTTTCGACTTTTTTGAAAAATTGTCGGGAATCTTGACAAATTGTTCGAATTAAGTATATCGTACTATATCTGGTGAAAAATCTGAATCGTTATTTAATTAATGTATATAGGTACATCGGTGTATTGGATCCAGCATATTTGCCTACAACACGTTTGACAATACGAGTATTATAATAATATTGTTATTGTAGTTTGTTAATCGAAACAATATAATTTATCGGGTTATTATTATGATATTGAAGTCCACTGAACAATACGATGTAAAACGGTCGGCGTTGTGCGTTCGGTAATTGTATACGCCAGCGCTTCCCAAACTTCGTGAACGCTCAGAGCGCCCTTCATTTCGATCAAAAAACGTTTATGAACGAGAGTAGTATTAGACGATTTCAGCCCCCTCCCTCATTGTATAGCCAAACGGGTAACCCAGAGTTCAACAAAAATAAAACCGACGTATCGTCAATAATTATTGTTATCAGTGTTTTTATAATTTCAAAAAAAAACTGTTGAGAATTTATAAAATTCGTTTTAAATACCGGTATCACCGGCGAAAAAATGTACATATTTTAAAATAATTTGAGCATTTTTACATGTTTGAGCTTACTATATAACCGGAAAAGTTTTTTTCAAAATAAGAACAAAATTACCTAGACCTTAATAATCGTTCAAACGTAATCGTAATCAGCTTTTATATATAATATAAGGAATGACCACCAAACTTGGAGGATGAGAGCGTATTGACGATAAAAGAAAGAAAGTTTCTAAGGAAGATATGTGGACCGAAAATGAATAGTTTTACTCAAAGTTAATGAGATAAAATCAAACGAAGAAATATATTATGCCTTTGGAGAACCGAACAAACTGCAGAGGTAATTTGAGCCAATAGACCTGCAAACTTGCTAGGTCACGCACTAAGGCACAACACGATCGCAAAAGAAGTCCCGAATAAACCGCAAGGAAAGAAGAACGCCTAAACAACGCTGGTCCGATAAAGTCTGAACGGTTTTTAATAATATTATGAGCGGAAAACTATAAGTAGGTGGCATCGCATACATAGAGGTGGAGGAAACGAATGATGCAGAAATGAGACTGAAGCTAAAAACAAATAAAGAAATATGTAAGGCATATTTTCGCGACGCGGCGCACACTTTGGAAACCGCTGGTACCTATACATATATATTCACGATATCTATCAGATGGAATGTCTCGATAGAGCTAAAATATAATAATATAATGTTATTCAATTATTATAGTTTGCGATGCCGGTATTGTTTCATTTGTCAGTGGCGGAGGAAGGCAATGTCGGTGTTTTCCCTCAGAAATTATTTCAGTATATCTGCATAAATAATCGACTCTATATTGTGTCAGGTATACAATATTATTGTGAATTTCTAACTCGACGGTCCGACTGTAAACGGACCGATACACAAACGCAACTTGTCCTACTCGCATCGCCGAAAAAACAAATTCCGCATCGTTTCGAATCGATTAGATTTTTTATCAGTGGCTAAATTTAACGGTTTTTTTTTTTTTTATAAATATATGTGTGCACATAGATTATGGGTTGTTTTTTTCAATATTTTTAAATTTCTCCGCGGGATTCCGCAGATGCGCCGGGCAATCACATCGCAAAAAACTGAACGTATTATAGCAAACAGAATATTATTTGATAGTGTATATATATACAATTGGTGACATCGTTTTTAAACCCATACAGCTCTTCTCGGAATCCTATTTTTTGTATACACATATATATATATATATATATATTTATTTATTATGGAGAGGGGGAAAGTTGCCTTTAATTGACGTTTACTTGCATTCATAAAAAATAAATATAGTAAACAGGTACCTTCGGGAATGAAAAAAATAATAATAGTGTTCTTTGATAACGAAAGTATACAAATGATATTATACAGATGTAAAACGGATTAAAAAAATAATAATAATAAAAAATACGAATAGAAACAATTGAACGGGTAGATAAATAATAAACACGTACATTTGTTTTTTCTAGAAAAACTTCCATTTTACAACTTTTGTTAATAATAATATTATATATACGACGAATACGCGCGTATTATAATAATAATTACATTATATACTTTAGAGTTTAGACTTTTTAATGAAATAAATTACCTACCAACTGCATTCGTGATTTATTTACGCGTTAACGGGTGTTTTTTGAATTATTCACTGCATATTCAAATGTTATTTGTTTTTTTCTCCCGTCGAATAAACGCGTACTTCGCATTACACCTCATATACGAACTATGTTACCCATATTATATTATGATACGACGTGTACGGTCGAAACTTTAACGCAAAATTTGTATTCGAATTATCTTTACACGCAATAATATGATGCTACGACGTCTTATCGCTTTCGATAAAACGTTGTTTTTATTTTTGTATATTTTACCGATTTCCTCATAATATTAAAAAAAAAAAATCACGAATGTACATAAAGGAAATTATATCAGATTTACACTGTCGTCGCACTGTTTGAAAATGTAAAGAGTATAATATATTATACAATATATACAAGAATAGATGAATACAATGTATAGTATAGATTCCTGTCGTTCTCGAGAGATCGTGATATTTACCTATTATATTATCATATACTCGTTTAAGAATAATAAATAATACAAACGCTGCCATCGCTATATTATGTTAATGCTGCGTTAACACGTATAGTACTCAATAATATTACGTGTAGGTAAGTTTTTCGGATTAATAATCTCTTTGGGAATTTGTTTATACCGGTCAGTTTAGATATAATATATACGGATATAAGTATAATATTCGAAACTAATAATCCGACCTGCGCTCCTGCAGCGGAAGCAGTGAATCTTATTTTTTACGAAATAAAACGTGAAACTGTAATATGAGAAACGTCGGTATAGTTATTATACATAATAATATATATGTATAGTTGCACGGATATCGTATCCGAACAAAATTAATTAAATTTGGTGATTTGAACAAATCTGCAGAAATAATAATTATTATTGTTGACTCGTCATCGGGGCGTAGGCATCTATATCGTGTGTGAATCATCGTTTACTTATTGCGCGTTTTAGATAATACAATAAGTGTAGTTTAATATGAGTACGCGCGCGTTAATATTTAATGTATAGTCCGACCTTTGTCCGGGAAAAAAAAAAAATCGAACAAGGATTGTTCGGCATGTCGGTAAATGTGAAAAATAACGTTAACGACCCGACACGAAACGGTGGAAAACTGCATTTTTACAAATTGAAACTCGCCGCGAACCGGAATATTGCGGTATACCGCAAATGATAATAGTTGATCCCCCGAGAACGTTGAGCCTCCCGAGTATACACGGAATATATCGATATCTATTAAGTATATTGGGTAATTATTCCGCTTATACATTTCGAAACAAAGTACGGCGGGGCTGGCATACAGGGTTCTGCGACAAAAAGAGGGACGTTTTAAAAAATATCTTTTATAAATATTATTTTGGTTTAGTCCGTGCTATAAATAGATGATACTGATGATGTATAGGTCAAAGACTAGACAGAGTGGACGAAACAGTACGTTCAGAAATCGAAATTATATCCGACCGTGCAAGAAATAAAACAGCGCGTAGGCCTGATAAAAACACAAAAAAAAAAATATATAACCCAAAACTATAAGAAGAAACTGTTTTAAACGATTAAAATGTAAACACGTTTAGAGCGACCTATATGAATGCTAAACACGGGATGAAGAATGGTATATCGAAAGGCTAGAATGCGGAATGCCTTTGGAATGTGGTGCCAAACGAAGACAAACACTTGAAACCGTCAAAGAAAAAAGGGCATTCGTCATCGATGCGATTATAGAACAAGACGTTGAAAGAAAACGGTCGGACGTGATGCTCCGAGACGCCCGGAAGAACTGCATAATACAACGTTATTGAGAGATTATAGAGATTATAGAGATTATATAGAGACCTATGGGACGTGTTGAAAACGACGCAAGTCAGATACGCATTCGTATAGCTAAAAGGAAAAGCGAGTGATCGACGACTATAGAATGACGGAGAATTGGAATTTTAGATCGCGGGTTGATGAAAAAAAAAAAAATATAATGATAATTGAACAAATAATTCATAGATATATAACTGAACATAGTTCATTTTAGATTCTGAACGTAGCGAAGAATGTATTGATTTTAGAATAATGTTATTTTTTCTTTTATATACTGTGTACAGTATTCTACCAAAAATCTTGCTCCGATGTATCAAGTGTAGCACTTTTTTTCTGAAAGGGAATTTTATATAGACGGTAATTAAAAAATGCCATTTTTTAATTTTCAAAGCAGTTTTTCATAATAATTGAGAAAATGTACGAAATGTAATATTTTTAATTTTGTTTTTATGGTCATTCAGTTCAAAATGTTCGGAGAGAATACAAATTTGAACATTAAACATTTAAAATTCAATAGAAGGTTTATTATAAGCCGTACTTAGTAGTCAAGAAGAAAAATTTGAGTTTAATGTATAGTATTTTTATTTTTTAATAAAAATTTTAATTTAAAATTTTGACGAAAATCGTAAATATTATTAGGTGCTTTAAAACACATATAATCGAACTTCGCTCAGAATCGTTTTCCGTTTGCAACGATTAATGGTTCCGTACAGATATATATTAAGTTCCTTTCTACCTTCTCAAATTCTCACCTATAAAAGTGGTCCACTCATCGTGCGAAGAATGTCCGTTTTTTTTCTTTATACGAATTAGCAAAGTTCGTCTATAAATGAACTTAAAAGTTTATTTTATTTTATTTCTTTACTAAATCTCATATTTGTTTTGAAGTACACCTTAAATAGTCTCAAAAAGATCTAACCGCAGATCAGTTCTGTTTGTAGCGGCCGTAGTAGGACGATAACGTAATCGTTTAAATTTGAATTCGAAATTCTCGATGCAAAACTCGGAATCTAAATAATTGAAATATATAACAGGGTATAAAACTCAATTATTAATGTCCAATGGTTTATTAAAAATACGAACTTAATTTCAATGAAACACCAACTTATAATGCACGTTTTGTTCGTATAACACTTTTAACTTTAAACGGACGAACACGTATATAATATGACGTTCATTTGAACTGGTTCGTTTCGAAGTTTTATATTACAATAATATAAAGGATGCCGTCGGTGATGTTGATCAGTGCTAGATTACGGAGAGGGCTAAAGGAGGAAAACTGTAGCCCAGGGCCTCGCAAGGCAAAGGGGCCAAGATTTTTCGTCTTTTTTCAGTTGTTTTTAGATTCTGAGGGTATAGTGAAGAAGCCATTAGTTTTGCAAAGGATATTTCCTCGGAATAAACTTTTTCGATTTATAAAATTGCTCCAATTTTTTTGTTATACCTATGATGCGGGTTATTTTGCCCGACGGAACTTTATTCAATACATATTTTATTGAAATGTTTGGAAATTCGTCCCGTAGGTTCTTATTTATTTTTGAAATTACGAGTATCTCGTATCAATATACGATTTAATATAATATTATAATACCGCAGTGACTACCGTCGATATTTCGATACAGAAAAACATGCGAAGAATATAAATTAATAGTTTTGCGAATCTAAAAAAAAAAAAAAAAAAGGTTTCGGGTAAAAGAGTATGTATAGCCACCCCCTCCCCCCTCGAACTGTACACGTGTAATCCGGGGCACCGATGCCGCTATTGTTGCATGATGTTTCTCGCGGGATGCTCGGGGTCACTGCAGTGTACTCGCGCCGACGTTTGCTTATCGTACATATATATACGAGCTAAAAAATATTATACGTTCGGTAAAAGTCCGTTCCGCGGGTATATTTTCATAAAATATAGTACGCTCCCGACAAAACCCGATATATATTACATCTGTATACGCGTATAAACAAGCGCATGTGTGTACAATGTTATTACGTACGCGGTGATGTATTTTAAGGTTAGGCGTAAACGCGATGCATTAAAACGGCGGCTAGACGCGACGATACCCTCCGACCGCACCACACGACCCCCCAAGTGTATTGTCCCGGTCCCCGTGTATACGTGCTTTTTGTGTTTTGTCGGTCGGTTTCGTCCGCTGCGGTTTTTTTTTTTTTTCCTTTGAGCTTTACAATAATAATTATACGTATACACGGTCCGGGGACCCGGGACGGCGTTACACGGACACCGCGCGCACGTAGTATCGCGCGCGGCTCGAAATAAATAACAAGACGGACGGGTTTTTAAAACGAAAAAAGACCCGAAAACGCGTCCCCGGCACCCGACCCGTAACCCCCGTCGTAAGTCTTTTTTTTTTCGTTGTTTTGTCGTCCGCGATAAATCGAACTTTCCGACCGGAAATCTCGTTGGGCGCGATCGAACTCTCGATACGGCCGAACTTTCTCGTTCGCGGTCTATTCGGTGACCCGGTACTGCAAGGGGCCGGTATAATCTTCTTCTCGTTTTCCCGACGCGGCGATCCGTCCGGATCGACTTACGACACGGTAAATAATTTCTTAACGGTATTTTAACGTGTACCGGCACCTATGGTAGCCGGCCAATCGGCCGCCGCCGTATGGAAACCGGATTTCCGAGATATCGGCGCGGACGTGACGATAGAATCCGAGTGAATTACATACACGTGCACCGCGACCGTCGGCTACGTTCGCGCGGTCTCGTCTCATCGCACACTGCACCCGGTACCGCCTATAATAATATAGGTAATAATAATATTGTTGAATCGAAAACGTCGACGAGAATCGAAAAAATCCTATCCGTGTATAATATCATAATACGTGCCGCTTCTGTAATATATATATACGGTTTTCAATTATCCGTTTCGAAAACAAAAAAAAAAAAAAAAAACAATCAAAATCCATTTCGGATAACCGCGAAATTACAATATCGATTTCGTCGTTTCGGGACGATACTATGGTGCGCGTGAATAAAATCCAGTATAGATAATACGATATGTATTATACGAAAAGAACAAAATTGTTTTCTCGCGCCGCCGTTGCAAACGAACGGAGAGATCTCGTCTCGTGCACAGCACATTCGGAGAGGCTCTCGGAGAACGCGTAAAAAGTGTTGACCCGCGCGCGAGTGTCGACGCGGGGGCGTAAACAGAGTTTCTCCCCGAAACCCGCGGATGAAAAGATACGTTTTGGAAGCGGTCGCGAATCATTACGGACTCCCGGGCTCCCAGTCTCGGTTCGGAATGTCCGAGTTCACTTTTTTGTACCGACGCAATTGTAAGCTGTCGCCGAAATAAAAAGACGGTGTCGGGGGTGAAAAAAAACAGGGTCACGGTCGGCAATCGCTATAATTGTTAATTGCTGATTTTTTTTTTTTTTTAGGACGCGTGTACGTATTTGTCGACAAATGTCGTCACTATAGGTTACTCGGGAATTCGACGTTCCACAGTAGTCGTCAACGCTACCGAAATATTCGCCAATAATCGTAAAAACAGCTGTACACCTTAACCGGACCATAGATCGGCGGAGAAACATTTGGTAAATCGTCAAAACGTAAAAATCGGAATTTTTCGGGAAAATCGACGATAACGTGGGAAAACCGCGTCCACGTCGACCGCGGCCCGTTCGAATAATACTCCCGGGATCCGACCGGCGATTTTTCTTTACTTTTCACCGATGATAGGTAAAAAAAAAAAAAATAAAAAAATAAAAAACTCGATAATCCGGTTCGGTATGAAAATCGACACTGTAATATTTAATTAAAAAACGCAAACCATAGAGTATGTTATTTAAGAAACGTACAGCGAATTATTTTATAGTCGTACGGAATTTGTATTTGTTTTTTTTTTTTTTTTCGTCGTTTCGCCCGAGAAACGTAAACCGCCGAGACGTCGGCGGAGGAAAGTTTCGACGATAATAATGTAATGGAAACAAAAAAAAATTACGTAAACCGTATTATTATTATTGTTATTATCGTAGATGTATTGTTTTTTTTTTTTCGTATATTCTCGGTGCAATCGCGGGTAATAATGCGAGCACAATGTGTGTGAGCGCGTGCGCGCGCGAGCGAGAACAATGAGAGGACAAAAAAAAAAAAAAAAAAATAGAAAAAAGCCAGAATACTCCCGTCGGAGTTATAGGCCGTACACTGCAGCAGATATTATACGACGTGACGTCGATCCGATAATAAACAACAATATGGGTGTTTTCGATCTTTTTTTTTCCTTTTTTTTTTTTTAATTGATTATAAAAAAAAAACCTCGTACGCCGAACGTGCGATCCCGCGCGGCTGTCTAATCAAAACTTTTCGACGTGCGTTTATTACGACGACGACGCCCGCGGATCAGATTCGCAGATTGAATAAAAAAAAAAAAAAAAAAACCATACGAAACGTACGAAGTACACATCAATCGTTTCGCGCGCGCATTTTAATATTTTTTTTTTTTAACGCTATCACAGTACGTATATTCTATTCGCTGGCAAACAACGTTCGAGATAATAACGCCGCGCTCGGCGTTTCGGCGCGAGATATTTGGCGAAATTTTCGGTCGCGTTTTCCCCCTCGTCTGTCACGAGTATAAATCAACGGGAAATGTCCAATTTGTTTGAAATATACCGAGAAAACTATTCGGCACTAATGCAATAAGGCCGCAAATCGAAAACGGCGATTGTTCAGCGAATCGAATTCAAAGTTCAACAGTAAATATTAACACGAATAACAATTATTATTATTCGGTACTGCAATCCATAAAAAAATATATAGCCGTGATATTAATAATATAATAATACTCGCCGGAAATCGTGCGTGCACAACAGAAGGCGTATATTCGGGCGAACGGGAGGGCGCTAAGGAGCCTCCATCTCTTCACCCCCTCCCACCATTGGTCCCGTTAAATAACACCGCGCGCCGTAAAAATGACTTTACGGACAAAATAACACAGGTGCAACCGTCGCACTTTTGTTGCAGTATTCGGCCGAGCATAAAAATACGTCATAACAAAATTATAATCGCGCGCGTGTATTTAGCGAAACGGTTTTTTCGTCCGGTTATGTTTTTTTTTTTTTTTTTTTAGTCACCTCTACCCCGTTTAAAAATCTCGACAGTTTCACTGTTGTATATGCGTATGTTTGTGACGCTATTTAATAGCTTTTAACGATATATTTTCGTGTCGGCCGTCCGAAACCGTCCGGGTTGATGAAATACCGAGCGAAACTCGACGATAGACGTTGGAATTTTTCGGGAAATACTCGCACGATATCATACTGATTAATATGTCAAAAAAAAAAAAAAAAACTTTCCTATTCTCGTTCGAAAATAACGAATTCGCCACCGCGGCAAACTTTAACGGAAAAACGTAAAGTGCGTCGAAATCCCGCTTACGACACGATGTACACCGTTAAATGTACTGAAAATGATTGTTTGATAAAAAAAACGAAACCGTAACGTCGTAAACGATACCTGCCAATAGTATAGAAACGGAATAATAAAACGATTTAGTATTTATCGATAGCGGTTATAAGATTTTAGACACCGCCACGGCCGTCGACGATTGTTAATACAATCTAAGGATTAGGATTATAGTGATGTCGATCGATTTGAGGTTTTTTTTTTTATCGAGTAAAATTTATCTTTCTCTATGAATCTAGCGAAAAAAAACCCGTGCCGTTCGAACGCTCTAAAGAAAAAACTATACTCGCGAGAACCGAGAGTCGAGCCGCTTATTAAAATCGTATCTCGGGGCTGTTTTATTTCGACGCTGAAAACTTTACGCTCTATTCGGATGTCGTTATTCGATTGCCGGGGGGGGGGGGGGGGGGGGAAGGACACTTCGATTTTCGACAAATTTTTTTTTTTTTTTTTTTTTTAATTTCGCGTCTTCTACGCGCAATTCGTTTACTTCGACCGTCGCCGTCTTAAACGGACCAAAAGCGTTCTGACGCGCGCGCGACGTTTTACCGAAAATTAAAATACGACGCGTTATTTATTATTTTTTCCGATGAAAAAAGCTGCGCTACGTTATTGTAATGTTATTATAATGTCATTCTCGAGTCGTTTACAAAACGCCCACGTGACGGAAACCGTCGCCGAGTAATCTGAAATTTTCGAAAATCACAATTCACTCGTGCCGAAAACGATATTTGACAGAACGGCCCGCGTTTTCTCCCCGGGACCGAAGACATAATAACAATAGGTACCCTGTGTATATCATATTAACTGACGAGAATCGGGATTAGCGTTAGTCGCGGTGTCAGCCCCTCGAATACAATATATACAATATAAGAACGCCGAGTATACGTAACGGAGGGGGCTCAAGCCTCATGGCATAAAACCGCGGCGGAGAAATTCATTTTTTTAATATATAACGCGACTTTTGGCGGCCGTCATTAGAAAATTTCGGCTGGGCGGACTCGGAAGTTGTCTAGGGAAAAAAAAATGCGAATACGCATACCGGCGTTTGCTTTTCGATACGCCTAATTTCAACGAGGAACTAACTCCCCTTCGCTTCCAAAACGCGCAATAATAAATCGCCGGTTTTTTGATTTTTACGTTTGAATTTTAAAGGTAAACGAAAAAAAAAAAATTAAACAAACTTCGATAAATGATTTTTTCGCGTAATTTCGTTTTTGGTAGTAATAATATAATTACGAAAATGACGATTATTATACTCCGATTTAACGTGAATATTTCGCGTTTCACTTTTGAAAAATAATCGTTCCCGTGTACGGAATGGAAATTTAAAAAAAAATATAAGTACCTAAAAAACACTCATAATTTTTTACTACGTTTCTTAAATTATACGCGCGCACGCACACACAAATGCAAAATACGAAGGAAAATACCGATGCGGCAGTACCGATGCAACATTCTTTTTTTATTATTATTATTATTCGCTTTTATATAATATTATATATGTGGTTCTTATTATTTTTTTATCGAATAAAAAATACATCAATATAAAAATAAAAACGCGGTGTATTACAACAGTCGCGACTTACTTCTATGGTACTGTTACTTACAATATTATGTTACTGGGAATGCGATTTTTAATGAAAAAAAAGACACACACACACACACACACACATCAATTATTTTTCTTCCGCGAAACAACCCGGGATCAATTTTTAAAAAAATATTTTCGGTGACCGAATCGATTTGATTTAATATTTTCGCGTACGTCGTCGTCGTCTCGTGTTCGATATCGTCAAACTGTATATTATAATTATGATTATTAGTTTTTTTTTTTTTTTAAACCTACGATTTTTTCCGCGTATAAAATAGAAAAATGTCTTGTTTAATTATTATAATTTTTTTTTTATTTTCAATATTTCACGAGAATATCGCGGACGCACACAGTTATAAAATATTTAACGCGACGCGCAATATTTTCGATTTTTTTTTTCGCGAAATGTTCGTATATACGAATAGATTAAATTTTTTTTTTCTACTTAAAACTAATATTCAAAGTCCATAAGCTCCGACATTTATCCGATGACAAACGATTGTAACGATTTTAATTCAAATGATATTATATTTTTTTGCAGCCGGTACGACGCGTACGAAAATAAGAAAAAAAAAAAGTAAACATTTTAAAATATTTCGTTTTTTTCTTACCTTATTCGCGCGTGTTTGTTGTACAGGAGCTTCGGATTTTCGTCCGTCTCGGAAGGCGAAAATATAATTTTGCTGCCGCGCACACGCACACCGATCGAAAATAATAATGACCGGAAAATTGCCGGGGAGAAAATAAATTATAATATCTCAGCGTCCGTTCGGAAAAAAAAAAAAAATTAACAACAATTTAAACACACGACGAGAAAAAAAAACGAAAATTGTTTTGATGTTTTTTCGTTCCGTTGTACGCAACGCGTAGAGAATCCGATTCGAAACGCGCGAGAGACGAGACGAATAATTCGGTATGCCGGTCGAATAATATTACGGAAAGCCGGGAGAGCGAAAACGCAGACCGCGACGACGACGTGCTGACGCGACGGCCAAGCTGACTGAACTAACCGACGGACCGAACGACGAGCGTACCGCGACGGTAATGCGTGGAGTGCGGAGCGCGCGCGAGAGAAGTCAGGCGGCAGCTACGGACAACACACAACGCAACGACGCGACGTCGCCGCCGTCGGTTCGCGCGCGCACACAACGACGCTCGCGCACTACGGTCGGGCGCGCGGTACGGGGCGGTGGGCCCGCGTCGGTGGCGCAGCTGCTTCGCAACGCCACCGACGACGACGATCGCCTTTCCCACTCGCGGCCGCCGCTCGTCGCCCGTCCGAGGGATGGCGGCGGTGGCCGGAGAAACGGCCGCCACTAGAAATACAAAAAAAAAAAAAAAACAACAAAAAAGCTAAAAAACCGCGTAGAATCGTTATTGTTACCGTTCAAAGACGAGAAATTAGATTTAAAAACCCGAAAAAAATCTCAAGAAATTTAATATTGAATAGTCGCGGAAATAGCCCGACGATTTTTCGACGGGATCTAACGCCTCCCACTCCCCTCCCCTCTCCCCCCGTAACACTCGATCGTATTCGCTCGATACGAGGACGTGGTTTTTAGCCCTTCTCGGGGGCTTGGCCCCATCCCCCAAGTTCCCCTACCACGTATTTGCCCCGACCCACGATTTGTCGGAAAATCACCGGAGGAGATCGGTCGGTTACGGACGAAACATTCTGAACATGACAAAACATCAAACGGACAAATTCGGAACCGGATTTTCTTCACGATAACAAACGTAACGTACAATTTTAGTTATTTTAGTATTATGATGTAAATATATTGTTAACGTATCCCGACGAATTCCCTCTTTTTTTTACGATTTTTAGATTTTATAGTAGTATTTATTTTTTAACGACTCCTAAAGAGATTGCAATGAAGTAAACAATACATTTTCAAAAACGAGGTTTTTCGTATTGTTTTATGTTCGGAGATTATTATTATTTTTTTATATACATGAACAACTTTTCTACCAGAAATCTTGCGCTGATTTTCTAATGTAGTACCTATCTTTTCTGAAAAGAAATTTTATCTGGGCGGAACTTTAGAAAAGTCGTTTTTTTTGATTTTCCAAGCGGTTTTCATAATAATCGAGGAAAAATGTACGTACGTGTATAAAAATCGAATCGTTCGTTAGCGACGGTTTATCTTTGCGTATATGTATGAATTGAATTCCTTTCTATATCCTATATTCCCAACTTCTCATCTATACTGCTCCACCCGTCGTAAGAAGTTACGTCGATTTTTGTTTTCCGAAATAATATTTTCGACAATTTTATAATATTATTTTAATATTTCGCCTATTTAGGTAAACGAATATTATTAAATTTAAATTTTTTTTCTAAATTTGTCGATTTGATGACATAGGCATATAGTTATATAGCCATCACTCGTCACGGGGATAGGGGCGGGGGATAAGTCCGTCATCTCGCGGGGGACCGGGGGCTCTGTCGGTGTACCGTCACAGCCGCCCCCCACATCCCTCCCCCCCAAAAAAAACAAGTGTTGTCATGACCGGAGCGCCGTCGCCGTCGAAAATATCGTACGCGCGCGTCTTGTCGTGGTCGGTCGTCGGCCTTCGGTTTCCTCCGTCGTCGTCGTCGTCGTCGCCCGCGATAACCGTAATATATTATACGGCTCTCCGGCGGTGCAGCATCCGGACCCCGCACGGCCGTGCCGCGGCGGGCGGTTCCTTAAAGCGGCTAAGCCATCAAAACTCGAACCCCAAAAGCGAACGGGCCCGCGCGTGCGAATGAGTCGGAGAGATTCGGCGATGAGAAAGCGGCGCGTTTGCGAGAAAGAGAGCGAGCGCGTGAGAAACGCGGTGGCGACGGGGCAACGCCTCGCGGAGTCATTCGCCCGCGCCCCGGTCCAGACGCGAGGGACTCGGGGAATCGTACGCTCTGCGGTGCACGTGCGTATAATGTTATATTATTGTTATTACCATTTATTATTACCATTCTATTGTTATCACGCGAATCGTCGTATCATCATCATTATCGTCGGCGGACGGCATAATACTTCCACGATTGCGAAACGGTTTACACCTGTACGGTGTATTACGGAGGTTTTTTTTTTCAATTTTTTTCCCCGCCCGCACGCACGGGAGTGTTTAGACATTACGGGAATCAGTGGGAAGTTTTAGCGGTCTGATCCTACCCACCCCACACTGCTTTTGAAATGATGTTGATGTAGGTACGCAATTTTGTGGGTAATTTAAAAAAAAAAACTCCCTTGCAAAAGAACATTTTTCGACATTAAAAATCGCGTCAGTTAAGTCAATTAGTTAAAAAAAAAAGTCAGTTTCTAATAAGCTAAAGCGTCGAGGCACTGTATATACAATTTAAAAAAACGTATTTTTGATTTTTTTTTTTTTTTTTTAATCTTGCGTTTTGAATAGGATATCAGTTCAGGGATAAAGGGACGACTGTGTTTGTACTAGTCAAGTAGAAACAAATTACAAAAATTACTGAGAGTACTGTATGAATAATGGCAAACAAAATAATGGGAAAAGTTAATTTTTTTTTATGGTTTAGATGGGCAGGAGAAAAGTTTCTCTGGTTTTCAAGACCCTCTATCTCTGCCCGGATTTTCGCGAATTCCTCCGAGACCGAATTCATACAAATTATAATTATGGCGAAAAAAATAATCAAAAACTTGATTGGGTACCTGAACAAGCTCGAGTGAAATTGAACGGTTCACCTTATAGTATGTACATATGTAGGCTCATATAAAACGATTTAAAATTAATTTTAATTGTCATAGAATTGAAATTGATTTCAATAAAAAACGGACATACTTCGCATTATGGATAGAGTACTTTTGTAGATGCGAAGTTCAGAAAGAGAATATAGACGGGGATCGATTCTGAGGGGAACTCGGCCAATAGTATTGCTTTTTCAACAGTGTGCGTTTTCACGACAATAACGATTGTTTGAAAATGATTATTAAAACAATAAAAACATAATAATAACAAAAAAAAATTAATAAAACGGTAGGCAATATTTTGGCACCAAAAAAATGGTGCTAAAGAACCAGTTTTTCTTCATTATCTCGAACATTAACCTCCTCAATGTACTCAACTGAAGCCAAAATGCAACAAAAAAGGTCTATATTGTAATATTTTGATTGGAGCAAGATGTACGATAGAAAAATTAAATCATAGTAAAACCAATACATTCTTCGCTACGCTCATAATCTAATGACGACAAATTGTATTACTAATATATAGGCTCAAGAAAATATCGATACAATTTCGACCCAGTTGAAATTATATTCTTGACTTTTTAATATAAACATATTTTAGTTTTTCGAATGAAGTGAAAAACTTATTGGTTTTACAAATAATGTGTGATTTTTTTTTGTCTGAATAACTTTTTTTACCAGAAATATCGATCGATCGACATTCTTTTGTAGTGTTTTCTTAATAAACAGGAAAAATCAACAATTTGTTAATTTGTTAATGTTTACCTTTCGGCCACGCAAGGAACGAATTACACGACTAACAATGCTCCGCTCAAAATTGATTTCCGTTAGCGGATTTTAACAAAATTACTCTGTATACGTGCTCCGTTCGGCGGTATATCAGTTCGCGGCATAGTACCAGCCTTTTTTTACAAGGTGATTCATTAAGCGTGCTCATCCCATTTTTTCGGTTAAATTTTGCGTATATTTAAATTCTGATTTTCTGAATTTTGAAGTGTGGGTATTTTCGTTTGAAAATCCAAAGTCGGTATCGCCACAGGATACTCCTTAAATTTCACGAAAAATCTAAATACTCGAAAATATCATCTTTAACTATACACTTGAAAAAGCTGTCGTAGGATAATGGGGACGGGTGCAGCCATTGTTGTAGGTGGGAATTCGGGGAAGTAGGATACAGAAGGAAATTTTATACACATCTATAAGCAACGATAAACCGCATTGCTAACGAAAAAATTATTCTGAGCGCAGTTCAGTTGTTAATGATGCCTTTTCAACACTAGAATAGTCCATATTACAATACCCATCTTAAGGTAAAATAATTAAACGGGCAATATTTATTTTCTTTAATAATATTTGTTCGATATTGTACCGATTTTCTCGTTTATTTCGACGTTTTTCTCAGGTTTCTCATGTAATACGGGTATCTCATCTCTCCACACTAATTTTCTTTCTAAAAAGGTGCGGAAAATCAGGATCAAGATTTCTGGTTAAAAAAGTTATTGATAAAATAAAAAAAAAAAAAAAAAAAAAAAAAAAAAAAAAATTAAACATCAACAAAGATATATCATAAGTTGTTCGCTTCGCTCAGAATCTAAAATTCCAAAATCAGAATTCGAATGCGTTATGCGACCGGAAAAACTGAAATAATTTTTTTTTTTTTGTGCGCGAAAGTCCCGAAATCCGACAATTTTTTCGTGCCACACGGCGGTACCCGCCGGCGACGGGGCAAGGCCGAGGAGACGGACGGACGGACGGACGGCGGCGGCGCCCCGGAGATTCTCCCGCGTACATCCGATTTTCCCGGTATAATTGCGCGCCCGCCCGGGGGACGTACCCGGCGAGACACGCGAGAACGCGAAACGCGGACCGCGGGCGACGACCGTTGTAATCAATCCGCGCTTTCGCGGCGGACCCGGTTTCCGGGAAAAACAACTCCCGCGAATATTACAACGCGTATAATATCATGCGCGACGCATTACGAAATAACCGTACGGGACGGACGGCAGGGATTCGGCCGGGCCCGAAGTGACCCGGACCGGCGCATTATACGCTAATCATAACGATATCCGGCGCGTACGACCGCAACAGTGTACGCGCGATACGAGAAAATTACGTTTTCAACATTCGATCATCGCGGACGGTCGCCGCGGCCGCCGGCGGAAACGGATTAATTTCGAGTTTACCGCGAAGGTTATACGGTCCGGCGGAGTTTCCGCGCGTGTTTACCGATAACATTATAAAGTCGTCGAATATAATACCGCCGTAACAATAACAATAACATACACTACTCTCTAACTCTTACGTATATGCAATACGTAATGCGTAATCGCATATAGACAATACGCACACAATGGCGGG